CAGCAAATGCTCATACCTCAAGGCCCGAACGAAACACAAAGCAAGAACCGGCACCAACTGCAATTTAAATGCGCAGAAACAAGACAAGCAGCACATAGAACTGCAGAAACAGCATCCAGAACTGGCAGAGCAGGCACCTCCACATGAAATCGCATCAGCAGCCCTTCAGCAGACACAGCAGCAGAAGGAAGAGCAGAAGGAATCAACAGCAGACGCCCCACAGCCCACACCGAACCCAAAGCAGGAACTTGCACCAACCACAGTTTAAATGCAAAGAAACAAGGCAAGCAGCACATAGAACTGCAGAAACAGCATCCAGACCTGCCAGGGCAGGCACCTCCACAAGAAATTGCATCAGCAGCCCTTGAACAGAAACAGCAGCAGAAGGAACAGCAGACGGAACAGCAGATGCTGCTCATGCTCCAGGGCCCGAACCAAGCCAAAAAGCAGGAACCGGCAGAAATTGTAATTTAAATGCGCAGGAACAAGACAAGCAGCACGCAGAATTGCAGAAACAGCATCCAGAACTGGCAGAGCAGGCACCTCCACATGAAATCGCATCAGCAGCCCTTCAGCAGAAACAGCAGCAAAAGCAAAACAAAGCGCAACAGCAGATGCTGCTCATACCCCACGGCCCGAACGGAACCCAAAGCAGGATCCGGCGCCAACTGCAATTTGCGCAGGAACAAGACAAGCAGCACATAGAATTGCAGAAACAGCACCCAAAACTGGCAGAGCAAGCACCTCCACATGAAATGGCATCAGCAGCCCTTAACAGAAAAAGCAGCAAAAAGAACAGCAGAAGCAACAGCAGATGCTGCTCATACCCCACGGCCCAAACCAAACCCAAGGCAGGAACCGGCACCAACTGCAATGTCAATGCACAGGAACAAGACAAGCAGCACATAGAATTGCAGAAACAGCATCCAGACCTGCCACAACAGCAGGCACCTCCACATGAAATTACATCAGGAGCAGAAGCAGCAGAAGCAAAACCAGACGCAACAGCAGATGCTGCTCATGCACCAGAACTGGCACCGAACCCAAAGCAAGAACTGGCACCAACTGCTGTTTAAATGCAAAGGAACAAGGCAAGCAGCACATAGAACTGCAGAAACAGCATCCAGACCTGCCAGTGCAGGCACCTCCACATGAAATTGCATCAGCAGCCCTTCAGCAGACACAGCAGCAGAAGGAAGAGCAGAAGGAATCAACAGCACACGCAACAGCAGATGCTGCTTATGCCCTACAGCCCACACCAAAAGCAGGAACTTGCACCAACTGCAGTTTAAATGCACAGGAGCAAGGCAAGCAGCACATAGAATTGCAGAAACAGCCTCCAGACCTGCCAGAGCAGGCACCTCCACATGAACTTACATCAGGAGCAGAAGCAGCAGAAGCAAAACCAGACGCAACAGCAGATGCTGCTCATGCACCAGAACCTGCTCCGAACCCAAAGCAAGAACTGGCTCCAAGTGCAATTTAAATGCGCAGGAGCAAGACAATCAGCAGTTGAAGGAGGGAAGCACTGAGCCAGGGGGAATCACATTTTCTACCAGATGGTGAGCAAGAGAACTATATATGTGAGGGTTTCCATAAATGGTGGTACCCCAAAATAGATGGTTTACAGTGGAAATTCTTTTTGAAAATGGTGATTTGGGGGTACCACTAGGAGTTGATACAATTCTAACAACATTTTTTGTGGTTTTGGGACTTCATGTCACTTCTAACTGCAGTTAGGGATCCTAAGTGAATGGCTATGATATGGCCTTCTAATTCTTAGCGCGTTCTTTTTTATAATATCACCGCCGGCAATTCTTAGTGCACCCGCAGCAATTCTAAGTGCACTCCCCAGGTATCACTGGGAAGCAATTCTAAGTGATTGTCGCACTGATTTACGAATTCTAACTGCCAATCACTTACTATACTCTTTTGGTTAGAGATAATGCCTCTACTGTGTCTGAATTTCAATTTAATGTAAATATACACTCCTGTAGATACAGATAATATCGCATTTTGTCTCCACACATTTTCCGCCGAGCAGAGCAGTTCCGAATGGAACGAAAAAAATATATCAACTCCGAATTTTGTCCATCGTCCGCTTGAATGAGCGACCTTGGAGATCCGCTGTATCCGTTTATTTTTTGTGATTCGGTCAATTGTTTTCCATCTGGCCTCAATTTCTGAATCTTGCAATTCGAACGGTTGGAGGACGAATTTTTCACACCGGTAGAGCATTTTGCTTGGATCGACCGTGCTTCGCGCACCGTTGTCGGAAAAATAATTAGCGAATCCGCTGCTTTCACTTCGACATGTCCTTAGGACATGTCGCACTCAATCCGCCTACATTCGTTGTTTTTGTAAAGAAACCACTGCGTGACTTCCGCTCATTTTGCTAATTAGCCCACGTGTAGTTTACATACAGGCTCAAACTCTTATTTTCAATTGGGTACGACAAAGCGTAGTGCTCTACTCATTGCCTTTGAATTTGTGCCTGTGTTCCTGTTTGGGCATGTATCCTACGTGGATATAGCATGAGTATTGAGCACATTTATATACGCTGTCAAGGCTCAAGAGAGATATAAAGTAATCCTGTAGACGCCGCACTGACTGGCTATTGGCCGAGTACAAAAGGTGTGTTAGCTGTCTGGGGAAGACGCTCTAGCTGATCTAATCTAGACGCTGGTGCCCCTCTTCACCAACCCCCCCAACCTAAATGGTAATGATATGTATCTTTCAGGGGTCATGGGGAAGAATCTGGTATGTAATGAGGAACAAATCAGGATACCCCCCAACCCCCCCAACCCCCCCCAACCTAAATGGTAATGATATGTATATTTCAAGGATCATGGGGAAGATGGTAATCTTATTTTCATACAGGTAATCTGTTGTAGCATCTCTTAATGTTTCCGTGAGTATTTTGGGCTACCGTCCTGACCCATGGAACTTCTGGGCGCAATCCCACTCTGCTGGCGTGAGCCAATCCAACAAGAGCTGCCGAGCCTTCATTCCCTTTGGGCCGCGGCTGTATGTTAACTGCAGCACGGCCAAGTGTCAATGTTAGTTGATTGTTAAAGCCGAACAGAGGCCCCACATGGCATAATCATGGTATATTTTCCATGCGTCTATGTCATTCTATTTTTTTAATCCGTATGTTGTGATCAATATCCCAACATATATGATCATGTTTTGCGGATCAACATGTGTTGACAGCTATCTCAAGATATGTACATGCTGTGGCCGTTGAATTCTTGGGCAAACGATGGTGTCAGCGCGTACAACTACAACTACAACTTCCACTACACTACAACTACAACTATCACTACACTACAACTACCACTTCACTACAACTACAACTACCAGTACAGCAACAGCTACAACTATAACTACAACTACAACCACACCACACCACACTACATTCAGCAGTTGTGGGTGAGCCGACCACTGCAACCATTCCAACAAGCACAACTCCAACCACCTGTCGGTCCATCAGTGGATTCGCTCTGCCATCCATGCATCACAACAACTCACCTCTCCTATGGTCTTCTATCTTTGAAACTTCCGCCACCGCCTTGTGCGGCACTACTGGCACAAGTATGTATGTACCTATATGCATGTATAAGCTTTACAGATAGAAATGTATATATATATATACATACATACATGTAAGTCTATCCCTCCTTGTGGATATGGTGGGGGATGGTGGGGCTCCTTTTGCAAGAGCAAAAGTTTTGTTGCATGTTCCGACACAAACAAAGTTTGTGCCCGTGTGTAATCTAGTTTTTGGGCCTGTCTACACACTGCATTTACAGTTGTGCATGTACATTCCATGTCCATACAATTAATTTGCACCACTGCACCACTCCGTGGCTCAAGCTGCAGAGAAAAGGTGCTGCGCTCCGACCGTTGTGCTCCACAAGTGTTCGTAGCTTTCTAGCTTAGGTCCAGGGCCCCTAAACCGTGCGATAGCTACCCCAACCCCCAAGCCACGCGGGGGGTTGGCCGTGAACACGAGACACAGGATCATATATGTTTGTATACATACACGATTTTATGTATATTTTTATGTATATGTGCTTGTATTTTTACACACAAACATGTATGTGTATATGCGCGTGTGATTCTATAGAGGGATACAAGGTCTTAAACTAAATCACAAGGATGGTATGTTCAGACAAGTCCCTTTGTGCGAGGGACGAACATTCGTAAACACCAGCTGTTGATATTCAAGAGGCACAAGTTAAGTTTCCCTGGAGACCCTAAGTTAGGATCCAAGTGATGGGTCCTGTTCACAAGGGAAACCAATGGTGAAGATCGGTGCAGTGCACCAGTCTGAGGAAATCCCCAAATGTGTTTGCAAATGGTCATCATTTGTGCAATGCTTTTTGACGTGAAAGCTGATGTTCCCCGTGGATATGGCATGATACCCCCTATGCCATACAAAGCCCATGAAATTGCGTGGTGTGTTCCATTCGGGGGCTGGTGACACACAACTTTTCGGTGGCTATACAGTTTTTCGGCATGTATACATACATCTTTATATTTATATGTATATATACAATTATATATATATATTTACACACATGTATGATATGTACATATATGTTTATATATACATATCTCTCTCTCTCGCACAACATATGTTTTTATTTACAAACATGTGTATACATATATATATATACCGGGGGCCTTCAAAAAAACGTCCAGCCAACTTGAACTCTAGCGAGGACTGTTAGCCACCCCCTGTCCCCCAATTTCAATGTTGTGTGAAGGCCGCGCTTCGCAGAGCCTTCAAAAAAGACAGCCATGCTTGCTCTGGCCGTTATATATCAACATTGATACAAGGGGCTCCGGTGGCTTCCGGTGCGTGTTGAATTTTTTTGGTCGCTAGAACCCGGTATCATACATATTATACACAAGTAAAGCCGTAAATCCCTTTTGAAGGCAATGTGTTGTTGAAGGAATGGAACCAGAAGGCGCTGTTTTGTCGCCAACGCCAGGCGAACGCCCAGCATTCCAGAGTTCATCACAGGGCAAATGCGAGACGTTTGCAAAAGGCCGTCGATCGCTGGGCGAAGCTGGAAATATGATGAAAAATGATTACCGTATCCAATTCTGCATCGTTCTACCAATACCATAGATGGAATATCATTTCATGTCTTATTGTAGTTTGCTAGCCATGTCCTGATACGTTGTGGGCCGTTGGTTTTTTAAGACTACTGCTGCCTGGCCAGTTGCCTGAGTTTCCACTACCAAGAGCGGCCCAGCAGCCAGCGAGCCTTTGAGTTGCTGAAGGTGGACAGATATGCATTGCCTCGATTAGATTTTGATGTACACTGCACATTGGATTAGGGGAAAGAAACAGCAAAAGGTCGGAAAAGAAAACTCGGAAGTTAGAAGAAAACAGTGTTCCAAAAAGAGTGTTTGTTGATCGTTTTCCAGATGTAGTATGTCATACTTTCTACAACGTGTTCTTGTTATTTTTTGCAACAAGACAACACACCATGTGGGTGAGTTTCGGAAATTGTACTTCACACGTTGCCCCCAATGTTTAAAGGTTAGCCATCCGGGCTTCCTAAAAAGATGCAAGGATTCAATGGCTTGAACCCAGGGTTTCCATGGCAAAGTTCCGCCTCGTATCTTTCAGGCTGCCAAGAAGGCCTGGAAGGAACTGCAATAGCTTGCTCTGAGCGCCAAAGGTTTGTGAGCCGTACCGAAGTGGCACCTGTTGGGCATCATTTAAGTTCAAAAATACACTAGATACATAGATAGACAGACAGATCGATCGATAGATAGATAGACAGACAGATAGATAGATAGATGCATGGATAGATAGATACAATGGATAGATAGATACATGGATAGGTGGATAGACGGAAAGATAGAAACATGGAAAGATAGAAAGATGGATGGATAGATAGATAGGTCGACAGATAGATCGATAGCCAGAGATAGATAGACAGATAGATCGATAGACAGATAGATAGACAGACAGATAGATCGAAAGATCGACCGACCGACCGACCGACCGATCGATCGATACATCGATAGATAGATAGATAGATAGATAAATAGATAAATAGATAGATAGATAGGTAGATTGATTGATTGATTGATTTGATTAGATTAGATTAGCTTAGCTTAGCTTAGATTAGCTTGGATTAGCTTAGATTAGATTAGATAGATAGAGCAGATAGATTAGATAGATAGATTAGATAGATTAGATTAGATTAGATTAGAATAGATAGATAGATAGGTAGACAGACAGACAGATAGATAGATAGATACATGGATAGATAGATACATGGATAGATAGATACATGGAAAGATAGAAAGATGGATGGATAGATGGATAGATAGGTAGACAGATAGATCGATAGACAGATAGACAGGCAGGTAGATAGATAAATAAAGAGATAAATAGATAGGTAAATGGATAGATAGAGAGACAGGCAGACAGTAGATACATAGACACAGACAGAAAGATAAGAAGATAGATAGAGAGAAAGAAAGATATGCACTGCATTTAGGTGTGTATTTATATAGTTAGATACAGATAGATTTGTTCACAGGTAGATAGATTTTTTACATGTAGATAGATAGACAGATAGATCGTAAGGGAGAAAGATAAATTGACGGATAGACAAATCGCCAGTCAGATAAACAGATAGATAGGTACATTACATAGATACTGCATATAGATAGATAGATAGATAGACAGATAAATAAATAGATAGAGATAGAGATAGATGTAGATGTAGATATAGAGTCACATATTTAGGTGATAGTCAGATAGACAGATAGACAGATTTACATATAGATAGCTTTAGATAGATAGATAGACCGATCGGTAGATGGATAGATCGATATAGGTTTAGATAGATGTACATGTTATAACATGTTTTCAATATGTACATATCTGTCCAAAGCCTGATGATCGCAATGACGTCATCCAAATACATGATATGCTGTTGTTTGTTTTGAAATCACCTGAACCGAGTCACCTTCCAAGGTATTCTCAGAGTCTTCGACTGGTTTCCAATGTTATCATGGCGTGCTTCCAGATCCGATTTGGGGACGCTTTCGCTGCATCAAATTCGGCCAGTGAGAAGTTTTAGCCTCAGATTTATTCTGATCGAATTGTACGAGACTTGTTTCTTTTGTGTGTTTTTCATTTGTTTTGTTTACCGTTTCAATTTGTTCATTTCAACCATAATCCAAGACCTGTGATTTCCAAGCCACCACTTGCTTTCCAAGTACAACCGCAGTTTTTTAGTGAAGAATTCGCTGCACGCGACGCCTGTCACAGGCCCGAGCCTCGTCACTAAAAAAGTCAGAGCGAGTTGTCCGTTCGATCATCAAACCTGCCTTAGGGCTCTTCCATTTTGATGTTTTATGATGTTTTATGACATAAGCATGTGTATAATATATGTATATATATATACTATCTATTTATCCAACTAATGTATGTGAAATATGTATACATATGAGTTACATATATACATATATAAGCCTTTGCCTGGATATACATATGTACATATACATCTACATATACATCTACATATACATCTCCATATACATATGTATATATATATATGGTTGTCACGAGAAAGATAATGGGTCCCATCACACATTCTTACAATCGCTGGATCATCCGCAAGCTCAGCAATTGGATGACACCGCTGCGTTTTCAGCTCACCGCCCGACGGTGCAAGCTGTCCACGGATCTGCAGGGGGATCCGTCCAAGGTCGGGAGACTTAGAGTCCAGATTTGTCCTTGGCTGAGCTACAATTTGCATATGACGAAGAATGCGATCCCGCATGATGAAATCCGACACAGTTGGATTCAATTCCGTCTTTTGAGTGTCCACCGAACCACCGAAAGCTCATGGGAAAGCGCCAGCGATTGCTCTCCAGGATGGGATGTGGCCAGAGCGGAGCGAATGTAGTGCAGGAGTTAGTCGAACCTGGGAGAAGAATTCCGCACTTGGTGTTGCTACGTTGCTTTTGGATGCTTTGTACATTTTCCATATCAACTGCTCTAGCATGAGGAGCCGCAGGTCGTGCACAGGGATTCGGCAAAGGAGAGCCAGGCACCTTGCGTGGCGCGAGATGTCCAATCCAAATTCCAAGTGAGACCTCATGAAAAAACTGCATGATACGACATAGCGGATCTGATCTGACATTATGAAATAATTAATATAAGTAGATGTGATTTTTGAATGCTTTTGATGAGCCCCTTGAGTGTTGTGAAGGTGGGGCCGAATCAGATAGATGTCAAGATTGTTGAGCTGCAGAGATGCAAGCTTCAGATTGGCGAACGACACGCGTCAGCAGAACTCACCGGAAGGAGGAAAGGATTTCATAGGTGCTGTATGGTGCTGTCATTGACCCATCCCCCGCACCAACATGCTAAGGATCAGAGGTCGAATGCCATGAACCACAGGAAGATCTGCCAAACTACGATTCCTGGACTCACCAGGCGTTTGGGTTTGGCAGGGAACCATGTAATTATATATGTGTATATATATATATACACATGAGAATATTGTCAAAGGGCTACCTGATCGTGATGCGTCATGTGCTGTCACCTGCATGGCCGTCCGAAGCTGGGGAAAGGGCTCGAGGACGAAGCCCGTGGTGGGTGTGGCGCCGCTTGTGCCATGGGGATTTGCAGCTACGGTGGTGGTTGGAAAACAAGGTGGGTGGAAGGAGCGCGGTGGGCTGGCAGGCCGCTGCCGCTCTCATCATTTGAGATTGGTAGCGGAGCCGGCGTTCCAGCATAGGGGCCCGGCATCCGATGTCGCCTGAAGGAGGTGACACAGGAAGCAGTTCTGGATTGGTGCCCAATCAACTGACCATTTTGGTGCCGACCTTCAACCCATCTGTTGACTCTGTTGACACCTGGGCCCAAAAGGCTGAGTTGTTGCTGGCAGCATGGCCAGAATCGAAACTCCAGGAGCTTGTCACTCGACTGGTGCTTGGATGTCAAGGCACAGCTTTTCAAAAGCTGCAACTGCACCGAGAAGAAGTGCTCAAGAATGAGAAGAAGGCCATCCAGCGCATTGTTGAGATTGTGGGTGGTTCCTGGGGACAAGTACCTCTAGAACAGAAATCGCAGAGAAAGCCTTGTATCGCATACAACAAAAGGCTGACGAGCCTGCTGACTCATATCTAGCTCGCATGGATGTGACCTGGACTGAGATGCTGACAAAGAAATTCAACTTGGCCGAGCTTCAGGCCTATTTGACACTGAGGAACAGCCGCCTGGGCTCTGAAGACCAGAAGCGTGTGGTGGTGGAATCAGGGATGGAAAGTGGAGGCACCCTTGAGATGAAAAAGATGACGGCCGCGATCCGCATGCTTGGATCCAACTTCTTCCAGGAGATGACAGGCCAGAAGCGAGACAAAACCATGAAGGTCTACTACCATCTCACCCTAGCTGCTGATGAATATGATGAAAGCTATGTGGGAATTGATGAGGACCTCGATGAGGACACCTTGAAAGCCCTTGCTGCTGGGCAAGATGATGACGCCACCATGGTGCTCCAATTTGAGAGTGCAGTGCCCGACATGATGCAGAATGACCGGAAGCCGCCGAGGTTGTAAAATCGCAATTTCACCTTAGTTTTTTGGCGATCGAAGCCCGTTTCGTGCGAAAGGGTTGCGTTTCGTGCCGTCTCATTGGCACTGCCCCGCGCCTTAAGGGAGAAATAGAAAAGAAGGAAAAAGAAGAGGGCAAGAGAGCAAGAGGGCAAGAGGGCAAGAGAGAATGTGAAGATGTGAAGATGTGAGGATGTGAGGATGTGAAGATGTGAAGATGAGAAGATGTGAAGATGAGAAGATGTGAAGATGTGAGGATGTGAAGATGTGAGGATGTGAGGATGTGAAGAAGTAATGATGAGAAGATGTGAAGATGAGAAGATGTGAAGATGTGAGGATGTGAAGATGTGAGGATGTGAGGATGAGAAGATGTGAGGATTTGAAGATGTGATGTGAAGATGTGAGGATGTGAGGATGAGAAGATGTGATGTGAAGATGTGAAAATGTTTGACAGACCCCCACTATTAGAAGAAACCTTCGCTCAGACGCTCTCGGGAATGAACCCGACACATTTCCAAATCAGCGTCAAAAAAAATTGCAACAGACTAGCGTAGATGGCAACCTCACCACTGATTGTAAAAGCCTTTATGATCTCATCAGTCGCACAGCGACTCCAGCATGTCAAGAGTTCAGGACTGTTTTGCAAGCCAAACTGATGAAAGAGCATTTGCAGAGTGGCATCCAGATTAGGTGGGTTCCTTCCAGTGCACAGGTGGCTGACGCTCTCACGAAAATCATAGATTGCACCATGCTGCGAACATGCCTGAAAACAGGCAAATACAGTTTGCATGATGAATCTGAAATCTTGAGAGCTCGATCCAACAAACGAGCCCCGCGACAGTGGCTTCAACACCAAGCCGCCTCCAACAATATCCGATGACCCGAACCCAGCGTGAACGAGTTGTGTTTCAATTTTGGGGGTATATTCATCATAGTCAGCTACAGTGAAAAGCCAAGTCGTCACTGCAGCATTATCATCAAGGGAAGTTGTGAGATCACAACAACATCTATGAGGCAATTTTCAATCCTCCAGGGTAGCTTTTGGTTTTGGGATCACAAGCTAATATCCTCCACATCAGGAACAAAACGAAAATACTGGGTATGTCAAAGGGCTACCTGATCGTGATGTGTCATGTGCTGTCACCTGCGTGGCCGCCCGAAGCTGGGGAAAGGGCTCGGGGACGAAGCCCGTGGTGGGTGTGGCGCCGCTTGTGCCATGGGGATTTGCAGCTACGGTGGTGGTTGGAAAACAAGGTGGGTGGAAGGAGCGCGGTGGGCTGGCAGGCCGCTGCCACTCTCATCATTTGAGAGCATATACATATATAGTATGTACATATCTCTGTATAAAAAATAAAGAATAATACATTCAGACGGGCTGTAAATGAAGACTGAGTTCCCCACGGGAAAAGTGTAGAGAGGGTGCCATCATGAGGAAAGGAAGCGCAGGTGAGAAAAGGGGAGAAAGGTGGGAAAGGGGCTTGCCGCCCTCTCACGCCCTTTTCCTCTCTTTTCCCTGTCTCTGCCCCAACTAACTTAAGCGTGTAAGTCTCCATCTGTGTTTTTGGGCTCTACTTCACGCATCACTTTCTTTTTCGCCGTTCTCCCTTGCTTTTTTGATGCATACTAATCGTTCGCAGCTAATATTACGTTATGAATATGTACATATTTATTTATGTATATTATACATATTTACGTACATACACGTTATATATATATACATATGTATGTATATATGTTTTTACATTAGTTAGTTAAATATGTTTATTTATTTATTGATTTATTTATTTATTTATTATTTATTTATTCATTTTTGGTTTACATGTATACACATACATATGTAGAAATAAAAAATACATGGAAATGTATATACATGTATATATTTATACATGTATATACATAGATATACATATATGTACACATATTTTTGCATACACATGTAGATACATATATATTTAGATATTTTCGTATATATATATATGTTTATTTTTTTATTTATTTATCTTCATATGCAATATATATGTGTGTGTGTGTAAATATCTGTACACATATGCTTACATATGTATATTCATACATATATGTACATATATACTTACAATTTTTTATGCACACATATATTTACATATGTTTATAAATATTTACATATGTATATATATATGTACATTTATATATACATATATTTATCTACGCATATATTTATTTTTTGTATATATGTGCAGTTTTTCTTTATATATTTATATACGTAGATATCAGTTTATATATATATATGCATGTGTGCGTGTCCCTTTGGTAATTTGACATAATTATGGACAACGGCCATTTTTGATGGGTAAACAATCTATACATGGACGACTTTCAATAGTTATTTCAATTACCAGAGGCCTATATGTAGATTGATACCTGTACCTATACGTAGTACGTGTGTAGAATTTGCACAATGGGATATGTGGGAAAGTTTCCTACCTGGCACTCCAAAGCATGGATGGTTTCTGACATCCTTTGAAATATCAGTGACCTATGTTCAAGATACACGACTATCATCAAGCCTGGCATCTAGTGCAATCATCACCCTGGATGGGCCATCCTTGCACGGAATTGTGCCAGTTCCGGGTTTCGAAAATTGTGATCATTGGCCGTCCAACGCTTCTTTTCGTTCAATGACGTTGTTTCATGTTTTTTTCGATAGGAATTACGTCAAGGCTCATGTCGCATCCGTGTCGATGATGTTCAAGTTGCTTAATACCCCAAGTTCCTGGGGTACGCCGTGCACAGTTGGATTCCACGGACATGAACGCTTTGAAGAATGGGCACAGCGTGCCCTTTAACCAGCTGCTTGGCTCACCGGGAAAGTTGGGCTGTGCACATATACTCACTGCACCGGCCAAAAACTGAGGTGGGCGGATAATAAGAATGCGAAGAAGACTGCCAAATCCTTGGGTAAAGCTCTCAGACTAAATTTTCAATAGCCATTTCAGTTCTTGTTTCTTGCATATCACTGAAAAGTTTCTGCAGAAATCAGTACCGCACCGTGCATCTTGGCAGTTGAACTGGTGGAAGATCCTTCGGCCTTGAAACGCGCCATCAACATGCGACGCATGGAGCTGGAGGACATGAAGCTGAGACCATGGTGTGTTTTGATCAGACATGACACAAAGGCTTCAGTGTTCAGTGTCATGCTGGCTCCACGAAAATACGTGGTGGAATTGAGGTAAATGTTGTTCTTTTAAGTAAAAGGAGAAATATGTTTGACCAGTGACAGAAGCCAAGCAACGATGTACGGTGATTCCCTTCACAGTGCACACGGAAAATCGCAGCCGGACAAATTGTATCAAACTGTGATGTCAAAATTTCGGAGGGTTCCGTCAGCACTTGGCGTGGTAGGAGGTCATCAGCTACAAGGCAGCCTCGACGCTGAACTCCATCCCGTGCGACAAGTTGGACAAACGCCTTGAAGGGATGAAAAAGACAAAGCCCAGGCGCCACTTCCACGATGAGGATGGGGTCTGTTGGACACTCCCTTTAAAATAATGGTGCTAAGTCATCATGGTTTACCATGGTTTACCATCATTATCGTTTATCTTTGCCATTGATTGCTTAATATTGCCTATAAATATAGGCTCGACTCATTTCATGCCATTACCCCAAAAAATCCAATGGGCTTATCATCATATTACCCTTGAGATGAGTTGACACCGGGTACGGCACAGGAAGAAAGACATAACAATGCTCTGAGACCAGCCATAGTAGACACACTGAAGAAAAGTCTAGGACTCACAGCGCATATTGACATTTTGCTGCATGCGTTACGTACTTGTTTCACCTGCAGTTCTGCCACGTTCATGCCATCATTCTATTCCACAGAGATTGCTTTACGATTTTACGATGCACTGGCTGTGAGTTTGTTTTCGCCTTTGGGCGCCTTGCACCATTTCTGCCTAACGGAAAGACGGTGCGACTCTCGAGTTTTGCTTGGTTCTTTTTGTGCAGAGTAGCAGTTTATTAAAGGCTGCGGACGATTCCATGGATCGGAAGTGATAGTTGCAAGGGTGGTTATTGCGAATTGGTCTTGCAGTTGCGTGACATTGGAATCACTGGCGCGGAGGCTCCACCGATGCGTCCTGCCAATATTTTCCTGCAATTTTCCTGCTGCGCACCCGTCTTCCCCTGCGTGAAGTTGTCACGTAGGCTGCGGATGTGCGTGTTGCATACCCCACGAAGTGCACGGATCTTCACAAGCCGATCCGGAGAAATAGCCCTCTGTCAACTTGTGGTATGTATATTTTGGTTATTATTTGGGTATCTTTGAAGTCTACATCGGCTTGGCTTGTGATATATGCCTATTGTCCTTTGCGTAGTGGGCAGAGTGCAAATGTTTGGAAGGATGGCCGACCCTGAAAAAAGTTCAAATTGGAGCAGCACTAGCCAATGATGGATATCTGTGCATTACGTTTGGCTGTGGCCTTCCTAGTTGACCATTGACCCGATCCATTTCCCCTAATTCTGACAGTTGGTCCAACCCTATGCAAGTCATTTCTATGCATGTATCATATCATAATAGCGTGTAAGTGAAAGAAACCGTGGGTGTTGCCTGAATGTGTGTGTGTGGGGGGGATGATTTTGGTGCATGTCAACAGCATCACAGCATCCGGACTTGCCTCTTCACTTCGAAAGCGGAGCATTGACATGGTCACAAGAATGCTTCCGCGCGGGCTGAAGCCCCTTTCGCACCTTCCGCACTATTTTTCCGCACCTTCCATCCGGAAGAAGTTGAAATGCCGTGGCCAAGAATATTGATTTTGGGTTGGTGGAGGCAAAGCTCATCAAACAGGTGGATGCCAGAAGGGGACCACATTCCTGTGATTCTCCACCAGCCACTGAAGTCATCTGTGCTGAACCAGCGCCAGCATGGGGAAGCCTGTCAGGCGTTCTTGGAGAAACAGATGCAGCCCGCTAGCGCACTTTGCTGTTTGGAGTCTTTTAACGGATGTTTCCTGAGCATTTGGATCACAAGTGCTGTCAATGAATGTGTTGTTTTTTCTGTGGGCGCAGACCTTTGGCTCCGTCGGTGAAGATCCTGCAATCGCGACTTCCTTGAAAAAACCGCTGCATAAACCCCTGTTTCGAGACCAGGACAGCGTCATGCTGATGATAGGGGTGGCACTCTTCATGATTCTCCAGTGACCATCTGGAAGGTGGAAAAGTTGCATTTTTTCGAAAGTTCAGTCAGAGAATCGGCTGCGTTTTTCATTCCCCACAACTTTGTGTGGGGTTCTTGTTTTTGATTCTGTATCCCGGGCTCCTTCTCCTCCTCCCGCCGCCTCCCTCACACATACAATAATTTCACACACACAAACTTAACATACAATAATTTCACATACAGTGCTTTCACACACACACACAAACTTAACATACAATAACTTCACACACACAAACTTAACATACAATAATTTCACACTAACTTCACACACACAAACTTAACATACAATAATTTCACATACAATACTTTCCCACACACACACACTCACACGCACACAACTTTGTCGCATACCATCTCTCACATACAATAACTTCACACACAAACTTAACATACAATAATTTCACACACACACACAAACTTAACATACATTTTTCACACTAACTTCACACACACAAACTTAACATACAATAATTTCACATACAATACTTTCACACACACACACACTCACACACACACACAACTTTGTCACATACCATCTCTCACATACAATAACTACACACACACACTTAACATAACTGTCGTTTTGCGTGGCAGGCGTGGCACTTATGGTACTGGGTGGCGCCCTTGGGCCGGGATTTGTTACAATTATTTCACATACAATACTTTCCCACACACACACACTCACACACACACACAACTTTGTCACATACCATCTCTCACATACAATAACTACACACACACTTAACATAACTGTCGTTTCGCGTGGCAGGCGTGGCACTCATGGTACTGGGTGGCGCGCTTGGGTGTGGTTTGGGCGCCCGGTGACGCCGCGCCATCTTGCGTGGCAGGCGTGGCACAACGTTACATCCACCTTCGTTTCACGTGGCAGGCGTGGCACAAACTCGCATCTACTTTCGTTTCGCGTGGCAGGCGTGGCACTCATGGCATGGGGTGGCGCGCTTGGGTGTGGTTTGGGCGCCCGGTGACGCCGCGCCATCTTGCGTGGCAGGCGTGGCACGACCTTACATCCACCTTCGTTTCACGTGGCAGGCGTGGCACAAACTCGCATCTACTGTCGTTTCGCGTGGCAGGCGTGGCACTCATGGCACTGGGTGGCGCGCTTGGGTGTGATTTGGGCGCCCGGTGACGCCGCGCCATCTTGCGTGGCAGGCGTGGCACAACCTTACATCCACCTTCGTTTCACGTGGCAGGCGTGGCACACGCTCGCATCTACTTTCGTTCCCCGTGGCAGGCGTGGTACTCATGGTACTGGGTGGCGCGCTTGGGTGTGGTTTGGGCGCCCGGTGACGCCGCGCCATCTTGCGTGGCAGGCGTGGCACAACCTTACATCCACCTTCGTTTCACGTGGCAGGTGGGCACAAGCTCGCATCTACTGTCGTTTCGCGTGGCAGGCGTGGCACTCAAGGTACTGGGTGGCGCGCTTGGGTGTGGTTTGGGCGCCCGGTGACGCCGCGCCATCTTGCGTGGCAGGCGTGGCACAACCTTACATCCACCTTCGTTTCACGTGGCAGGCGTGGCACAAGCTCGCATCTACTGTCGTTTCGCGTGGCAGGCGTGGCACTCATGGTACTGGGTGGCGCGCTTGGGTGTGGTTTGGGCGTCCGGTGACGCCGCGCCATCTTGCGTGGCAGGCGTGGCACAACCTTACATCCACCTTCGTTTCACGTGGCAGGCGGGCACAAGCTCGCATCTACTGTCGTTTCGCGTGGCAGGCGTGGCACTTATGGCACTGGGTGGCGCGCTTGGACTGGCTTGGTCGCCCATGACGCCTGTGACGCCGCGGCACTTTGCGTGGCAGGTGTGGCACTTGGTGACATCCACCTTCGTTTCACGTGGCAGGCGTGGCACTTGGTGACATCCACCTTCGTTTCGCGTGGCAGGCCTGGCACTTCGGGCACTGGGCTGGCTCTGGCGGTGCGCTTGGACTGGATTGGTTGCCGGTGACGCCGCGGCACTTTGCCTGGCAGGCGTGGCACTTGGCGACATTCACCTTCGTTTAACGTGGCAGGCGTGGCACTTGGTGACATCCACCTTCGTTTCGCGTGGCAGGCATGGTGCTTGGTGACATCATGTGACATCCACCTTCGTTTTGCGTGGCAGGCGTGGCACTTGGAGACATGCACCTTCGTTTTGTCACACACCATCTTTTACACACCATCTTTGACACACCATCTTTCACACCACTTTGTCACACACACACACCATCTCTCACACACCGTCACAGACCATCTTTCACACACCATCTTTCACATACCACTTTGTCTCACACCATCTTTCACCACACCATCCTTCACGCACCACTTTGTCACACACCATCTTTCACACACCATCTTTCACCACACCATCTTTCACACACCATCTTTCACCACACCATCTTTCACACACCGACTTTGTCACACGCCATCTTTCACACACAACTTTGTCACACACCATCTTTCACACACCAACTTTGTCACACACCATCTTTCACACGCCTCTTTGTCACACCCCACCTTTCATACACCATCTTTCACACATCACATTGTCACACACCATCTTTCACACACCATCTTTCACACACCACTTTGTCACATACCATCTTTGACACACCAACTTTGTCACACACCACTTTGTCACACACCATCTTTCACACACCATCTTCCACACACCACTTTGTCACACGCCATCTTTCACACACCGTCACAGACCATCTTTTCACACACCATCTTTCACACACCATCTTTCACACAACACTTTGTCTCACACCATCTTTCACCACACCATCCTTCACACACCACTTTGTCACACACCATCTTTCACCACACTATCTTTCACACACAACTTTGTCGCACACCATCTTTCACCACACCATCTTTAACACACCACTTTGTCACACACCATCTTTCCCACACAACTTTGTCACACGCCCTCTTTCACACACAACTTTCGCACACACCATCTTTCACACACACTATCTTTCTTAGTCACACACCAGCTTTCACATACAACTTTGTCACACACAACTTTGTTTTACTTCTCGATCCTCCACCACCTCCTTTGTCTTTCCTTCCCCGTCCCCGCTACAACATTTGGTGCTTATTATTGAAAGAAGTCGAAGTTGTCTTGTGGGGTTATCCGGTCCTTTATTTTTTTTCTCAAGTTCTATTTTGGTGGAAGGCGGAAGGCCTTCCATGATGGGGGTCACGTTTATGGATGTTTATGCCCATGATGTCGCATCTAATGTGGCTCCGAGAATCTTCATCCCGCAGCTTCAGGATGGGCTGCACTTCCAGCAGCGCCACAAGAGCTTTTGAAAAGCAGGGACGCAAGGACAAGCATTGGTGATATTTGGTGATGGGAAGTAACATCGTCACTGGTTCTTGTTGTTCTTTTGGTTCTTCTTCTCCTGTCCTCCTCCTTTCATCGTTTGTGCCATTTCATGTCATTCATGCAGCTCAATGCGGAACCACCAGAGCAGTACACAGTTAATTCATCTGTGCCGGTTCCTCACATGCTGAGCACCAAGAGCCTGCAGGACACCTCTACATCTTCAATTCAGATTGGAAACAGCCGCCTGACTCAGCAGAGAATGCCAGCTATAACCCAATAATTGGTCAAGAAGGCATTCGACGAGAACAATCATGCTGCTTTGTGGCCCGTTTCAGGTATTAAGTCCTTGTTTGCATTAAAACCCATAAAGATGCAAAGCTAAGGATCCGAAACTGAATGCGAGCCCACAATTTCTCGACGAGAATACAACTCCTGGAAACATGAGGTGCCGTCTTGAATTGACAGAGTGGCAGCCCCTCCCTGTTGCATCAACCCTTGTGTCACGGGCTGCATCAGGTAGATTTGACTGATTTGCAGTCGATCGAGAACGGCATGGCGCTGCCTGTGAATCAGATCCTTAGCTACACTGGTGATCATCGTTGCATGAAAAAATATGAAAGTTCGCAACAAAGAAGCAAGATGAAGCTTTGGGCGTTGTGCCCTGTGTTTAGTGAACTCAGTGAACGAACCCTGCAGCCAGGTGGGTTCACAAAGCCATGAGTGAAGAATTGAGCAAAAGCTTGAGCCGAGACCTCGTGGAAACTCGTGGATTACTTGGGATCGAATATTCCAGCCGCTATCCCCGGAGAATGGTTGGTTATGGTTACATCATGTTATATCCCCAATGATTATTGTAGATCCATGATATCCTCATTGCATCCCCATATTTTAGTTGATTTAGTTGTATACATCCGTTTTTCAATGAAATAGTTCAGAAGGATATTCCGACAATCAAACCATGTGCTGCGACGTGTGAGGTGGTTACTTGGTCGAGCCAGGAAAGTTGGCAGAGACTATCCAGGAAAGAAGAGTGAAACTGGAGGAGCCGAGTCACAACACAAGGGAGGAATTGCGCCCTGAGTTTTGGTATGTTTTGATATGCGATGATGACAATATCAGCATGTTCATGTTTGATATTGTCATGTATTATCGCAAGATATCGCAAGTACATCTATTGTAACTATCGTATCTGCAACATTTTATAACCCCTATTGCTGGTATTTGTCATCATCTTATGGACCCCTCATGGTTGCAGCTGTAAACCCTGTACTACCTGTGGGATTGGCAGCTGCCCCGCTGCCATCGTCAGGAAATCGCCGCACAGAGTGAAACTCTTACCGCTGCGACTCTCACAGTTCTATCCTCAGTTGATGCCAAGGTATGGGTCAAGATTACGGGTACACAAAAGGACGATTCGTTTTTGTCCATTCATCTTTGTGTTGAACAGTGTTATGGATCACTTAAAGGTATGATTTTCGTGACCCATCCTCAGCTGGCTGCAATTGTTGTAGAGCAAGCAATTTCAATGGCTAGCAGTTTGGATGACCGCATGTGCTGGCTGTGTTTGAGATGCTGAGTGATCTGTCCAGGATCTGACCAAAAGCAGAAACCTGGAGGGCTCGAAAAGCCCTGCCACTTGCCAGGCATTGAAGCAGCTGACGGGGATTTACACTGTGACATGTTGGGGTGATGTTCTTGCAGAGTCCGTTTGTCTTATTTGTTTGACTCTAGTTCAAGCGTTTTCTTCGCAAGATTCCGTTAGTAGTCCCCTTACATCCCACAACTACCCAATGGATATCCAATTCATATCTATTTATATCCAAACAATAGTCCCTAAAATATGTACGTGTACATACATACATACATGCATGCATGCATGCATGCATGCATACAGGCATACATGGCATACACGCATGCATCCATGCATACCATACCATGCCATGCCATGCCATGCCATGCCATGCCATGCCATGCCATGCCATACCATACCATACCATACCATACCATACATACCATACATACCATCCATACCATCCGTACAATCCATGCACGCATGCATGCATACATGCATACATAAATACACGCATGCATCCACGCATACATGCATACTTACATACATCAATACAATAAATTTCAATACTATACAATACAATACAAGACAAGACAATACAATACATACATACACATACATATATACACATACATATATACACATACATACATATTCAAGAGCTGGTAAAACAATTGTTTGCTCAACATGCGGGGGGGGTTCTGGACGGGGTGTGCAAATATTTATTTATTTATTTATTTATTTATTTTATTCATTTATTTATTATATTATATTATATTTCATTTTATTATATTTTATTATATTTTATTCTATTATATATATATGCGTGGGTGTACCCCATGTATATGTTCCCCTCAATCGGTGGCCAAGTCGTGATCTTCCGAGCTTGAGGATTATCTGAGGGCAGAGATGGACAACTCCAAGAGTAGCGCCAGGACCTCGGAAAAAATGGGAGTCGCCACGGGGATGGATGGGATAATTATCGTGACTATTATAGTAAGATTTAATGTGGATCTGATGTGAAATAATTTGATTTAACGACCCAAGATATGGGAGTTCCTGAAAATATACCGGAAATTCGCAAGTTGGGAAAATCGCCAGTTGGGAATCTACGTTTGGCCCAGGTGGTCACGTTTGACCTGGGCAGAGACGAAAAGGCGCAGCATATTTTCAGGAAAGCTGTTTAGATGTGTAACCATTCCTGGGTTTGCTACAGTATCCATCTATAAACACATCTAGACCTTATGACTTTATAGTTGTTGAGATCATGTGAGGAGATGGTTCCACAGTCGCGGGCAACCACCGCGCTTCGCCTGCTGACAGGAAATAACATCTCTGCCATCTGGGAATCTCGGATGCACTGCTGTCACCCTGTCCAGGTGGAAACACATCGATCCGTATGAAACGGAGGTGTCCTAAAATCGGGGTACCCCAAAATGGATGGTTTATAATGGAAAATCTTTTAAACATGGATGATTTGGGGGTACCTCTATTTTAGGAAGCCTCTAAATGAGCTACTTCAGGAACATGAGGTAAAGAGCGATTTATGGATTATAGGTTTGCATTGTAATGAGGCCAGAATTTGGGGTTCATGTTCTTAGCTACTATTGGCTTCTGACCTGTGGATTCTCGAAGACGGTGAAACATCGTGAAACTCAAATGCATCAGCCACTGGCGAGCATCTTATCATTGAACCATACAAACCTAGATGGGACCAAAAAAAGGCAAGCAAATACGCAGCTCAAAATGAACTTGTTGCAGGGTATCTAGGATCAGCATTGTCCAGAAGAGTTGGACACCGCTAAGGCAGAATTTGATCATCGGATTGTGAAAGCTCATTGCGGCGAAGTCAAAAGCTGTGGCCGAAGTTTTCAAAGTCCTTCGTTGGGACTTCTCCTTTTTTACCAAACAGTGTGGCCACACTTGGGGTTCTTGCGGGAAGAGTTAAGTTTTAAGGCTTACTGTTCGGTCGAGGTGGTTTTCGGGATGGGCGGCAAATTTGATGACCCTTAGAGAACAAACGCTCCTTCATTTTCGTTTTTGACGGACGTCTTGCACGAAACTTGGGCAGGGGACCCATAAATCTTTCATTTTTGATGGAAGTCTCGCACGAATCGGTGGCCCAGAGACCTCTCGCGCAACCCTCTCGTCACTTTGGGCGTGCCGGATAGCTCTCGTTGGCGCGGTGCGAATCTGAGATCGCTTGCGCAACCCTGAGCCTCTCGTCACTTTGGGCATGTCGGATCGCTCTCGTTGGCGCGTGCGAATTTGAGATCGCTCGCGCAGTGCCGGATCGCTCTCGTTGGCGCGATGCGAATTTGAGATCGCTCGCGCAACCCTGAGCTTCTGGTCACTTTGGGCGTGTCGGATCGCTCCCGCTGTGGCGCAGTGGCGCAGTGGTCATGTTTATAGTCAAGGAGATCTTGTGCGGAGATCTTGAAATGAATGGTTTTTTATAGAGATTTTGCACAGAGATCTTGACAAGAGATGTCTTGTAGAGATCTTGTACAGAGAGATCTTTTAGATATCTTGTACAGAGATCTTGCCAAGAGGTCTCTTAGAGAGATCTTCCCAACAAAGCTCTTTTGGAGCGCTTCTAAAGAGATCTCCTCAAGAGATCTTGCCAAGAGACCTCTTATAGATCTTATAGGGAGCTTGTAGAGAGATCTTGCCAAGAGACCTGTTAGAAAGATCTCGCACAGAGACATTGCATAGAGATCTGCTGATATCTTGTCAAGATTGTGATGGTGATGTAGCACTAAACTCCGAAGACTCTGGCAAGTGACACTGTACAAACAAAATGCTGTCACTGGTGGGAATAGAGAAGAGTGGGGGTGTCCCATCATCCCACCCTTTGTTAAACAATCAGCACAGAACGGCACCGGCGTAACACACCCCAATAGGGATGCTACCCAGGCCGCTGCGCGAAGCGGTGCGGAAGGCCCGAGTGACAAGAAGCCTGTGCACACTACGGCACAGACCGTCCACTGCATCCAGCCACGCTAAGCGGTGCAAGAGGATGCAGTGAGCCTTTCCAAAATCAAAAACTTAATTGCACACCCAATTCTAGCAACTCAAAAAGCGGAAATGAGGCAAAGACAGCCCTATCACTACCAATCCAGTCATTCGAACGGAAGGTGACTCAGCAATCCCGGATATGACCTGCAAGCAGGGGCCGCACGTCCGGCTGCGACCTCAGACTAGGAAGACAAATCGAAAACGAGGTCATCAACACTAGCCTAATTTCCTGGAGACACACTCCGGCCAGAAATCAGGTGCCCTGCATCAACTCATCTCTTAAGAGACTAAGGTGCTTCAAAACTTGCAGACGCCGTTCGGTGGCGTCGACATGGCAAGAGCTGGCCTAAAGTCAGCTCGCTGTCCAGCTAACATACTTGACAAAATAAGCTGGCGCCTTTGCACAACTCATGTACTATACACTGTCAATTACTATGAGTGGCCCGCTGGGTCGCCCACGAGGCGGACTGTGGACATGACCCAGCATATCTTATCTTGAAAGACAATTGTCATAGAGAGTTTCTGCAGAGATCTCTGAAACAGATCTTGCCAACAGACCTCTTAGGGAGCTTGTGCAGAGAGCTTGCCAAGAGACCTCTTCTAGAGATCTTGCACAGAGGCATTGCATAGAGATCTTGTACAGAGATCTTGCCAAGAGGTCCCTTACATAGATCTTGCCAACAGAGGCCTTATAGATAGCTTGTACAGAGATCTCCTCAAGAGATCTTGCCAAGAGACCTCTTACAGGGAGCTTGTACAGAGATCTTGCCAAGAGACCTCATTTAGAGATCTGTACAGAGATCTTGCCAAGAGGTCTCTTACAGAGATCTTGCCAAATAGGGACCTTGTAGAGAGATCTTGTGCGGAGACCTCTTATTGAGATCTTATACAGAGACCAAGTGAAGAGAACAGACATCTTTTTCAGAGAGCTTGAACAGAGATCTTTTTTTGAGAGATCTTCTGTGGAGATCTCTTCTAGGCACCTTGTACAGATAGCCTTGCAGAAATCTTTTGTGGAGATCTTCACAGGGATCTTACACAGCAGCTTCTACAGAGAACCTGTTAAGGAGACCTTGCACACAATCTTCTACAGAGATCTTCACAACGGGAACTTGCAGACTCTAACCTGGTACCTCTTCTTCCACACCATGCTTTCACTGCTACGGTCGCTCTTGTCCTGTTAGCTTGGAGTCACTGATGATTTTGGGTCCTTTCCGTTCTTCCCATTAGAATCCTAGCGGCACACTGTTTGGGGCCAGGATAATGAATGGCCCTGGGAAAACCCCCTTGACAATTTCCATGCATACCATGACTATCATGACTCAATGACTCATGACCAATGAACACATGTCATATAGTTTCAGCATCCCATTTCAACGCGCTGGTGGGCCCAGGAGCTCTGCATTTTACTGGACTCTTGATGTTTGAAGAACTGCAAGGGTCCGAGGGGCAAACAAGTCTTAGTGGCTTGTTGCACTCAACCTCTATTGGTATTCCATTTATATCCGCCATTGCGGTACGCTTTTGGAATTCTTCCATTATCGTAGTAGGATTGCACTCGGGTGCTGTGAGCGCTGAGTTCTCGATACATGACAGGGTTTTCCCCCACCGATTATCTAATAGGCCCACAGATGCTTGATAAGCTCTGCCAAGCTACTGCAGGATTCAGGCCTCTTGACAAGTTCCAGAAATATGTGTCTGTGTTTGTGTTCAAATCTCGTCCTCACATCCACATCCGACTGCGCCTGTGCCAGCCAGACTTGATCAGTCCCAAGATCCGCTAAGTACGTGCCGCCATGAGGGCAGCATCGGAGCTTGGCAGATGTCCTGGGATGGCACCCAATTTAATACACGCGTGCAGTTTTCCTCACACATTCCACGACCCCACGTGGTTTCAAGCTGCGGCTCGAATGTGCAGAGGCCCAGATTCTCTGTGCAGAAGTTCCTTGAAGCTTCCCATTCGACCTCGGGTCGAGTGATATCAACTGATATCACCTGATTCAACTTGTTTCACCGGTGACAGAAAGGTCCAAGCTGCAAGCTCCAAGCTGTACCAAGATCAAGCTACAGCTTTTCAGTATCTCACAAGCCAAATAGCGGCCATCCATTTCTTCTCCATGAAATTTCCATGACATCCTGTGGCTCAAAGACGAGCCGTGGCCGTGGCTGATTGTGGCTGGAGAGGTGGTGCTGAGCCGTGGCCGCTGTGTCCATGGCCAAGTCGATCTGATCCCGCCAGGTGCGATGCGAATAGTACGATGGACTGGTCAAAGAATGACACCTTGCCATCGTCCGGGCCTTGGAGATGCTGGCCCGATCATGATAGATCGATATCTTTGAAATATCTTAACGAAACATTTTGGAAACGAAGATCTTTCTTGGATTGAGATATGTTGAGGTGTCCTAAACTTTGGGGAATACCCTCAAAACATCCATGTTATTTTTCGGAATCTTCCATTCTAAACCATCCAGCTATTGGGGTACCTCCATTTCACCAGGCTCGGCGGCAAGCCTGGCACCCGAGGACATCGGAATGGCCGGAGATGTAACCAACAATCATGGGGAATTCTATGGGGTTAATATGTTTGGAGGATGGAATATCCCCTGCTACGGGAAGACAAACCATCACTTTATAATATATTACCTTACAGGGATATAGTGGGGATATTTCTGGATGAAAGACGAGCTATCTGGATTCAATATAACTTCCAGTGATGTCGATGGCTAGGACCGGGGTAAGTATCCCCAAAATGCAAATTGTGAGGTTAGTGAATTATTGTTAGTTATCCAGATACCATGGAAATGTCAGATCAAGCAATGTGGACAGTTGATCGGTGATGAATATCAACAGATCTTCTTCCTGTCCCGTTGAACATTCGGGGAGTTGGGGGCTTCAAAACCATGGTTTGCTGTGACGCGATGGCCTTTGAACTGGGATGAAATGGTGAATTCTTAGGGGACTACTTTCGGTGAAAATGGAATATAATGATGATGCTGGGGTGAAACACGGAAAATTGCAGTTGGGCCAGGAGAGATGCCACGAATGTTCGGGGGCCATGGTGATTTGGGGTCTGCTCGGAGCAGTGTGCAGGATGTGTTGGTGCTGAGTTGAAAACGAGCACGAAGACTGAACAGACCTAGAAATCACTCTGCTGAGCCGCTGCGATGACGCAACAATGGGTTGAGAGAGAAGAAAGTCATATAATGTGATTTCACATACACACACATGTATGTATGTATGCATGCATGCATGCATGCATGCATGGATGGATGGATGGATGCATGCATGCATGCATGTATGTATGCATGCATGTATGTATGTATGTATGTATGTATGTTTTTTGTACACACACACATATATATATATATATATTGTATATTGCCACGGGCATTCTTGCTGAAAGCAGTACACGAGTTTTTTGCATTCACTGTGAGACTTTCCAGGTTCCAGCTTGGGGGCCTGAAGGCTTAGCACCTGGCCTGGGGGCTGGAGAGCGAGGCGTGACGGGCGGAGGCAGCTTCACTTGCGGCCTGAGGGCCTGGACAGCCAGGCTTCACAACGTGGCCAACCTTTTGAGCTCTCACTCAGCGGTGATGCCGGGCCTCTGGGCGCGACTGGCCGGCAACCCTGACTCGCCTGCCTCGCCGCCGTCGCCGTCAATGATGATCGCCTGTTTCGGTGGCTATGTGAAGGGCCCGGCAAGGAGTTCAACCGCAACTTCTGGCTCCAACAGCAACAGATGGCATTCAAAGCGAACATCCATCGAGTGGTTCCCACAATGCGGGGTTCGTACGGTAAGTGTAAAAACCGGGGTTTGATCACGGTGCCTTTGCCACCGCCAGATATAGGCAGAGGCGGAGGCTTGCGCTAAGGACAGTTCCAAAAAGAATCGTGCAAAAATGTCATGCGTCTGTACGGCAGTCCGGTCCGGAAAAACATGAAGTCTTACCTGCAGGTAGGTTGCGGCAGCAGCCACAGTGCTCCGGTTTGACTGCTGGGCCTGTATGCTGCGCATTGTTTGAAACGCTGCTGAGTCACAAATCAGGCAAGCATTCTGCTTGCCCGGCTTTGCGGGAAAACCCCATCTATAGAGGTATTGTCCACAAGTGGATGGGCTGACATTTCGCGATGAGACTAAGACTCTGAAGTAGTCAGTGCCGAACTCGTCGGCGTGCCATCTTAACGCGCTTACAATCCACCTGCCGACACTCAACATCGACAGGTCTTTGACTAAAACGCCGCGCCAAAGGCATGGAAAGGTCGGATCCTGAGCCTTGAGGATCATGGGTCATCCCTATCAATACTAATGTGCCTTGGGTGCCGGATGACTCAAAACATCCATGTTCTTTTCGGAGCTCGTGCTGACATGGCACATTTCAATATGCAAAATGCGTCATACACACAGGCACATTCATGCGAATAGCTGGTGGTAATGGCATTCAATATCCGCCATACACACAGGAACATGTAAATAGCTGATGGTAATGGCCGTCTGAGTTTTCATGCTTTGCCTTTGGCCTGAAGCCTGAAGCAGCTGTCAAAAGATCCTCTTGCCGCGTTCAGCTTGATCCGCAGGTATGACCTCTTTTGTGCCTGCTGCCGTGGCTGAAGAAGCCCCAGCTCCGTTTGACGGAGCCCGCATCAAGCACCCAGTTGACGCAGTGAACAAAAAAATGCTCACGGTGCCAGCACAAAAATGCCAACAGCATTAGCCACTATGGCTACCTAGAGAAAGATGCGGAAGGCAAATGGCAGTTTGCCGAGATTGCAAGCAAAGATTTCCAAACTGCATTGCTGCCTCAGAGGATACTTCCAGAGGGAATCTTGCGAAAAGCAAGCTCCATTTTTCCTGCCGCTGTTGCGGCACCAAGTTGGATTTGGATTTGCAATACAATGACCATGACGGCCCAAGCACGGCCTTCGGGGAGGGCTGCAAGGACTTTCAAATCGGACATCAGCTCCTTCCAGGTGCAAATGTCCCCGGAGAAAGTCCGCCGACTCGATCCGGCGCAAGTCACACAGGTCAAAACGAGCTACAAGCTCTTGCAAGATGCCCGCGTGGCATCCGACTGGGTGACCCAACTTAGCCGCAATGAGATTGCGGCACGCAGCCTTGGCGTACCATGCGTCTATGGCTGCAATTGCAGGATGGTGCCGCTTCAAACCACTGGTTCCTGCTGCAGAACCCAAAATGGGAAGAGCTTGTCTGGGTCTGCAGCCTTTGTAACACCAAATTTACTTTGTCGAAGTCACCCGGCTACCTCATTTTTGAAGATTGCGGAAGAGCCCGCTATTACGTTCAAGGTGCCGTACTTGAATAGTTCCTTGGAGAACAAAATCAGCTTGCTCCAGGCAGTCTCTCCGACGATTCATGTCGCTATGCAAAGGGGCAAGTCAAGTTGGGAGAGCTGACTGATGTGGTTGGTTCTCCTTCGTCCCCTGGCAGGGGTGCCACCTGCGGGTGAGCTTGTGGTGATCATGCGGCCCTCTCTCATGCATCACATCCTGACCACGTTTGGTTGAGCAGCAAAAAAGGAAAGCAGCACATCCTTGTGAGTGTCAAGAATTATGTGTATATTTATATATATATACTTAATAATATACAATACATGTATGTGTATGTATAAATATATATATAATTATATATATATAGTTATATATATATATATATTGTATATATATATATATTGTATATAGGCTTTTGTGCGCGTATTCTTTTCGCATCTGTGGATAAGTTTTGGCACGCGAAACCTTCTAGAACTACCACGGTGTTTGAGGCGGGGGCTGGCACCCCTTACCTCGAGCCACTTCATGAAATCCGATGAACAGGCACGACTGCACGGCCGGTGTTTCGCCCAGAAGAACAAATCGAACAGCACGGGGTGGAGTTTCCCAATATGATGGTGGAAAACCTGAGGAAAAAACGGTTTTATGATGTCATAATTTAAGAAAAGCAAAATCGTGAAATTGGGATAATTTGGGCATGTTGTGTACCAGTAGGACCCGCACAACGCGGCGGCAGAAGTTTCAAAGATAGGAAACCCAGAGGTGAGGTTTGGTTGCGGTGGTGCATGGAAGGCAGGGCGAACCCACTGATGGATTGAAGGGTGGCTGAGGCTCTGAGTCTCTCATTCTCTCTATCTGTCTTCTCGTCTCTTTGTCCATCCATGTCTCCGATCATCTCTCCCCTACGTACAACTACCACCTCGTTGGATGGTCGATTCTGGCTACGTTGAAGCACAGACGATCTCTCTCCTTCTAATGTCTCTATCGCTATCTATCTACCCATCCATCACTCGGCCTATCTTGCTGTGTTTCTTTTTATATACCCCCAAAAAAATCCACTCCATTATCAGGACCCGCGGGGGTTCGCCAAAACCATTTTTTTGGACAGCCTAAATGCCTGCAAGGATATGCAAATGCAGGTTCCTGATTTTGGAGAGGGAACATTTTGTAGTTGGCTGAAACTGTAGGTTCCTGATTCTGTAGAGGTTTTGGGGCTGGTCAACATTCCAATATACACATTATATTTTGCAGGTTTCCCATTTTGTAGAGAAAAATCGTGGAACATGCGTTTTCACATTTTGTAGAGAAACTGGCATGGTTTGAGGAGAAAAAAAAACGGAAATGTGGCACAGGACTTTCCCTCTACAAAATGGAGTTCAGTGCATTTCAGGGTTTCCAGGTGAGACCAAGGTTCTCTGAGATCACCCCTCTACAAAATGGACTTTTGTATTTTTGAGGGCTTTCTTTATTTCAAGCAGCCATTCTGCTTACATGTGTGCTCATGCACGGTTCCTCATTTTGTAGAGGCCAGTGGTTGTGAAAATCACAAAAGTGCACCCAAAAAAAGGGGTTGGGTACCCTGATTTTGTAGAGACGATGCCTTGCTACATTTGTGGCAGGTTCCTCATTCTGTAGAGATCTGGGGGCCCCAAAGTCAGGTTTGGCTCTACAAAATGGGGACACCCAACCCCCCTATGTCATTTTTTGGGGGGATCTTTTTATCCATTTATCTACCTGTCCATCTCTCAACATCTTCTACTATTGCGCCTGTCGATCCAGCTATCCATGTTTGTCACTTCCATGCTTACAATTTCTCTTCAAGCATCCCACGCCTGCCATCGTTTTCGAAACTGCTACAAAATCCACACGTTTAGCTCACTTTTGTAAAGGTGCAGAATCCATTGCGCGTGCCGCTTCCGTAAAGGTGCAGAATCCATTGCGCGTGCCGCTTCCACGTCCACAAGCGGTCCGAACGTGGTGTGCTTTTCACATTTTGGCTTTGAAATGTGCTTCGCGCGACAACAGCATGTCTTTTTTCGACATCTCAACCTCCAAAAGTGGTCCGAGACCGTCAGTTTTTAACAAGCTTCACTTCGAAACATCCTTCCCGCCACAACGGAGTGCACGTTTTCAACATCTGCGCTTGCAAAAGTGCTCCGAACATGGTGCGCCTGGCGCACTTTTACTTCGAAACGCGCTTCGCGTCACAACAGCGTGCACTTTTCACACGACTCTGAGGTGTCTTAAACTTTTTGAGTTCCAAATCTCCTTCGCGCCACAACGGCGCGCAATTTTTGATCTCTCATCTCCCCAGATGGCTCCGCACCTGCGCTTTAGCGAGCCTACTTGTCGACCCTCCCTGAAGCACAAAACATTGAGAAAGCGCTGTGTTTTGCGACTTCTCTACCTTTTCGCGCGCCTGCATCTTTCTTTCTTCTGTGACTCTTTCTCTTCTCTGATCTTCTTTCTTTTTTCATTTCTGTTCTCTGGCTCTTCCCGCCTCTGCTGCTTCATCTACCCATATTGTCGGAAGTTTGACTTCGTTCGGCGATTGCTAAGTATTGCTATATGGTGTCCTATGAATGGTAAATATTGGTGAGCCATTGGTGAACCACGACATCCCCACTGTTTGAGCATGCCAGGGCCCAGTACCACGAAGTGCCCATGGAAATCGCCTAGGCCAGCTGTGGGGGCACCGTGGCATTCGATCAACAGAATGAAAGTTGGATAAAGTGATATAAAGTTGGTATACAAATAGATTGATAGATTGATGTTTGCCAACTTTAGTTTTATACATCTATATTTGTTTTCTCTCTCTCTCTCATTGATAGCTGGTATATATCATTATATATCTATATTTTGTTATGTACTTAATTAATTATTCGATTGAACGCGCAATGGCGGAAATTTTCACTTCAGCCACTCAGCCACTCTGGCAGAGTGGCTGACGCAGCCACTCTGGCAGAGTGACTGAGTGGCTGAGTGGCTGCTCCAGCCACTCTGGCAGAGTGACTGAGTGGCTGAGTGGCTGCTCCAGCCACTCTGGCAGAGTGGCTGAGTGGCTGAGGGCAGAGTGGCTGAGTGGTCTGAGTGGCTGCTCCTCCAGCCTCTCCGGGAGAGTGGCTGAGTGGCTGAGTGGCTGCGTCGGCCACTCTGGCAGAGTGGCTGAGTGGCTGAGTGGCTCCTCCAGCCACTCCGGCAGAGTGGCTGAGTGGCTGAGTGGCTGCTCCTCCAGCCTCTCCGGGAGAGTGGCTGAGTGGCTGAGTGGCTGCGTCGGCCACTCTGGCAGAGTGGCTGAGTGGCTGCTCCAGCCACTCTGGCAGAGTGGCTGAGTGGCTGCATCAGCCACTCTGGCACAGCGGCTGAGTGGCTGAGTGGCTGCGGCAGAGTCATCAATCAATGATATGGACGGATAAAGTTTTAAACATTTCAATATCCAAGCAAGAGTATATATATATATATGACATTGACAGCAACTTGATTTACAAACATAACCCTGTAAACTTCAACTGCCATAGCTACATAACTTCAACGGATTGATTAAGAATGGCCACATATACACTTTGAACCATAACCTGAAATCACTTAAAAAGAAAGAGAGTGGTGATGAACTCTACAAGTTCAGGATTGGAAACAACTATTACAACGACTATTTGGTGAGCAAAGAATGGCTATGGTGTGCTGTAACGAGAGCAACAGATTTCAATAATGTATATTTTTCAAAAATGATACAGCCGACGAAGATATGTTTAAGAATTTGGTAGTTAACTATTTTAAAAACAAGGTTGAAGGTCACAAAGGACAAGACAGAAAAGGAAGAGAAATAGTTGATGAATACATTGATGAACATGTTTGAAGATGTTCAAGGGTTGTTGTGCAAAGTGTGGAGTTAAATTTAATCTTGATACCAGAGGTGGCAAATTATCAAGTAACTTTACGGCGCAGAGAGGTGATAATGGACTGTGCCATTCTATTGACAACAGCGAGGCTTATTGTTGCCACTGCAATTCTTCTTCACATTAGATTTTTTCAAAATAATAAACTTAATAAAATATTGGTATGAGTAAGCAAGAAATCATAGGAACCATATATTTTTTATAAAGCAGGGTTTGGTTCCAAAAACACTACTTTGAAGGATGCAAGAGAGAAAGACAAATCTATTACTATGAAAGATGTTGAAGATTTTTTTCGAAAAGAGTGTAGAGATAAAAATGAACCCGAGAGGCTATAACAGCTTTGTTGTTCCACATAACAATCATAGATACCAAGTTGATATATTCTTTGTTTCCAAAAAAGATTTAAAGGTAAAACAAAGATACAGAGCTGGATTAGACAAAGATACAGAGCTGGATTAGTCTGTATTGATTGTTTGAGTAAGTATGCTGTCGTAGTCCCAGTAAGAAGGAAAGAGACAGGAAGTGTTATTCAAGGAACAAAGAAAGCGATAGAGAAGATGGCAAAGAAACTTGAAATCATATACACCGACGACGAGAAAGCTATAGCAAGTGGTGAATTCCAAGCATATGTAGAAAGCGAAGGCCGAATTGTATAGGACAAGAGGCCATCCTGCTTTTGCCGAGCGTTTTACAAACAACTTTTAAAGACAAATTATGCAAAAGAGTTGAGAACGATGAAAAGAATAAAAAACGAATATACAATGGATAGACTACATAGATGAAATTGTGTTAACTTACAATAATAAAGATGTGCATTCCGCTACAGGTCAAACACCGTATAAAGCCAGAGATACAGACAATGAATTCAAGTCAAGATTAAACATTGCAATGAAAGCAAAGAAACAGAGGCTCTATCCTGAACTATTTGTGGGAGACAAAGTAAAAATCAAAAGGAAGAAAGCAACAACGGAGAAGGAGAGAACCTCACACTTTTTGAAAGGTGAGTATACCGTAGAGTCCATTGATGAAAAATTGAATCAAACATATTATACATTAGAAGGATACAATAGACCACTATTGAGGCATGAATTGCTGAACATATAAATTACCATTTATAGGAAATCTACTTAAAGGAATATCATATATATATTATCTATGTATATATATATATTAGCGAAATGTCATTCAGTGATACAAGTAGTGAACGTGAAATCAATCAAGAAGAATACATCAAACAAAAAATCTTAAGCTGTAAATGTAGTGAATATGCAACAACAAAATGAATTATAAAAACTAATTTTACCGATGGTATTGGTAATAAAATTTGTGAATATGTAGCCTGTAAAAGTTGCTCAAATATAATGAGTCATTTTGATTCAATTGAAATTGATATTAACCCTTGTGACGATGATGATATTGATGAACAAATTCAAATTTATGTTTATAATACTTTAGTGAATGAAATTCCAGATGATAAAATGAATTTAGTATTAAATGAAAAAGATATAAGACATTATCAAGATTGTGGACAAGGATTGAAAAATGTTGTAACAATTCATATTCTACGGTTGCATTCTGCATGTTAGAAATGAATATTAATGATGCTGATTGTATGGATGATAACTTTAATCATGAAACCTTTGTAGATTGCTTAAGAAAAATATTGTTGCATATCAAAGACAATGAACAGTTTATTGGAAATACAATATTGACGAGAATAGGTTTGACAAAGTGTATGAAAGAATACAACAAGGAATTTATATTTGAATCCCATAAATTTTCATATCAGATAATATGTTTTTTTTTATGGCATAAGGAAATACACTTAAAATTGAAAGGATAATACCTTATAATAGTATGGAGAGTAGAAAGTGCACAAAGTGTAAGAAAAACAAAAATGGTGACGAGTTCAATGGAATGAATAGAATGTGTATTGAATGCTTGGACAAACAAAAGGAGAGTAACAAAGTATATAATCAAAAGGAAGTATTCTGCGACATTTGCCAACGGAATGTGAAACAATGCAGGTTGTCCAAACATGTCAAAACCGACAGGCATTCCAGCAAGAAGAGAAAAAACAAACATATATGGAGGAATACTTAAAAGATGATGGAGCCAGAATTGCAAAATTGAAATAAATCTGGAAAACCATTACACCAAAAAACTTTAAAAGACTTTAACCCCATAGTTTTTTCATATCATAATATATGAAAATTTATGATTCGAACATAGGAATGCTAGACGTGGATGATTTAGATTTATGATATTCTTTTATAATAATATATTATAAAATATTATGATGAAACTTTATGATATGAATTTATGTGATGATGGATGATGATGAAATGATGTGGGATGATGATGTATGAAATTATGTGGTCTTATTTTGTGTTGATACTGTGATGAAATGATGTGAACTGTTGTGAAAATGAACTGTGGTAAATGATGAAATGATGGAGGTGGATGATATGACCTTAGGTGTGTTTGTGTCTAGCTATATCTACATATATATATATAATTTCTTTAATAACATACATATATGAAAACATTGGAACTATAACCAAATGTCTCATTCCTTTCGCCATGATGATCCGCAGGGACCCACAGAGCGAACCCCTTTAACACAAATGATTAATGACTTCTTTCTCACAACCCTTTAACACAGATGTTTGCCTGTTTGCCTAAGATTCCATTCAACCCATAAGAATATATGCCCCAGTGCCTGGATGAATAAAGGAAGGGGCCCTAAATTAGCATAAAACCTCACTTGAGATACTACCCAGACCTAAGAAAAATTAGGTCTGGGTAATATTGCTAACACTCCAATGGCTCTCCAGCCACTCAGCCACTCAGCCGCTCAGAGTGGCTAAGTGGCTGAGTGGCTGCGTCAGCCGCTCTGCCAGAGTGGCTGAGTGGCTGAGTGGCTGAGTGGCTGAGTGGCTGCGGCAGAGTGGCTGGTCTCAGCCACTCTGAATGACTGAGTGGCTGAGTGGCTGCTCCAGCCAATCTGCCGCAGACACTCAGCCACTCAGCCACTCTGCCAGAGAGGCTGGACCAGCCACTCAGCCACTCAGCCACTCTGCCAGAGAGGCTGGACCAGCCACTCAGCCACTCAGCCACTCTGAATGACTGAGTGGCTGAGTGGCTGCTCCAGCCAATCTGCCGCAGACACTCAGCCACTCAGCCACTCTGCCAGAGTGGCTAGACCAGCCACTCAGCCACTCAGCCACTCTGCCAGAGAGGCTGGACCAGCCACTCAGCCACTCAGCCACTCTGGCAGAGCGGCTGACGCAGCCACTCAGCCACTCAGCCACTCTGAGTGACTGAGTGGCTGAGTGGCTGGTCCAGCCACTCTGCCGCAGACACTCAGCCACTCCACCACTCTGCCAGTGTGTGCTAGCCAGCCACTCCAGCCACTCCTCACACCCTCTTCCAGATGAGGCTGGACACCATCAGCCCTCAGCCACTCAGCCACTCTGCCAGAGAGGCTGAGTGGCTGCTCCAGCCAATCTGCCGCAGACACTCAGCCACTCTGCCAGAGTGGCTAGACCAGCCACTCAGCCACTCAGCCACTCTGCCAGAGTGGCTGAGTGGCTGAGTGGCTGCGCCAGCCGCTCTGCCAGAGTGGCTGAGTGGCTGAGTGGCTGGTCCAGCCTCTCTGGCAGAGTGGCTGAGGGGCTGAGTGGCTGCTTCGATTTCGCGAGCCGTGTTGCACATCCACTCGTTATTCTATTTTGTAGATAGGTTGATTGATTGGTTGATATTTACATATCTATATATATATGTGTGTGTGTAATTATGTAGACGGGGGATTAAACGTTGGTCGTGCGTGAAATTTTGCGTGGTGTTTTGGCATTTGGTTTTTGGGAACACACTCAAATGATGCTCTGTCAGGAACTGGTTTTGGAAGCACCTTGGGAAGTGGCTCAGGCAGCCTGTTTGTTGTTTTGGCAACAGTTCTTGGGCGAAGCGACTCAGTGGACCAGTTTCAGGTCTTCAATCTTGGGACAAACAGCGAGGGAACCCAGACAATTTATCTGGAGAGCTCTGATGATTTTCTTGTGTAGTGGATCTCTTCTTTTGGAGTCTTTCCGCAAATTGAGTAGATAGTTGAAATCTCAGGCAGTGTTTTGAAGTCAATACGTTCAGTTGCAACAGCATTGCATTTGAGAATGCTCTGAGTTTGAATGCAGACACTACAATATCTCCAATTCCTGTGGATGGATCGAGGCTACATGTTGGAAGGCTACCACAGCCATTTGCCTCTTGGCTGGAGTGATTTGGCAACCTTTACTACAACTGACGCTGTGATTCTCACATGGACTCACATGGACTGTTGAAATTTAAAAGTATATTCATGATTTATTTTTGGTCACAGTACAAGATGTATAGTTATTTAGTTATGTAATGTGTATCATGTACATATATCGGTATACTTCGTTTAAGGGTTCGTGTTTTCTTGTGGTCTAAGAGTTCTCAGTTGGGACGCAGTTGAACAAGAACGTTATTAGGTGGCTTGTGAAACATGCGCAACTGTTATAAAACGCGCAATACTCCCATGAAACGTGCATAACTTCTATGAAACGTGCATAACTTCTATGAAAAGTGCATAGCTGCTAAGAACGTGCACCTCTATAAAACACTGCAATAAACTCTTGTGTATTCCTAAAGCCTCATCGTTCTAAAGCACTCTAACGAACTGTTGAATGAAGTATACCCACACATATATATATAATTATATACTGCTTCTTCGACTCGTTTTCGCTGAGTTCCTTAAGGCTCCATCCAAGCAGCAGCAACAGCTGGAAGAGCAGCAACAGCAGGTGCGGTGAATTTGCTTGAAATCGGAGTACACCTCCACAATTTATGGCATGTTTAATTGCGAAAATGATGACCGATTGGATTTAGAGATACCTTATGGGATTCGACAAAGCCAGGTGAAGCCCAGATTCATCAGATTCATCAAGGGATACAATTTGACTCATCGAATTCTTTAGTTATCACAACTATAACACATCACTTTTATTACCATAATCATATAGTTGTTTTCAGGTAGTTTTTGTTTACCATTATTTGATTGGATATACTAAATGGATCTGAATGGCAACAGGATGGCGTCATACCCCAGCTGCACCATGCCTCGGTTAAACGCCGTTACGCTGCACCAGGCTGCCACAAGCTCCAGAGACCCAGGCATTGTCAATTCTGGATCGATGACGGCGAGACAGATTCGATCGCCCGGAGCTTGGTCCAAATTTCTGGAGCAAAATTATATATATATACATATTTATATATATTTATATATTATATATATGTATATGTATATGTGTATATTTATGTATAATATATATATTTATATATATTATATATATTATATATATATGTATATGTATATGTGTATATTTATGTATAATATATATATATATTTATATATATTTATGCATATATATATATTGTATACATGTATATGTATATGTGTATATTTATTTTTATATATATATATTTATGTATATATATATATATTTATGTATATATATATGTAATATCTGACATAGGATATCTTGCAAGGGATATACTCGTCGCAATCGGGCTGCTTTTTCCAGGTCGGGTGGAGCCAGAGATCCAACGGTCTGCGGCTGAGACCCCACTTCCCCAATGGAATGGTGTAAGAATGTTGATGACTACCCAAGATAGAAGGTTAATATATGTTAATAACACTATGAAATCCTAAAATTGATCTTAGATATATATACATATATATAGTGATTTCAACATGAAATCGATGGTGTATTGATGTAGATGGGTCAAACTGAACCACATCACTATGAAATAGATGGTTTGATATGGTTTGATGATGTTAAATAGTATGAAGGTCTGAAAATCACCAGTTCTGGGTCAACTGGTACCAATGACCTACATAGTACATGGAGCCGCTGCCAGGTGCCCGGTGGCCGGGGGAGTTTGACTGCAAGACCCTCGTCCAAGGGCGGTTCACAGAGTTGGGCAGCTCAAAAGGACTGGGTTCGCCTGACCAAAAAGAACGTGACCAAGATACATGTAGATACGTGGCCATAAAGGTCTGGGGACGATACATCCACTGTAGATACGTAGGTATAGGTACGTGTGTGTTGAATATAGATAGATAGATAGATAGATCGATCGATCGATCGATAGATACATAGATACATAGATACATAGAAAGATAGATAGATAGATAGATGGATGGATAGATAGATAGAGAGATAGATAGATACATACACACATACATACATACATGCATGCATGCATGCAGACAGACAAACAGACAGACAGACAGACAGACATACACACATACACACATACACACATACACACATACACACATACACACATACACACATACAAACATGCAAACATGCAAACATACAAACATACAAACATACATACATACAAACATACAAACATACCAACATACAAAGATACATACATACATACATACATACATACATACATACATACTACATACATACATACATACATACATACATACAGACACACACATACATACATACATACACACACACATACATACATACATACATAGATACATAGATACATAGATAGGCAGACAGACAGACAGCTAGATAGATAGAGTAATTGCAATTTAGAGGTTTTTGACATGTGGAAACCGTAAACATGTGTAAACAAAGTATCATGGGCGTTTTTTCCCGCAGAAGGTTGAGATCGGCGCGCAGGAGCAGCTCCTCTCGAGCAATATGTTGGGACAGCCGCAGCTCATTTCAGGTTGGGACAGCAGCTGTGATCGTTGCAGCTGTACACAGAGAGATGTTACTTTGGCACAGCCTTAAAGCCTGACTTGTTGGCATGACTGTTGTCAGTTTTTTTGAAGCACAAAGTTTACAAACTAGGGAATGCTGCGGTTCCAGATTCCTCAACACAGTCTCTCAACTGAATCAAGTGTTTCTACGTGTTTCTCATGTTTGCATCCTCTCTCATCCTGAAGCCGCCAGCTGCAAGCATTCACAGCCAGCTCCAAGCTGAACGTGTTGGAACCTGAGAGATCTGCCGTGTCAGCTGCAGCGGATCATAGCCCGATGATTCAGGCAGAGCGAGAGAAGGAACGTGAACGTGAAAGAGTCAAGACCTAAGATCTCAAAGATCTCAAGGGTTGTTCCGAGTCTAAAAGAAGAACGATGACAAACGTTTTGAAAAATGTTGCTTTGATGGAATAGGACAAGTGCCATTTGATTGTCCAATGTCTCGATACAACCTGAGGAACGTGAGCGTGAACGCGAACGCCTAGAACAAGAGAAAGAAAAAGAAAGGGAAAGGGAACAGGCCAAGTTCACAGCAAAATGTTCCTTTACCCTCCTCCTTCACATGTCTCAAGGCTCAAAACATCCAACCAAAAAAAACAGAAGTGCATTCCTCCTTTTTTGCACCGTTTGTTTGATGCTGTAGAAAAACTCTGCTGACTCATTGCATCTCCGTTCCGCCGTGCAGGAGAAGGAAAAGTTGAAGTTGGAAATTCCTCTGAGTCCTGCGAAGGTCCAACGATCAAATTGTAACTCTTGCAGAAAGGCGAAGGGAAAAGTACTCCCATGAGAAATCATGATAAAGTACTTCAAATTATGTCAAATTACTTTTGTACATCATTGTACATCCACAAGTGGATGTCTATATCGTGTTGGGCCAGGTCCTAAAACATCACATGGAGGACCCGGGACCCGCTATGGCCGTTGCGTTGCTATGGCCGTTGCAACACTTGTCGTGGTTGACAGGAGCTGACAGAGTTTGAACAAGGAGAGATCTTGGATTTTCCGCAGATTTGGTGCGACAAGAACTTGAAACCAGCTGCGTAGACAGATGTTCCTGCACAACATATATCGATTATATTGTATGTGATGTGTTGGGAAATGTTTGGGATTTATACGGGTTTATGTCAGACCTGCTGTCTTTTTGCATTTTACATATGCCAGTGGAAGATTGATCCAATAACGATCCAATGTTGAAATTTGATCCCTGCAGTGCAGTCAGAATTTGTATGAAATTGTCATTGTGTCAAGATTTACCACAGGAAGCATGTCCTGCAATCGGCACCAGGTACTTTGGTGCAGGTGCCCAAAAAATCCGCGGGACCTCTGCCCATGTGCCCAGACATGCCCAGACGTACTGTGTGGCACAGCCCAGCCTTTGCCACGTACAGCATCCAAGGCGTCCACAAACAATCATTCCTACGATGATGAGCGTGGTGACTACATGGTGGTTTTGTTGGGGAGCCCAGCGTCTCTTTTCTTTTTTTGTGAATGTGCATCTTATATTCGTTGTTAACTTTCATAATTCCCTGTGCTTAAGGACCCCCCCTGTCCCCAAGGGTCAGGTGTGTGCGCAAAGAGGTGTTTGGAAGTCAAAACTAGATTAGATTGGGATTGGATACATCCACCATGCGAGGGTGTAGCTGCATAGCTCAAGATGACCCAGCAACTTTGGTGTGACCAGCTGAAAACGCAAACAACAACAACAAAATAGTATGACTTGCATGCAGAAAACTGCAAATCAATCACTGTGAGTATTCTGATCATTGACAACTCTGAAATTGAATTTCATGGTGGCACACTAGACACCAAACGCCAGTGCCACCAAACAAAACGGACACTTCTTGACGCACCATTTTTTCTTATTGTTTTTTGATATTTTTATAGTTTTTTTTCTTTTTAAAAATATTTTTTGATTATTTTTCTAGTGTTTTTCTATTGTTTTTAAATTTTCATTGTTATCCTCAAAAATATTTGTAATTTGATTTTTATTTTTTCTCGTGTTGTTTACCATTTTCAATAGTTTGATCAATTTCCAGTGTTTTTTCAAAACAAAAATGCTTATTATTTTAATAAATTTTGTAATATTATTTTTATTGTTTGTTTCTTTTTTTCTATTTTTATATTTCGATTTTTTTGACTGTATTGCCTTTTTTTCATTTTTTTAAGGGTCAGTCCTTAAATTTAGAGGGTCCAGCCCTTAAATTCAAAGGGTAAATCCTTAGATTCATAGGGTCAGTCCTTAGATTCAAAGGGTCAGTCCTTAAATTCAAACAGTCCAGCCCTTAAATTCAAAGGGTCAGTCCTTAAATACAAAGGGTACTGTACATCCTTAAGTTCAGAAGGTTATAGTCCTTGAATAACAAAAATTCCTTTGAAAGGGGTCCTTGGGGTAAATGGGGTCCCGAGCTGCGTGCCGTGTGCGCGCGCGCGCGCCAAAAAGGCTTCATTTAGGAGACCATTTTGGCGCACGGCGCGTGCGCACCCAGGACCCCTTTCACTCCGAGGACCCCCTTCAAAGGAAATCTTGTTAAATTCAGAAGGTCAATCCTTATTCAGTGGGTCCAGCCCTTAAAGTCAAAGGACCAGTCCTTAAATACAAAGGGTAAATCCTTAAATTCAAAGGGCCAGTCCTTAAATTCAGAGGGTCTGTCCTTAAATTCAGATGGTCCAGCCCTTAAATTCAAAGGGTCAGTCCTTAAATACAAAGGGTAAACCCTTAAATTCAGAGGATCAGCCCTTAAATTCAGATGGTTAATCCTTAAATTCAAGTGGTCAGTTCTTAAATTCAGAGGGTCCGGTCCTTAAATTCAGACCGCCAATCCTTAAGTACAAATGCCCAATCCTTAAATTCCGATGGCCAGAATTTAAATTCAGATGGTCAACCCTTAAATTTTGATGGTCAATGCGTAGAATCCAATTATCCTGAAATTGAAAGGGCCCAATCCTTAAATTCAAAGGGCCTTTAGACTCTTATGATCCAATCCTTAAATTCAGAGGGTCGGACCTTAAATTCAGAGGGTCAGACCTTAAATTCAGAGGGTCAGACCTTAGGTTCAGAGGGTCAGACCTTAGGTTCAGAGGGTCAGCCTTAAATTCAATGGGTCCCTCTGTACTTAAGGAATTTTGGCATCACTTTTGGGTAAAAAAACGACCAAAAACAAATGATTTGTATGCAAAAGTGATGCCAAAATTGCCAAGTTGCCCTAATTTGGCATAATTTTTTCACCAAAAACTTTGATTTTTGATTGTTTTTTATCAAAAAGTGATGCCAAAATTCCTTAAGTACAGAGGGACCCTCTGAATTTAAGGCTGACCCTCTGAATTTAAGGTCTGACCCTCTGAATTTAAGGTCTGACCCTCTGAATTTAAGGTCTGACCCTCTGAATTTAAGGTCTGACCCTCTGAATTTAAGGTCTGACCCTCTGAATTTAAGGTCTGACCCTCTGAATTTAAGGTCTGGCCCTCTGAATTTAAGGATCCTCTGAATTTAAGGACTGGCCCTCGGAATTTAAGGATCGACCCTGTGAGTTTAAGATTTTGTAGCAGGACTTGTAACAAAGTGCTTGTCACGTTTGAAGGGCAAACTAATGATTTAACAACCACCCTACACAATAGTTTTGGTTGCAGCCATCAGCAAAAAGCAGTTACCCAATCACGGCAGCACATTGACAGAACCTGACCATTGTTTCTGGTAGGTTCTCATGTCTGTGCTTTCAGGTTCACGCGCAGGCCAGTCTAATCATCTCCTAGCAAGACTTTTGTCAACTCCGACTCAGTCAGAGCCAACCACGACCCATTAAAATCCCGTGGGTGGAAATGTTGATTTGTGTTTCAAATCAACCCGCCAATTTTCCCTTAAATGTGGCGATTGCTAGACCGATTTGCCAATTATGTTGGGCTGAACAGCATATTCATGGTAATAGATTTTATTTGTTACCCAATAATGGTAGCAATGCCATATTCGATAATTTCAGGGAAATGTCAACATCCAATACTCACCGCCAGCGCATGATTGAATGGTACTTTCTGCCATCAATTCGATCCATTTCCGACCTGAGTTGGAAGAATCGAGTTGGAGGGAACCCAGGATGAGGACGACGATGATGATGATGATGATGATGACGATGACGATGAAAATGATGATGTTGATGATGATGATGGTGACGATGATAATGATGATGATGTTGATGATGATCATGATGTTGATTATGATGATGATGATGATGATGATGAGGATGATGATGATGGTGATGATGATGATGATGTTGATCATGGTGATGATGATGATGATGATGATGGTGATGATGATGATGATGGCGATGATAATGATGATGTTGATGATGATTTTGATGTTGATTGCGATGATGATGATGATGATGATGATGATGATGATGATGATGATGATGATGATGATGATGGTGATGATGATGATGATTATTATTATTATGGTGATGCTGCCGCTGCCGCTGCCGCCGCCGCCGCCGATGATGGTGATGATGATGATGATGATGATAACCATGAAGCTGATGATGATTATGATGTTGAGTATCATCATCATCCAGAATCCTACTGCTGCTTGGGGAGGGAAAAAATCGCACTGACAGGCTGCCAGGTCTTGCAGTTGTTTGAGATCATACTGGGCATTGAACAAAAGCAATGGTTTGTTTGGATTCTGTTTAACATGTTACAGTCTGTTACAGAAATTCAAATCAATTAGATTCTTTCGTGCCGCCACTTGTTTGGCATGTTTGGATCAATTTTTCTTTGGAAAACAATCCATTCACTGAGCTCGCCTGTTGTATATCTTCAAATGATGGTCCTTATTTTGTTGATGCAAAAATTTTATATATAGCAAGGAATGCAATTTAAACAGAAACACAATATCGCACATTGAAAACATGCTTAGGGACATGGCCTCAACCTTAAATTCGAGGGGTGCCCCCGAATTACGAAAGTTAGCAATATTCGTTATATTGTTCATTTCTTGGTTGTAGCTACAGTATGCTTGAAATATCTTGAAATGATATCTGATCATTGGTTGCAGTGGGTTCTTGTTGATCTTCCATGGCTTTCCCGGAGGCACGATCACATCTTGTACCGCTACGAGGCTACCTTGCGGACAAAACCCACAAAGCCTAGTCATTGTAAATGGTGGGTGCATACGCAGAAGGTAGACCCTGGGTTGGACATGATCAGATCATTCGTTTTTCATCAATCACGGTCAAAATTTGCCCAATTTGGAGCGAGAAATGTCAAGTCCAACATGAATAAACCCCCAACGTTGATGGTTAATATGTGATGATATGGGGGATGTGTTGTTATTGGGTCTACCACATGATGGTCATAATATAGGGATCACCATGTGTCGCTGACACTGCCATCACCTCAGGTGCTCAATCCCTTGGGCAAAGGCTCGTTTGGTCAAGTGGTACGATCGTCAGCCCGGCATGATATCGAAACATGGAGGGCAAAAATGTGTGAAACAATGATAGAACATGATTGAATATCAATGAATGAGTTTCATGAGTTTTACATGTTTTACATCAATGATCTTGATGATCTTCCAAGTATCCGCTAGTTACCGCTAGATACGCTAGTTGGATGTAAATTGGAATCTAAGTTGGCAAGAGTTCCCCAGTTGGTTCCCCTAGGGTCGTTGCCAGGTTCGACTTCAAGACCAACAACTGTGTTGCCTTGAAGATGGTCAGAAACAAGAAACGTTTTCACCATCAGGCACGACATAAATGTTGTAGGTTTGAGCAGTTTTCCAGCCATGAAGTCACTACAAATATCACTAAACATATGTTGAATCATGCTGAACCTATTGTTCTTTCAAAAGAACATAAAACATAATAAAACATAATAACACATCATAAAACATCATAAACATCGTGAAACATCATAAAACATCATAAGACATCATAAAACACAAAACATAGACATCATAGACATCATAGACATCTTAAAATGCATGACATGTTTTTTCAGCTTTACGGTTTCGCGTCACTTCTCGCAGCGCTCGCTGTAGGCACTGGTGGAAGTGAAGATCTTGGAACATCTGAGGGAGCGAGACCTGGAGAGCACCTCCAACGTGCGCCGGAAATCCATCAAAATAAGTTGGGATTTTGCTGGGAAAAACATGGTAAAATCATGGGAAAATCATCTATAAATGATTACAAATGAAAATAATGGAAGATGTCCAGCCATGTTTGATTACCAGAGGGTACTCGGGTACGTTGCCATCTGTTGTCCAATGTTGTCCGCAAAAGAACGTTTAAAGATTATATTGGCTTTAGTCGGGTTGATATCGTATTGTCTCGTTTCACTTGGATGAAGCTCAGTATGTCAACCGTTTTGTATCTCACCAACCACCTAAGAACTCAACCATTCACATGCTGCAAAGCACCTATGGTCTCTCACTTGCATCCATGTCACACGCCTGCAAACATAGCTTCTTAACTCATGTAGAAGAATTTGTCGATTGGACTACTTGCAGTGCTCGTCGGCATGTTGCCAGGTGGTGCACATGATGGATTATTTTTACTTCCGGACCGCCTTCCACTGTGCAGCACACAAGCCGGAAATCAGTGATGAAGACATATGAAGACCATGTTGCTGAGATAAGAATCCAAAGCTGGCACCTTCCAAAATTCTATGAAATTCTATCATCGTTCCAATCAGAGAGATACAGTAGATCCCCGAAGCCATCGCAGGAATCATTTGTGCATCACCTTCGAGTTGCTGAGCATCAACCTCTACGAATTCATCAAGAACAACAACTTCCAGGGCGTGTCTCTGGGGCTGATCCGGCGATTCGCCATTCAGCTGCTGGCAGTAGAAGCCTTAGATTCTGATCTCAAAAAGAACATCGAAATTAAGGGACAAAACTATTGGGACTATACTATATATATATACATACATAATCATACATATAAATATATAAATGGACAGATGGATAGATGTAGCCAATTCAGCTGAAAAACCTTGTGGGTAAAGGAGGTCCCTAAATTTGAGACTTGTCCACCTTGATGTGTTGCAGATGTGGCGTCGATGAATCCTGGGTGGCAGGGCTCATTGCAGGCCTTGCGATTTCTGCGGAAGCTGCACATCATTCACTGTGACCTGAAACCAGTGCCTTGCCCAAGATGGCCATTCTCAGTGGAGTTTTCTTTCCAGTTGAACACCATTCAAATTTAGCATCACTTCACATGCGATCCATGTCATGGAATCCACCCGGCTCCTGAAACCAAGGAGAATGTCCTGTTGAAGAATCCCACCAAGAGTGGCATCAAGGCGGAAAATCACGCCAAGAGGAGCTTAAGTCATGGGGTACCCCCAAATCATAAATTTTAGATTGGGATGTTCCATTATAAACCATCCATTTTTGGGGTGTAGGAAACCCGCAGATTTTCTGGCAGGTCATTGACTTTGGATCTTCCTGCTTTGAAGACGAACGCGTCTATACGTGCGCTGAACCTGGATGGGTGAAAGGGATGGGCTGGTTACAGCCCTAACTAGAGTATTGTTGTTTCATGTTGATTCATCTGGAATCAGAATTAGGTCAATGCGTGTATTAAATCCCCAAATCCCCTGTATATGTATTAACCCTAGGATTCAATTGTTTTGTTGGATATAGATATACTTATATACATATATATATATATACATATATATATATACATATATTATAAACATGTGATTATATACATATAAAAAAATATACCTTAAATCAATCCTCATTTAACCACCATTCAATCCCAGTTTTTTGTTGCAGATGGTGAGGAAAAATCCTCCCCAGGTACATTCAGAGCAGATTCTACCGCTCACCAGAGGTGATTTTGGGACATTCGTTCCTTGCCGGCTTGAGCGATGGGGATGTCATAGCGATTGATAAAATGATATATAGAATATACCAAAATTATACCGATAATTCTCATTTATCATCGTATCATATCATATCATATCATATCATATAATGATATCCCGATGATTGAGGCATAAAAATGCATAAAACACATCATATTTTGTTGGAATATCATGATGGGATGATGGGAGGGGTCAGACAAATCGACCCTTGCAGTGGTCTATTTGGAGATGTTTTTGCAACCAGGTTGGCATGTTCATAGAAATGAAAGAAGTTTGTGGTATCATCCTAGATTTGCTGAAGATGGTGTTTTCCCATTTGTTAATCCACCAATTGGGGAATCTGGGATATATGGGACCTCTCAAGCATATCCAACGTTGGATGTTGAGGTACTTCAAGCTGCTCGATAGAGGTTGGTATCCTCTGTTCTCGCCAGGGTAGTATGTTTCCTCTTGGGGGTAGTACATTGATGTGTATGCGCATTAAATACATATATATAATATTATATATTATATATATATATGTATATACATATACATGTATAATCTGTATATATATATATATGTATATACGTGTATAATCTATATATATGTATATATGTATACATTTATAATATATATATATGTATAATATTACAATTTTATACATATATATATATATATATATATTATACATGTATATGTATATACATATATATATATTAATACACATACATAATTTCATTACATTACATTACATACATACATACGCATTGTTTTGTGATATCCATTTGCAAGTTGAATGATCTTGACTCATGGGCTTGCAGCACACAGCCCTTGTTTTTGCAAGCTACCCGCAGCTTGAGGTATGATACTGCTATCGACATGTGGTCCTTCGGATGCATCCTTGCAGAGTGCCACCCCCAGTCAGAACATGGGATATGTCCATTATTTGTGTCCAGTCATAAAATGATGCAAAAGCATGACTTTGGAGTGTTCTCTTGCGATTATATCCAAAAGGTTTGAAGCACTCTAAATCAACACATTCGTATCTCCAAATGCCTTGGAAACCCAAACAAGTTCCCTGCATAGTCCATGTGGGTTATGCTTCACCTCAGATTTACTGGCAACTGTGTGGTGCCTATGGTGCCTATGGTGCCTGGATTTTCAGGCTCTATACCGGATATCCCCTCTTCCCGGGTGAGAACGAGGTGGGGGCAAAGGATGGATACCCGGGTCGCCGGGTCGTGCTTTGCCAATCTGATCCACACCAGACATGTCTCCTTTCTCAGGTCGAGCAGCTTGCGTGCATCATGGAGATCTTTGGAGCCAGTGGCACAGCCATTTTGGTGATGCCAATACACTTAAAGTAATTACAGTATATAATTATATCATATTATATCATGCATGTGAATACAGTAGTTTTTAGTGCCTTATGTATCCTTGAGTATCCTTATTTTCATTGGGTAAACGGGTAAACCATCATGTTCTCTGGGTAAACACCATCCGGGATGCTGGTTGTGATTCACAACCTGGCTCCCAAGGTGCCGCCCATGAAAATCCTGGACGGTGCTCCGCGGATCAAAATGTGGGGCATCTCAGAGCTGATGGATACCAGTACAAACTGACAGTTAGCTATGGTAAATGGATGAAAATTGATGAACAGTTAGCCATTTTCATCAATGATTTTCAATGATTTTCATAGTAAGAGTTGTGTGAATTCCATGGCTATGTTAGTTTACCGGAGAGTGGTACTGGATGAATGGATAATGGATGGATTACATGGATGGAATAGATGGACAATGATGCGGGCTTGTCTGAAATTACAACATGGTATCCCAAAAACCCTTTTAAGATAGCCATGGCGGTACACCAGATAACCATGACAATGTTGGGATGGATCCGATGGAGAATGGTTATCCACTGATGGTTGAGATGCTAGTGATTCCTCGACTGGAACTGTCTATCTTACGTTCGCGTTCTGAACTTACCTGTCGGCGCCCGTTACAGCTGTTTGGCTGAAAAAGCAGTTTGAAAGTGAAGCGTTTGTCACACCCCACACCTGCCATGCTCTGGAAGTACCTCCCCCCGCAGACAATAACATGGCTGAATGTGTGAAGCGCCGCCTCTCATTGCATAATGCAAGACAGCATCAACTTCAGCCATATCAGCAAGCGGAAATTCAAATCGTTTCCTGAGTTTACTATGAATTGGGTATGAATCTCAACGATATCTCAAGTATATTAACATCATTTAACATATAACGATATCAATTCCACTCACCTCCCCTCCGGGACACCCGGGGGGCAGTGGATCCCGTTGGATCCGGACCCAGTAAACTGGGATGTCCCATGGACATGGACGAGCTTCGACTGGATGAGCACGTGACGTTGCCCGGGGATTGGCCCAACCTGCTGCGTGGGGGTCAGATCTTTACGGCCCTGCTGTTGAGCACCAGCTACTCCGAGTCGCCTGGGTTGAAAATCGGGAAACTCCAATGGTTTTGCCACTTGAGATATCATTTTCCCACGTAAAAATGCAAAATGAATTAAATGCATAAGGAGAATAAGGCACTTTGGGGGATACACGGTAGCCATTTGGATTGCCCCATCTTAAACCATCGATGGTTCCTTGTGATTCCTTGGTCACATCCAGGAAGTACCGTGGTCGCAAGATGGTGCCCTGGGGCAGCGCTGCTGCGGCAGAGAATGCCAGATCCTTTGACCACAACGCGGAGTTGCAGATCCCATCCAGTGACAGGTCATGTGCCCAACTGGCCACTGAACCCAGGGCGAAATGAATTGAAAACGATGGTGATGGAAAATGATTGAAAATGATGGAAAATGATGGAAAATGTAGAACCTATGTTTAAAAAGGGCTTGTATTTGTCTGTACTAAATTGATGGTTGGTATTTTTGAGCCTATTTTGGGGATTCAGCTTCAGCCTGTGCACTGTGATGGGGTTGTCATGAAGTATCCACCACCCTAGCATGTTTTCATAGCTATGTGACACTATGTGTGAGATGGGAGAGTTTGGGGGGGATAGATTCCCAGAGCCATTTCGCTGTTTCGCCAAGCTCTACCCTACAACACTCGCTCCCAGCAACTTCCCTTTGAGCAAATTGGCTTAGAGTTTGAGCCAGAAATACTCGTACCACGCCAAACAACAGCACATATTCCCCCAAAATATCGGGAAGATCACGAGAAATCTGTGCGGTCTGAAGCTGCGAAGATATCAGGCATCAAACTCGGCGACCCGCCCTCTTGCACCGGTCAGGCAATAGAGACTTGGCAGATTGGGGGGTTCAATTCATCTTGGTTCAGATTGGTGTGACTCCAGCCTGAGGATAGCTGCTGCTGGATTGGTTTGAAATTAGGTCGTCAGGAGTACCTAAAGGTAGTAGGTGCACTTTACAAAGAAGCAAACGACCATGCGGTTCCTGCCAAGCGAGAGGGTCAAAATATGTCAAAATCAAAAGATATCAAAAGTATTGAAAAGGATCATCCACCAAAGATGGAGACCAGGATTTATGATGATTTACTAAAGATTGGATAACATTCTTGAATTTGTGGGTGGTTAGGTAGCCCATAGCCAGGAGAGGCTGTTGCCTTCATCTGGCGTGGTGATCCCAGGTTTGACGATTGAAGCTTGGACAGATACGCAAAATGGGTGAGTTCTGATAGGAACAAAATGGAACAAAGAGAGACGTGAAATTTCGTGAAATCAACCTTGAATGGTCAAAAAAGAATTATGCGTTGCTGAAAAAGAGAGAAGTCTTCGACAGTCAAATCACCAGCATGTTTTCTGTTGGATTGAAGAATCATTGGGTACCCATTTTGTGTTGAGGCAGTGGCGTTCGAAATCTTTGGCATAGCCGAGCCAAGCCGAGGCACAATCTACGTTTGCTTCTCTCCTTTGCGGTACAGAACACAATTCTTGAGCCTTGGCCAGAAGATGAAGTGTCAATAGGGAGTGTGCAGCATTGGCGTGGTGATACTGCGCTTCGGGGAGAGTGTTTTGGCGGTCTAGAATGGTTGAAGAAGTGTTTTTTTAATGTCAAATCTGTGCAGTCTTTTTTGCAAAACCAGTGTTCAGAGAGTTGACGTAAGCGCGCCAAGCGTCATGAAGTTCAAGCCCAAGTTCTGACCGGTATTTAAAAAAAGACACTGATGCCTGGTTTGAGGAAGATTTGGTGTGCTGGCCTTGCAGAGAACGGGATGAACGTTCGCCGTGCAGCTCAACAAACCACGGACCTGACGCTGGGAACGTTGCTTGGCCTAGTGGACAAACAGCTGATTGCAATGGTCCTGGTGAAACTTCATAGGGACGTTGCAGGAAAAGATCCTCGGAAGATGCTCTCAAGATGTTCCGAAAATCAGTGTGAAACAAGTGTTTGGTTGATAGGATTGAACCGCTGATGTCACTTGAAATCATGTAAGGTGCGATGATGTTGGACATTGTGTGACGCTGCCAGTTTCAACTTATTTGAAGGTGAAATTGGCCCCTTGGCAGAGGTTCTATGCACATCCAGTCTCCAAAACAGGTTGAGGATGGTTGAGGTATTGCATGTGGATCCCTGCTCCATGCCCCATGTTTGTTGTGATTTCACCTTGAGATACCGCTGAAGATGAACTCATGACTCAACAGGACAAGACACAGCGATTGCTTTACGATCCAAGCGATCCAAGGACCGATTGTGGGATCCTGAAGGGCAACGACTCTATGATAAGTTGCTGCAAAGCGTCCCTTGCCTCAGATGGTGCCAGGTGCCAGATGTGACCATTCGATGTCATCCCATGGCATTGGCATCCCACCGGTGTAGGTGCGAGAGCTTCCAGGCTATCGTGTGTGGCTTGACTTCAAACAGTATGTTGGGTGCATGTCGAGTGCATGTCGAGTGCATGTCGACATATTGTTATTCAATGATTTTTAATTGCCAAGTTGGGTCATCCAACGGTTATGTAATCATAATTTTCAACCAGAATTTCCCTAAAAAACCGGCAATTGGTGCCGCCTCCCAGGATTTTCTCGGGCATCTCCCATGGTGCTGCCCTGGCACAAGCAGCCGCCTTGAGATTTCAGCTACAGCAGCCGGAGAAATGGGGAACTTGCGATCAAAACAGATCAAAACCACCAACACCATGGAATATATTGGAATATATTGGATTATATTGGATTTTATTGGTACTTGTATTAATTAGTAACCATATTTTGATATATGTTGGGGGGAATGAACATCCAGCTAACTCATGCTAAACTCAGCTAGTTTGTAGTGTAAACATGTGTAAAACCATTGTAATTACCAAGGGGTTGGGACCGATTGGCCAATCTGGAAGTGGCTTGGAATGGCTTTGATTCCATTGATTCGTGCTGCATCGCAAAAAAACGTCGGGTCCAGATGGTCCAGGAGACACAGGTCTTCGTTGTGGCATGGAATGCTTACAGGCCGGGCAGGTATGGTGCAGATATGTGCAGATATGATTCAATGCGATACAATACGATGGTACATTACACCTACACTTAGTAAACATGGAGCGTTGCGCGTGTGCAGGTGGACTGACACCAGCGGCCGGAAATTGGCTGAGGATTTCCTGGGAAGTCGCTCCTCGGCTCCAGGGGAGAATCCTCAATTTTTCAGCTGAAAAAAATGGGTTTGGTTCAAAAGTATGTGTCCCATTTTGTCCCCAAATTGAAGTTTTCTACATACACAGTGTGAAGATGTGTGAAGAGTCTTGAACCAAACGGAAATGCGCGAGATTTGAAGTGTTTTGGAATTGGACTTCTGCACTCAAACGGGTGCAACATCACACGAGGTCTGCTACACTTTGTCCTTTCAAGGAGGGACAAAGCCCAGCCGCAGGCATGGCTTGGTGGAAAATTCTCTTTTGTCTCGACGATTTTCCCATTGAAATGCCAATGTTTGGAGGATTTCCCAGCCACGTTTGATGACCGGATATACGGATTTGTATGTATATATATATAGCAGTGTTTGGGACTACGTTCGAAATCATTCGAAATCCATCTACATCAGTGAAACTCTGCAAATCTCAGGCCACCCGATACTGGGACAGCGTGACTGGTTTCCCCCAATCCTTTGCTCCGATGCACAACCCGGTGCTCCTGGATGCAGACACAGGCCGCAGGGTACCGCAGGGTCGTAGCATCGACACTATGTCCACAGCATTCCACAGCGCCAGGCGACTTCTACAAGCATACTGCTCCTGAACAAGGCTCTCAATTTGGGGCGACCTTCTTGATGCAGATGCTACTTGGTATTACAAAATTTGCCATAGTCGTTTTGCCCAATGATTTTGTGCCGATGATTTTGCTCCAAGGTTTGAGCTGCACTTTGCCAGGCGGCTCACTGGGACCCAAATTTTGGATCCATTTGGGACCACCGGATGACCCTGGCCTCGCTGGCAGGTCTGCTTTGGGCGCCATGAAAAAAGCCACGGCCACGGCTCGTGGCTTTGAAGATGATCTGAGTTGGAATGACCCTTGGCGATAGAAAGGGATTATCAATGATGGCTCGTGATGGTCTATCTATCCCCCTGTTTGTTATTTGGTTCATGATGTTTCATAATGAATATGATGATCATGACTGTTTATCATTTATACATATTTATACTATATTACACTCCATATTCCTGGTGATTCATGGTGTGATAGTTGAGGAATCACGAATGATGAATCATGATGAATTCTTTGGTGTTTGATGGTGGCTATAGTGGCTATGGATGGCTATGGATGGCTATGGATGGCTATGGTTAGTAGAAATGGATCGACTCTGCAGTGGCTCACTTGCCAGGATTATTTGCGCAGCCGGCGGTAACGAGCCCAGAGACAAGTGGCGAAGGACTGGACCATTTTGGCCCAAAATTACAAAAAATGTGTTTTTTTGACATAGTTTGATAATGTTAGATTGAAGAGGCCAGAATTGCAAAGTCTCAACTCTGCTCGGAATTGATGCACCTCGCCCAGGTTGGAAGTTTTTCAGACAAAACTCATCAACCAAGCTCAAAAGGCCTAGAGATCCTATGCTTCGTGCAGTTTTTTAATACTTTCCTGTGATTTCCTGTATGTCCAGTGAAGTGGTATCAAGTGTCCCTGTTGAACCTTGGTTTCCAATGGTTTCCATGGATCCCCCCACAGCGGAGGTGGCGGCGGCATCACACAGAGCACAGAAAATCATTCGCAGAACATCGCATGGCGTGCCCTGGCTGTGTTCTATGCGATTCCAATATGGAAGTGCTTCAGTGCCGCAACTGGTGTATTGGATTGTTGATTGGATAAAGTATGAAAAAATAATATCATAGAAAGTCAGTGTTAGATTTTGGTGCATTTGCCCCGTACAGTGGCCAAGGTGGGAATGAGGAGGCCCACACTGTTGGGATTTGATGGTGAGAGTTCCCCGTGATATGGAGCTCCAGTTGGCTGTGGGCAACATTCTTTTTTGGGTTTTCCATGCAAGTTTTTGTGGCTTGATGCTTCAAACGTGAAAACGTCCCGTTTCTTTCATAGTTTGTGTTAGGTAGACGGTAGACACACACATATATATATATATATAGTACACAACACTCAGAAGCTGATGTTATTTGTTTCCTGAAACAAACGAGTCACGTTAAGTCCATCCTGCCCATCCGCAGGCAAATCAGCCACGAGGCGAGGCACAGTTGTTCCATCTCCAGGGCACAGTCCAATTTAGCGACGGAGATTTGCCAGGCAGATTCAACAACTTCTTCCATGGCGAGTCTGGAGACTCCGTTGCGGCTGCGGAACGAATTTGGCGGGGCGCCCTTGCCAAGAATCTCCGACATTCCAAATGGATCCTTGGCAATTCCAATAGCGGATCCATGTTGCGCCCCATGTGAGGTAAAGAACCATTGGTCCAAGATGGTCCAAGATGGTCCAAGATGGTCCAAATATCTCAATGATTCTCAAAGTATTTCACCCCGAAAACTGACTCTGCACCGAGGAACAGAAACCGTTTGCCCCTCAGAGTCCGTCGGTGAACTGTGCTGTGAATCATGAGATGACCACCGGTGAAAGTGCTGCTTCTAAGGACGGCACACGTCCAAGTGGGAAAAGTTGGTTTGGGCGTTTGGCGTGGTGCTGCTCTTGATGAACCATGTGGAGCCTGGGAAATGACAGGAAGGTCAACCCATGGCAACCATGGCAACCCCCATGATGCAATTGCACATACAACAGGTATCTGGCCATATCTGGCCCCTCTATTTGCCATGGATATCATTGGTCACGGCTTACGGCCAGTTGAATTTGTCTCTAATTCTGAGGAAACACGTTGCAGCCCGCGCGTGTTCACCGACAACGCTGGGATTTTCGTGAGCCAGATCGTTGACGGGTTTGAAGGGTGTTCGGGGAAGAAACGTGTCCCTGAACTCCTGTCAGATTGCTTTCGCTGCGGAGAAAAGAACCAGCGCTGAGATTTAGCAAGCCTTGAAGGGCCAAGTCTGCTAAGCAACGTCGCCTTCTTTTTTTCAGCATATGTCACTGATTTTTTGGTATCTTGATGTGGACTATTTGAGTATCCCCTAATGCACTGAGACTGACAGGATGCTGTGTAAGGGATGAGCTTCTGAGTGCTATTGACAATTGTACTATATTACAATATATAGTATAAACAATATGTGTATCTTTACATATATATATAATTACGATATATATATATATATATGTGTTTATTTGATTTTATTATATTATATATATAGTATATTATAGGTATACACTATGCATATGAGGATCCATCTTGCCAGCTCAACGAGTGCTTTGGCTCAGGTTCTTCGACTCCTCAGGCAACCCTCGGCTTGTGCCGAACAGCCGGGGCAAGATCCGGAAGCCCGGGGCAAAGGAGACAGATCCGAAGGGGTGCACGACCTCGGAAATGGAATCAACTTGGGATAAAACATGACAAAACATGATAAACCCACCTGAGGTCATGGGATGATTTCATGATGATTTCATGATGTTTCATGGATCACCAGATGAATGGGGATGATTTCATCTCGAGATTTCTCTCACCGCCTCACCTTGAGGAGCTGCAATCGGTTTTGCGGACCTCTGAAGGAAAGTGCGGACCTGAGAGCTCAGAATAGCTCAGAGTTTCCCTCAAGCATTGGAAATCCTTGGGGAAACTAACGCCCGGAGGCTGCAAAATGCATCAAAAATGCTACAAGCTCACATACACATATCATCTCATCATGATTTATCATGCATTTGCAACATTTGCAAGCATTTGTGCTATGCCTAGGTTTGTGGACTTTCTCCTTGGTTGCTTGCATGAGCCTCAATCGGTGGTGAAGCCAAGGATCCAGGGGACGCCAGTGATGCGGACTGCAGTTGTCTGCAGGCAATGGGATGCCACTCAGCGGTATAGCCCAGAGGATGCATTGCAGCAGGTGCGGTGGCCCCGATTTTGAGAGTCTACCTTGATCCAGAGTCATCCAACCGCAGCGATCCTTGCGCTTGCACTGAAGTGCAGGAATGGATCCTTGAGTGCTACGCCAAGTGTGAAGCTTATATCTGCCATGGCATCTCAAGTCAAACATCAAAAGAAACAGGATCTGAAGATATCTGAAGTAAAATAGGCACCTCTCTGAAGGATCCTAAAGGCAACACCAGTGCTGAATCTTGTTCTAAAATGATCCAAAACGTATCTTCGTTGTGGATCATTGTGCAAGGCATGCTCGTGACGCCCCTCCTGGCCGCATGTGCCTTGTTTGCACTTCCTCTGCAGAATCAGTCGACCACTGGTTTGTTGACGTTTCTGCGAACACGTTTCAACATGTTTCAACAATCTTAAACGATAAAATGCGCTTGACATGAAAGATCCCATGAGATCCCCATGTTTCTTTTGCTCCAGATGTTCTCAAAGTTTACCAGGCCAGAAGCACCAAGTTCAAGGACCCGGCTGGAAAGCTTCCTATCCGATCTATCCGTAGTCACTGTAGTCCCTTCCAGACGCTCACCAAAGATTTGGCGATGCACTGCACATGGCAGGACGCGTGTGGTTGCGGACAGCCATCGCAGTTAGGAATCCAAGGAGCCGTTCAATTTCACATGGTGCAGTGGTGTCCTATGAGTTTAAGGGACGATGGATAGGGCATGATATGGTTGTGAAATGACAAAAAGCCTGGCTGGTGAGCATTGAGAATGATTCCTAAACGGATGCTAGGTCTTGACCCGTCCCCAATATCTATGCGTATTAATATATAATTACATACATATACATATATGATGCACATATGTATGTGTATATATATATTATTATTATTGTTATTATTATTATTATTTTTATTTTATTATATTGTTATTATATTATTATTATATTATCCTTATTATTATGAATATTATTACTATATATATATATCATCTATCTATCTTTCTTTCTATCTATCTATCTATCTTATCTTATCTTATCGTATCCTATCTATCTTATCTATCTATCTTATCTTATCTTATCTTATCCTATCTATCTTATCTATCTTATCTATCTTATCTATCTAATCTATCTAATCTATCTAATCTATCTAATCTATCTAATCTATCTAATATATCTAATCTATCTAATCTATCTAATCTATCCAATCTATCCTATCTATCCTATCTATTCTATCTATCCTATCTATCCTATCTATCAAATCTATCCTATCTATCAAATCTATCCAATCTATCCAATCTATCCAATCTATCCAATCGTTCCTATCTATCCTATCTATCCTATCTATCCTATCTATCCAATCTATCTAATCTTTCCTATCTATCCTATCTATCCTATCTATCCTAACTATCCAACCAACCCAACTATCCTATCTATCCTATCGATCCTATCTATAATCTATCCTATCTATCCTATCTATCCTATCTATCCTATCTATCCTATCTATCCTATCTATCCTATCTATCCTATCTATCCTATCTATCCTATCTATCCTATCTATCCTATCTATCCTATCTATCCTATCTATCCTATCTACCCTATCTACCCTATCTACCCTATCTATCCTATCTATCCTATCTATCCTATTTATCCTATCTATCCTATCTATCCTATCTGTCCTATCTGTCCTATCTGTCCTGTCTATCCTGTCTATCCTATCTATCCTATCTATACTATCTATCCTATCTATCCTATCTATCCTATCTATCGATCGATCTATCGAATCTATCGAATCTATCTAATCTATCTAATCCATCTAATCTATCGAATCTATCGAATCTATCGAATCTATCTAATCTATCTAATCTATCTTATCTATCTTATCTATCTTATCTATCTTATCTATCTTATCTATCTTATCTATCTTCTATCGTATCTATCTTATCTATCTTATCTATCTAATCTCATCTCATCTCATCTCATCTCATCTGATCTGATCTATCTATCTGATCTATCTGATCTATCTATCTGATCTATCTGATCTATCTGATCTATCTGATCTATCTGATCTGATCTATCTGATCTATCTGATCTATCTGATCTATCTGATCTATCTGATCTATCTGATCTATCTGATCTATCTGATCTATCTGATCTATCTGATCTATCTGATCTATCTGATCTATCTGATCTATCTGATCTATCTGATCTACCTGATCTACCTGATCTACCTGATCTACCTGATCTACCTGATCTACCTGATCTACCTGATCTACCTGATCTACCTGATCTACCTGATCTACCTGATCTACCTGATCTACCTGATCTACCTGATCTACCTGATCTACCTGATCTATCTGATCTATCTGATCTATCTGATCTATCTGATCTATCTGATCTATCTGATCTATCTGATCTATCTGATCTATCTGATCTATCTGATCTATCTGATCTATCTGATCTATCTGATCTATCTGATCTTTTTTATCCTATCTATCCTATCTATCCTATCTATCCTATCTATCCTATCTATCCTATCTATCCTATCTATCCTATCTATCCTATCTATCCTATCTATCCTATCTATCCTATCTATCCTATCTATCCTATCTATCCTCTCTATCCTCTCTATCCTATCTATCCTATCTATCCTATCTATCCTATCTATCCTATCTATCCTATCTATCCTATCTATCCTATCTATCTATCTATCTATCTATCTATCTGATCTATCCGATCTATCCGATCTATCCGATCTATCCGATCTATCCGATCTATCCGATCTATCCGATCTATCCGATCTATCCGATCTATCCGATCTATCCGATCTATCCGATCTATGCGATCTATCCGATCTATGCGATCTATCCGATCTATCCGATCTATCCGATCTATCCGATCTATCCGATCTATCCGATCTATCCGATCTATCCGATCTATCCGATCTATCCGGTATCCGATCTATCCGATCTATCCGATCTATCCTATCTATCCGATCTATCCGATCTATCCGATCTATCCGATCTATCCGATCTATCCGATCTATCCTATCTATCCTATCTATCCTATCTATCCTATCTATCCTATCTATCCTATCTATCCTATCTATCCTATCTATCCTATCTATCCTATCTATCCTATCTATCCTATCTATCCTATCTATCCTATCTATCCGATCTATCCGATCTATCCGATCTATCCGATCTATCCTATCTATCCGATCTATCCTATCTATCCTATCTATCCTATCTATCCTATCTATCCTATCTATCCTATCTATCCTATCTATCCTATCTATCCGATCTATCCGATCTATCCGATCTATCCGATCTATCCTATCTATCGATCTATCCGATCTATCCGATCTATCCGGTATCCGATCTATCCGATCTATCCTATCTATCCAATCTATCCAATCTATCCGATCTATCCGATCTATCCGATCTATCCGATCTATCCGATCTATCCGATCTATCCGATCTATCCGATCTATCCGATCTATCCGATCTATCCGATCTATCCGATCTATCCGCTCTATCCGATCTATCCGATCTATCCGATCTATCCGATCTATCCGATCTATCCGATCTATCCGATCTATCCGATCTATCCGATCTATCCGATCTATCCGATCTATCCGATCTATCCGATCTATCCTATCTATCCTATCTATCCTATCTATCCTATCTATCCTATCTATCCTATCTATCCTATCTATCCTATCTATCCTATCTAGCCTATCTAGCCTATCTAGCCTATCTAGCCTATCTATCCTATCTATCCTATCTATCCTATCTATCCTATCTATCCTATCTGTCCTATCTATCCTATCTATCCTATCTATCCTATCTATCCTATCTATCCTATCTATCCTATCTATCCTATCTATCCTATCTATCCTATCTATCCTATCTATCTATCCTATCTATCTATCTATCTATCTATCTATCTATCTATCTATCTATCTTCCTATCTATCCTATCTATCCTATCTATCCTATCTATCCTATCTATCCTATCTATCCTATCATCTATCTATCCAATCTATCCTATCTATCCTATCTATCCTATCTATCCTATCTATCCTATCTATCCTATCTATCCTATCTATCCTATCTATCCTATCTATCCTATCTACCTATCTATCCTATCTATCCTATCTATCCTATCTATCCTATCTATCCTATCTATCCTATCTATCCTATCTATCCTATCTATCCTATCTATCCTATCCCTATCTATCCTATCTATCCTATCTATCCCATCTATCCCATCTATCCCATCTATCCCATCTATCCCATCTATCCCATCTATCCTATCTATCCTATCTATCCTATCTATCCTATCTATCCTATCTATCCTATCTATCCTATCTATCCTATCTATCCTGTCTATCCTGTCTATCCTGTCTATCCTGTCTATCCTGTCTATCCTATCTATCCTATCTATCCTTTCTATCCTATCTATCCTTTCTATCCTTTCTATCCTTTCTATCCTTTCTATCCTTTCTATCCTTGCTATCCTTGCTATCCTTGCTATCCTTTCTATCCTTTCTATCCTTTTTATCCTTTTTTATCCTTTCTATCCTTTCTATCCTTTCTATCCTTTCTATCCTTTCTATCCTTTCTATCGATCGATCTATCTATCTATGTATATACGTATAGTTTATAGTCCCATGCGTAATAATAGGCATGTTCATAGTCATGCCAAACAAAGGATTGCATAGACCCACCTTTTTTCAATGGTCAAGGACTTTCTGGTCATTCATACTGAAACAAAATTCAACCGTCATACCAAAGCATTTAAACCAGGAAGAAATGAATGGACGAAAACCAGCAACAACAACTGTTTACTGTAGAGCTTAAAGATGATTAATGGACATGCAATGCGATTAAATCCCTATTTGTTGTTGATGATTAAATCAAATTAAGTTCCATTAAATCTCACTATCTATGGGATGATCCTTCAAATTGCTTTCCAGATTGCTTAAACGTCCAGCAGGAGAACCATGATCCAGACCACGCTGGGGCTGGAGGTGGCTTGCTGGTGAGAACTCCTGACATCGAGCAGCCAATATTAGGGAATTTACACTCACTTGGCATCACCTAACCTTGACCAAAACGAGGACTTCACAAGGATTTTATCTGGTCTACCCCGCAAAACTGGGGATCTACCTTGAAAAGATCCAGAGAGCAGGGAGATAATCACTTTGTGGATAGCCATTTGAAGTGGGAGTCCAGTCTCATGTAACCAGTAGAATCGACCAGTGAGGTTCAACATGGTTCAACAAAATTTGTTTACTTGGATTATTTTGTGTTTGCATGTTTCAACTGAAATACCCCAGGTTTTTGTACTCGCAACGTTTATACTGCACGAATGTCGTTGTTTGATCGTTACCCTTTGTCTCTATCCTGGCATCATCGACGTGTTTGACGTGGGTAATTTCTCATGTTTTGACTGTCTTATAGTCTTTTTGGGGCAGGGTCTTTGTCTTTTCTCGTCTGGGCATACCACATTTTAAGTACATTTTACAACTCAATTCAATAGCCATTTATTTCATACAGTGGATAGTGATTCCATTTATTAAACAATGGATGAAATGGGCAATTCCATGACCACCCAATGACTTTGATGAATAACTGGCCAAGTGACGAGTTTTTTTTCTGGATCAACAAGCCCAGTATTTTGTTTTATCATTTTGGTGGTTCATATTTTTTTTTATACATGACTTATGTCTACATCCAAAATTATTGCTTTATTGGATGAGGGATTGTTATGTTTACCATCTAGCAAGTTGATGTAGTCTCGGAAAAACTCAATGTTCAAATCGGTAAATCATTGACGCGATAGCTTCCATAGCTACATTAAAAAAACACATAGAGGGTATCAACCAATCGTCCATTAACATACCATTAATATCCTCATTAATATCTCCAATTATACCACCAGTGAGGATATCCCAAGTAATATCCCAATAACCAAACTATTAACTATGAATATCCCAACATCCCATATTCATGAAGTCCTCATATGTCCCATTATATGTCTTTATATCCCACTATATCCCATATATCTCAATATACCATGTTGGGATATCCCATTAATATACCCATTACCTGGATGTGCTGAAGATGCTTTAACTATGTTCCCAATGGCAAATCCAATTGAAATGGTGGGGATCTATAGGTATTTTTGTTCTGTGGGTTCCTGGAAAGCAAATCCTGAAAACTGAATCAGATTATTGGTGAATAATCCATGCCCAATAAGGTATTATGGCAAATAGTTGACTTCGCCTCAGGCGATAGTCAGTGGCCATCTCGACCGGTGACCAGTCGCTCCACGGTGGGTTTGGCGAACCCAGTGGGGATTTGGTGATTTTTCTGGGTGATTCACCATTAAACACTGGGATTTCATGGGATATGTCATGGGAAATGTCCCAAAAACTGGAGCGAAAATGGTGGCAAAATCAACTGCACATGGGTGATTTAAGCATTAAAACATTGGCAAAATGGTAGTGGTTCACCATGGAAAAGGATTGTTGATTGGGGTTCATGGGAATATCATTGGTAAATTCAATAGTGATAGGGAGTCAATCTCCCCAAATAATAACGAGATATTCCGGGGATTTCACAGACAAAAGTTGGGAATGGATGATTCTCAATCCACCCATGGTAAGTCATTGGGGATGGCTTATGAAATCAAATTTATCACATCGCATGTAAGTCTAAATCACAAAAGCAAAGCGATAACGGGATTTGTCATGATTTTCCATGTCGTCTCCAACAAAGTATACAGACAGAATTGACAACGGTCACCAAGCGGGATAGATGTTGCTACCCACGGATAAATGGTCTTCATCAACGGAGAAGGGAATTGACCATCAGAAACGGTTCTGTTTTATGCATCCATATTCCAAATGAGATATGACTGGATTTAACCAACAAGTGCTGATTTACATTAAGGGTTATGCTGTTTTGGGGTTAATGTTAGTGAAGGTGTAATATCAGAAGCTAAGTCCGGAGTAGGCGCCCACAAGTGGACAGATCGGTTTTAGGGACCATCAATGACTGGTCATGTTAAGCATAAAACTATCTGATTTGATCATATTTGATCCACATTTAGGAAGAATATTGCATCATCGCATGCCAAGAAAAGTCAAGCAGTCCTGCTACAAGCTTCCGCTTTGCTCCTGCAGCAACCAGTCTCTTAGACCAAATCATATTGCAGCTGGTTGGGAGGCAAACCCAGCAAGCCAAGATGTTGGAACCACGCGGAAGTTGATAGCTGCCTTGGTATTACACCGACTATCTTTGTCATATGAAGAACCCTCTACAAATCCAGATCACAAGAAGGACCCCTCCACTCAAAGTTGGCTTTTACATATTTGAAGAAGATGTCCCGTAATATATAGAGAGTATACGGTATATACGCGTATGTAAAAAAATAAATTATAGTATATTATATTATATTATATTACATATTATATATTGTTTTATTATATATATTATATTATATTATATTATATTATATTATTTTATTTATATTATATTATATTATATTATTTATATTTTATTATATTATATTATATTATATCATATTATATTATATTATATTATATATTATATATTGTTTTATTAAATTTATTTTATATATTATATTATATGATATTATATTATAACTTCTATTATATTTTATTATATCATATTATATTATATCATCTTATATTATATCATTTTATATTATATCATATTATATCATATTATATTATATTATACATATATATATGTATATATCTCTATCCAGTATAAATCCAGTTTATTTTGCTTCAACTCCAACTTCCCAACTTCAACGCGGAGTTCCGCGGCTCCGCGAGGTCGAGCTGCTTCGAGTCCAAGTCTGGTGCCACATCTGACGTTGAAACCGTTTTCTGCGGCTGCTCGGATGGTGAAGTTTTGTGGATTTTCTGGTGATTTTTCTGGGTGATTCACCATTAAACCATGGGGATGTCATGGGATATGTCATGGGAAATCTTCCAATGGTGATTTAAAATGATTTAAACATTCAAAATGCAGGTTTATTGGAATATTCATGGGAAATCGTCCAACAAATGGAGGTTTTAATCGGAATGTCAACTACAACATAATGTTTGAAACACGCATATATCTTGTTTGTGATTCTATCCCATATATCTATGTTTTGTTTTATCCCCAAAGTATAGCCTCAATTTACATATATCATACATACGGGGGCTTACAAAAATGGGTGATCAGTGACCATGGGTTAAAGTATACTAAGTAATGATCTATAGTGACTTGGACGATTTGGGGATAACCCATGACTTCGGAAACCTCCACTAATATAGATGATTATCCTATATTTTCCTATATTTTCCCATATGTTCCCATCAAATCAAGATTGTCTCACTCTGATAGCTCCTTTGATCATGGGAAAATATATGAAAATATAGGACATATCATGATTATCATTCCATTTGTTCCCATATTTTCTCATGATTTATAGGTGTTTTGTTTCCATGTTTTTTCCCCATCACTTTTCGAGATGCCCGAGGACAACCCACAGAATCCCAACTTCTCGCCAGAGCTGAGACCAGGCCATGCGGTTTTCATGGGAAGATCCACTATTTCGACTGGGCCATGGCTTCAATAGCTATGATAGTTTACCAGAGGGTATATATATATATATGATATACATACTATAGAAATATTTGATTATACATACTACACATAAACATATAGTATAGATTATACATACAATATATAGATATATATATAAGTTTTTAATAAAAAAAAAACTATGTGGACATGGCAACAAATCATCCCTTGTATTTTCCCAATCATTGGTGTTGCCAGTGTTTTCTCATGGTCAAGTTTGCTGACGTGTGAGTGTTTCAGGTATAAACATTCAAGGAATCGATTGCTTTAGATACCAAATTTGATAGCAACTCAATTCATAGGTGGAAATTCCTTGCTGCAAATAGTTCAATATGTTTATGACGGGTTTTGCGTGCGAATCAACACAACCTTGCTACATGATGGTTTTGTAAGGGGACATCATCCCAGCTGTTGCCCTGATTTCAGGTTTGTGAAACGATTGAGGTGAAACACCATGCATGTGATTGGCCCTAATGTTGGTGGTAATTATGGTCTATATCTGTTTATATGAACACCTTATATATATATATATATATTCATGAGGCATGGCATGGTATGCTCTACGCGTGGTATTACATGTCAATCCTCTCCGTTCAGATCTCAACCCTTTTGCGGACGGTTAGATCAGTTGTACAATGCTATACAACATTTTTTGGGTTGATGCCCAACTATATCGCAGTCATATGATGGGTCACCTCTGATCCATGGTTCGGGACATTGATAAATGGCAATGAATAGCTTAACTTATCTTACCTTGTTTGTGCTTTTGTCTGAAGATAGGGTACTCCGCAATATCCTGCTGGCTGGTAATTATTCAGTTCTAAATTGCTGTGTTTGGGTACTCCTCCATCGCATATCCTGACAAAGCCAACCGCAACAACGCACCTCCCAAGTAGGGGGTCAGATTCCACTATAGTTCATAAACCTCCACTGTTGGATCATTCTGATGAAATTGAAGATGGTTTTTCACTTACATCCGTAAATATACCACATGATTGGATCTTTCACAATAATGATTGGATGGCTCACAAGTTCTTAGTGGAGATGGTTCAATCATATATCTATCAAATGTACCCTCTGGTTATTTAACATAGCCATGGTATAGATGGCCCATTTATGCCCATTTATAGATGGTTTACCTATTACAAATGGTGATTTTCCATGGCTATGATTGCAATATCCCACAGTTCCCCTGGCGATTCGCCCAACGCCGGCAACGCCAGTTGCAAGCGCCTCTTTCTTTGAGCCCGTGTCTCCGGCGCTGGCTGGGGAGCTCAGGAGATGTTGGAAACTGACGACCTCACTGTTCTCCCGAACCCTGGAATCATAGTTAATAAGGGAAATCATCCCCAAATGGGCCGCAAGATTCAGGTTAGTGAAATATGATCATTTACCCAGAAGCATGTCAATCTTAATAACATGTAATTCCGACTCATGATGAATGAACACAGTCAATGTTGTCCCAAATGATTGTTAATACCAGAGAAAAATAGACTGAAGATTGTGCAAAAAGAAAAATCAACCTCTAAAAATAGGCTGAAATGCATCAACTACGGGCTGCTCAACCAGCTGAATCTTACAAAGTTGTAGAGAGAGAGAGAAAGATAGATCACGATTTGAGTCGCCTGCTGAGTCAACCAAGATATTGTATGTCTGGGAGGGCCTTCGGCGTGTTTTTTTTACCCAATCATCCAATTATCGAAAATCAAGGAAGTATCAACTTCACCACCCAATCAAACCTTTAAATGAAAGTTACCGGACCCACTCAGGGAATTTCTCCAGCCAAGGATGTGAACTCCGTCCATGTGAATTGGAGCCGTGGCGTGACGCCTCCTCGGCTCCTCTTTGTAGGACAGCTTCATGGTGTTAACGGGTTACTGAGCGGTTACTATTAACCGAGGGATTGGGACATCAATGAAACGTCGATCCTGACATCAATCTTCCGGTCCATGTTTCTTTTCTGGTCATCCTTGATGTTGCCAAGGCAGGCGGTGTTGGAATATCTCGGAATCATTCATGTTCTTTGCCTGCGCTGCCAGAGCCCTGAAGAATAATTAGGGAATTGTTTACATTTGAATATGTACATTCAAAGGGGGGTAGAGCTATGACAAGGCAAACAGGTCAGACAAGACACAGATTTAAACTATACATTGGCTACATTTGGCTACAGGCAGGTCAGATTCTTTCAACACCCTGGGTTGCTGCTTGGGTCTTGGTGTGCCCCTGGGCCTGGGTTACCATGAATTTCTGTTGGTGTCGACAGCATTCTAAGGTCTCCTAAGACTCTAAGATTTGACTCCTGACTTAAAACCAGAAAAGTTAGAACGCGAAAAACAAGGTTTAGTTTGTTGCTCCGGTGTTTTCAGTGCTGATGTTGCCAAGTATCCACACTATCTCCGAAGCCGCTGACGACAGTTTCATGGCACCTGACATGGGATGGTCCACTTGGGCAAGCTACTTGGACAAGCATTTCAACAACCAAGCATATACAAGCCATTGATACAAAGGAAAATTCCAGTTTCACTCATATATATATATATGTATATACATATATATATACATAGTATGCACTGTGGAAAATAAAAACTCAATGCACATCCAAGTAGCTGACCTTGTTGCCACAGGAGATGCAAGCTGTCAACCCAGTGGAGCCTGCTCCCCCGCACCCTGGCAGGTGCGGTGAGCTGCATGAAACATGCGGACTTGGCTTTGGAGTTGGGATTACATCGATTTTTCTTTGCTTATGAATGTTTATGAGTGTTTGTAACCCTCCATAAGTTAGTTGGGATTACAGTGGTTACCAGAATTATAGAACAGAATTAGGAGTACTCTTCCGGATCTCGATTCCGGGAAATTCTTATCCTGTTCTATAATTAATTTTCTGGCTGTTCTATAATTAATCCGTACTCCTCAACACTTCCGTTCTATAATTATTTTTTGGCCATGACATGATATCTATTGCATATCTGTATACATAATTACACACATACCGTAGATACCCTTCCTGGAAAACCCCACAATGCGTTTACTTTATGTACACAATCTGGAGGGGATGGAAAAAAGGCTGTTATACCCCAAAGAATATGGCCGTACATATATGGTACAGTACATACCTCGGTCCTCAAATTCCCATTGAAACCACCAGCAACACGCAGATTGTATGAGTCTTGGAGGTTACTATATTTGCATCATTTTATGTATCTTTCTGGGACCCCGGAAAAAATGACATAAAAACCAGAATGATAGAACGGACTTTCCGCACAATTAATTATAGAACGCGAAAATTAATTATAGAACAGAATTGGTAAATGTGAGAAATATGGTGGAAAACACAATTATAGAACAAACAAGAATTATAGAACGACGAACAAAAAACAGGAAGGGGTAAGTTGAGGTAAACTTTTTTTCATACCTTCTGAGGAAAACGGAATTGTAGAACAACAGGGTTCGGTAAATAACCGTACCTTCGCACTCCTCAACTTCCGTTCTATAATTGTGGCAACGACCATATTTGAAAGTTGTCCATAAATGGATGTGGGCTTATCCAGTAGTGGGGTATGCCCCCCCCAAATGACCACAATGATTCTTAATCAGTGGATTTTTGGGTACCCCAATTTCACACAAACCCATCTTATTCCTCATTAATTCTTCAATGGATGCTGACCCGTCTGATAGGATAAATGATGATCATCAGATCTGGATAAATTATGAAGACCTCACTGCGTCGTCACTCGAAATGATGATTAACAAGGAGCATAATGCACAGCATATCCCAAATTTTACTTCAAGTTGGTGATGTCTGATAATTTAGACAGATAGGGGACAATACCGACCATGTCAGGTATGTATGTATGTATATATATATGAATATATGATATAGGTAGGTATAATTATCTATGATATATATATATATATGTATATATTATATTATATTATATTATATTATATTATATTATAGTATATTATATTATATTATATTATATTATATATATATACATATATGTATATATATATATATACATACGAGTTTAATGTAGATAATATATATATATCTATACATATACATATCTAGAGACATAATGAAAAACACCCTGGGGATACCCGGTTCTGCAGGCCGCAGCGGCGTCTCAGACCTATGCGAATGTCTCTATGGCCATGGTGAGGGAGCAGGTGTGATTGGTGCCGTTGGGACCGCGCTACCACTGGGGATACTCTCTGGTGTCATGGCTGGTTGGGAAAGCGACCCATGTGGGGTGTTCCATAAATGGAGGTACCCAAAAAATCCTCAAAATCATCGGTTTATGATGGAAAATCCCATTCAAATGGATGATTTGGGGTACCCCCATTTTAGGAAAACTCCATGTGTGATTACCAGAGGGTATCTATGTATTTATTCGCATATGTTGAGATTTCTTGGCGCTCGAAAAATTGGGATTCGCGTTGCCCCGCGTTTTTTTGGGGAGATGGAGATCTACGAAACATATCACATTGCAGGTTGTCAATCTGGAATAGGCCAACCACAAAGTCTGTGTGAATTTGAATGGAAGAAACGCAGATCCTGCAATTTCTGTGGTAAGTATGGTAATCATTGCCAAAAATCACAAAATATCTCCCCCCTGGGTTCTTAAACTTAAACTGTAAAAAATGTCAATGTGAAATCTGGTTCTTGTGCATGTTTTGCCAAGTTGCTACTATAGGCCCCGAGTTTGTCGAAAGATGAACAACATTTGCTTACCATTTACTGTCCATGGAGCATCCATCTCAATGGCGATCCCTTGGCTGATCAAAATTCATGCTTTTAGGATTGGTGTATATCCCCAGTCTTGCTTGAACTGTTTTTTGTTGATGGATGGATAAATGGATAGATAGATAGATCGATAGATAGATAGATATATCAATGGATAGATAAATGGATAGATAAATAGATAGATAGATTAGATAGATAGATAGATCGATAGATAGAAAGATAGATAGATAGATATATCAATGGATAGATAAATGGATAGATAAATAGATAGATTGATTAGATAGATAGATAGATAGATAGATAGATAGATAGATCGATAGATAGAAAGATAGATAGATAGATATATAAATGGATAGATAAATGGATAGATAAATAGATAGATTAGATAGATAGATAGATAGATAGATAGATGGATAGATAGATAGATAGATAGATAGATAGATTAGATAGATAGATAGATAGATAGATAGATAGATAGATAGATAGATAGATAGATAGATAGATAGATAGATAGATAGATATATGGATAGATAGATAGATAGATATATGGATAGATATATGGATAGATAAATGGACAGATACATGGATAGATAGATAGATGGATGGATAGATAGATAGATAGATAGATATGGATAGATAAATGGACAGATACATGGATATATAGATAGATGGATGGATAGATAGATACATAGATAGATATAGATATATATATGGATAGATAAATGGAGAGATACATGGATAGATAGATGGATGGATAGATAGATATATATATATATATGGATAGATAAATGGACAGATACATGGATAGATAGATAGATGGATGGATAGATAGATAGATATATATATATATATGGATAGATAAATAGACAGATGAATGGATAGATAGATAGATGGATGGATGGATAGATAGATAGATAGATCTCCCCTTATATTTAGTAATATATCATATATATATATATATGTATACTAAATCTCCGCACTTATAAACCCCCAAATCATGGTGTATGCTCCATCCTGCAGGCGCGCCGCTCCGTGGTTTTGGAGCAGCTGTCCCGGAGCCTCCGAGACCCAGGCTGTTTCTACCATGGAACCCCATGGAGCCATGGTGGATGTGAGGGGATGACATGGTGATTTTATGGTCATTTAATGAGAAAATCACCATTTTTGATGGGAAAATCCACTATTTCTATGGTGATTTTCAATAGCTATGTTAAATTTAATGAGATTTAACGGGGTTTCATGAGATTCAATAGTGATTTTTCCCCACCTGCCAGGTGAGGGTTGTTAGATTTTATGTCAGTTGCCTCCTCCTCCTCCTCCTGCCTCGTCCTCCTCTCCTCCTCCTCCTCGTCCTCCTTGTCATCCTTGTCATCCTTGTCGTCCTTGTCGTCCTCGTCGTCCTCGTCGTCCTCGTTGTCCTCGTTGTCCTTGCTCAACTGCGACCCGCGATCCACAGTGTTCTCTGCCGGACCTCAACCACGACCACCCACGCCCAGTGTTCCCTGCCGGACCTCATCTGCGAGTATCCATGCCAAGTGTTCCCTGCCGGACCTCAACCGCGAGTATCCATGCCAAGTGTTCCCTGCCGGACCTCAACCGCGAGTATCCACGCCAAGTGTTCCCTGCCGGACCTCATATAGGAAGATAAAATGTCAGATAGAGTGCCAGAAGATTTGCCAGGTAGAATGCCAGAAAATATGCCAGAAGATATGCCAGATAGATATGCCAGAAGATATTCCAGAAGATATGCCAGATAGAATGCCAGATAGAATGCCAGATAGAATGCCAGAAGATATGCCAGAATATATGCCAGAAGATATGCCAGATAGAATGCCGGATAGAATGCCAGAAGATATGTCAGATAGAATGCCAGAAGATATGCCAGATAGAATGCCAGAAGATTTGCCAGATAGAATGCCAGAAGATATGCCAGAAGATATGCCAGATAGAATGCCAAATAAAATGTCAGAAGATATGTCAGATAGAATGCCAGAAGATATGCCAGATAGAATGCCAAATAGAATGTCAGAAGATATGTCAGATAGAATGCCAGAAGATGTGCCAGTAAGAACATGTATAAATGTCATGGTGGGGATCACACGAAGTAAAGTAATTATTTATTCATGGGCATCCATGTGATCTGATTTACTGCAGTGATTTAATAGTGGTTTAATGGGATTTTAATGGATTCATGATTCAATAGTGATTTCAGACTGAGGCAATATATAGTGATTTAATGGTAATTCATAGTGATTTAATGGGATCTCATTGGATTCAATATTGATTCAATGGGAATTGATAGTGATTTAATAAGGATGTTTATAGTGATTTAATGGGATGTCATGGTATTCAAAAATGATTTAATGGAAATTAATAGTGATTTAATGGGAGTTCATGGGATGTGATTTAATTAATGCTGATTTAGTGGGATTTCATGGTGATAAACCACTAAAGTAACGAAACATGGGAATGCTGGTACATATTATTATCATAATGGGAATGCTACCCATTTTGGAGGAATATTTCGGAAAAAATAGCAGGAATTGCTTCCGCCAGTGGGGTGCAACTCATCATGTTTCATCGTGTTTGAACTGTTTAGCACCTTCAGCATTCATTGAACAGCTAATGAGCAGATTTGTTTGAAATTGCGAAATCCCATAATTTCAAGTTTGATCATTGTTCTTTATTAAAATCACAGGTTAGGAATATATTGATACCCAATGTTTGGGAAAAAACAACATATATGGTACTGTCACTTACATATCCCATTCTATCCCCACGATATTTGCATAAAATGATTGGTCTAGTACCACATTTTTTTGTTGGTGTAACCCCCAACATTTGCCCACAAATATCCACAAATCCTGTTGTAGAGTCCCCTGGTTGATCAGGCGGTAACCAAAGGAAGGTGGTGGTACCCATTACCCAAACATGGTTTGCTGGAAAATCCACAATACTCGTAGATGTTTTTTTCCATTCACACCTTCATTTACATGGGATTCTTCAGTTTAACCATCATTAATCACCATCAACAGGGCTTATTAACCACAATTGGGCTAATGAACCACAATTATGAACCACTATTAGCCATTCATCAATAGGACTTATTAACCATAATTAATAACCACTATTAGCCATTATCAACCATTATTAACAATCATTAACCGTGACTCCAGCTATTTTCCAGCCACGAATTCTGAGTTCCAGGCGCTCTTCGCAGCTGTTTAGACGACTTGTTGGGTCACAACGCGGTGCTCTGCGTCTCCTTTGCGCCGTCGGACTCACGACGCTTGTGTGGAGCCCTAGGGATGTGACCAATGGGCTGCTGGAGCCCCCCGGAAGTGGATTTGTAGTTGGTTTGCAAGGGGATTCAAAAAGATTTAATGATGGGATTTAATGGGATTTACTGGGATTTAATGGGATTTAATGGGATTTAATGGGATTTTGATGGGATTTTGATGGGATTTAATGGGATTTTGATGGGATTTAATGGGATTTAATGGGATTTGATGGGATTTGATGGGGTTTATACAATGGGATTTGATGCGATTTACTTGGATTTAGCTAGCTGAGTTGGTTTCTCAGTAGGCTATCGATCAAATATAGTTAGATGGGCAATAAATAAATTTGTAACTGGGGGGAACCATCTTGTATAGGTGAAGCTTAAGAAAGATGTAGGTGAATTGCAGGAAATTAACCAACAAACATTGAGATTCAACAAAGACAAAAGGCGATGAATTAATCAAGCAACAACAAGGGGGAAATATTGAAATATCTGGGCAAACCATTTTGAAGGTTAGTTCAGTGATTTAATTGATGCATTGAGGCATTATTATGAAGGGACTTTCAGGGTATCTAGGAGTGACAGTGTACCCCCAGCATCACCAACTGTGAATGGATCAGTCAAAGGCATGGGTCAAAGCTGAGTTCTCAAACTCAGATTTTGACCCCCACTTTGCTACAAACTAGTGGCATTAGAAGCAGCAAATCAACTGAGAATTACTTGGCAGCCTGTGTGAGAGAAGATGCCGATTTTTTTCGAAGAAAAGATCATCTGAATCAGCAATCATGTGTTACACGCAATGCCATGAACCATCCGCATTGACTTGCCTTAAATTGCTGTTTAACGACCATGGCCCTAAATGGTAGGTTTATTGTAGGGTTTACAACATTTGTCCTGATGGTCCGGTTACTTGCTCTAGCACAACAGGCTATTTTGAACACATTGACTACACATTACCATCCAGGTTCGAGCACTTCTCCCAGAAGCGCCTCCAGATCCAAATACTAAGAATTGATGTGTTGAAAGTTTCACTCCCAACATCACGTTGTTATTTCATGGGATCTACTACGCACCAGCTAATAACATCTAACAATAACCATTGATCTAGCTATATATTCTGTTGGATCCTCGCCTTCCCCTCAGCAATAGACAATGTCTTGACAGGTCAGAGTGGGTGGAGGAAAGGATCAAGTTACGGAGTCAAAGTACTCAACTCTCCAAAGTTTTACTGATGCGTATGGAGGCTGGGACCGGGCCCCGAAAGTCGAATGGAACTCTTGCAATGGTTACGTTTTACAAACCCACTGAAATCATCTGAAATCTGTGGTCAAGTTGAATGCGATGAATAAACCACTTGTCTCACTGTTCTTTTGATAACCCTCATTCCAGTGTTCTTTTTGCACCGGAATACCTCCAGTTTCAGGGCCCAGGGCGGATTCCAGACCTGCCCATGGGTGAAATCTCCATAGAAACCTCCATAGATCCCAGGTCTTCCCATGGTGGGGGATGAACACTGCTGAGGTGGCCATTTCTGGTTATATCCCCATTGAGATGATATTCATAGCCCCGTTATCCCAGAAAAATCAACAGGTGTATTGATTATAATCATAGTTATATAGCTATACAGTATATATAATTATATACAGTATAGATTATATCCCCATGTCCGATGCTAGAAAATCTCTCCGCAATCGTGATGGTTTCCCCATCCCTATGGATACTTCCAAAGGTATTTAAGCCCCTAAAGAATACCTCTATCAAAAGGTATTGGGATCTATTATATCATTATATCCCATCATATTCCATAGATGATTTTCCCATAGAGTTCCAATGATCTCCCCATGATATCCCTACTATTGTTGGTTTACCCGGTTTACCCTCTCGTATTTTAACATAGCTATTGAACATGGCCCGTTTATAGTTAATGTTGCTATTAAAAATGGTGATTTTCCATAGCTATGTCATTTCCTTGTTCATCCCATGTCGTCCATTCCACAGCCCATAGGATCGTTTGACGGAACGTCGCGATGACTTCGCCCGGGCCAGTTCCTGAGATCGGCTGACGGAGAAGGGAAATGGGGAAGCAGCCATACCCATGCTAATGCTAATGGCAATGAAATGTGTAGCAATGTTGTAAACCACATCGATAATGCCATTAATTGATGTAAATGCTTTACTATATTATATATATAATATTGCCATCAAATGTTGTAAACACGCCATTGATAAACAATCCCCAACATTGATATAAATGTGTGGTACATATCATCCCCAAATGGTAGGTTTATTATTGGGTTACTACATTAGTGATGTCATGAAACATATATATATATACATATATGCATGGAAATAGACATATATATTCGATATAATATTGCCATATAAAATATATTGGAGCACGTATCTATGTGTATCAACAGGTCGTCTTATGGGATATCAGTTTTGACATCATATGATGTTCGAGGCGAAAATAATGGACGCATATGGACGCCAGTTATACATGCGATACATATCTCTCTGTACGGCTATGATATACATATGTATGATATATATATATAGTTATTTATAGGATTATAGACCACTTACTACGCTGGGATGCACATGGCTGGCTTTCCGAGCTCATTCTTTTTGGTTCTTTTTGGTGTCAAACATCGATGTTCCGAAGGCGGGATGATTCTGCCTGTTTGCTATCGGCGGCATTAATTCATCGGACAACACCTTGTGCGTTGCTTACCACGCACCATGTTTGTATACTTCTGTTGGATAGAAAAACGACACATGTTTGTTGGATGAGAAGGTTGAACAAAAAAAATGCCTGGAAAACTTAAGCATGCTTTGTTTGTTAGTTTACCGAAAAAATAATGGTTTGTTACTTGAAACCAAATTTATCCCATATGTTTCATGGTTTTTTGATGTGTTTTTCTGCGCTAAAAACTATGAATTCTGCAGGCGATGACCAGCTCAAAGATGGCCTTGCGTTTTGGCCCAGGATCAAGAGAGCAACGGCTCCGGGGAAAGCACCAACAATGGGCGGTTTCAGCATGTTGAACCCATCAAAATCTATGATCATCTATGATAATCCATGAACATATGGGTTGAATCCATCCAACAATGTGATTCTTCTTCTGTTTTTATTGACGAAAAAGTCGGGAAACGAGTTATGACGCCAGAAAAATCTTTGGACCAGCGCATGGATCAGATCAAACTACAGGATCAAACACTATGCGGATTTGACCAGCACATATTGTGGGACCAACCATCTGTGGGGCAAATATCCAACAATTTGCCAACAATAATCGGGATTTACCTATGTATATATATACCCTGCCATGAAGTGGGGGATACGACCAAGACTGGCCGACCAAACCGCAGAACTGATGGTTGACATGCTAATTATACAGTATGTATTGGGGAAACTATCAAGCTCATGGTTTCAAATCCGGTTTGGGGTTTGAGACCAAAAACAAATAGATATTCAACTGCCATGGTGTTTGTTGCTGAGATATGTTGGCCATGTTTATAGAGGCTGAGTTCGAAACCCTTCAGAAGCTTTGAGGTCTCAGTGGGTCTTGGGACCTCAACGAAGTCATGGTTAGAGTCGAAGCATTTTGGCATCAACACTTTTGGAAACTGGAAGAATTATGTAGATTTGTGGAAAGGCCTGTTGATACATGTTGATAAATCACTCTGCATTGCTAGTTGCAACTGTGGACAGACAGGACTAGGATTCGCTGGGGATTCTTGGTAGTATCCACCTATTTCGAGGGTCAACATGGGTCAACAATACTAGTAGCGGGAAGAAAACCTGCATATCACATTTGGAGATATTGAAAACACATGAAAACAATTGAAAACACATATATTATATATGTAATTTATATGTAAATATGTATAAAGCTCTTCTTTACCCATATGAGAAATGGTGGGCTTCCCTAGCCAAATATGCATATGGTACATTGACAAAATATGATTTGCAGTACCTGTCAGAAATGGAGTGCTTCCTAGCCATATTGGTTCCTTTATATACCTACAAAAACTGGCAAAATGTCCACGATTTGGTGAACATATACCGACAAGACTGTGTTATATACCTACACATATACCATAATATACCTACAAAACTGGTAACATGTCTAAGTTTTGAGTGGTATATGAGCTATATACATAGCTACACAACTGCTAAACTTTGGACGGTAAAATATTGGTAAAGGCTCAGCTTCGGAAGCATCATCCAGCCATCTTCATCGCCTTTCGAACCTATTAAGAACTATTATTAACTATCAACATCTATCAACTATATATATATACATTCATATACATGATTACTATGAAAACTATTAAGTATATTTATATGCGTGTGTTTTTTTATTATTAGTTATATATATAATTATACTATAGTTGATAGTTATGTTGATAGATATGTTACTAACTATTATTGCCATTACTATCAACTATTAATATCTATGAACATCTATTAACATCTAAGATATCCACATATAGTTGATGCTTAATAGTAGCGATCCATAAAAAACTATTAAGATCTATTAAAGTCTATTAACATCTATTAACATCTATTAACATCTATTAACATCTATTAACATCTATTATATGTAGCTTAATATGAACACCTATTAACATCTATCAACTATGAACAATCAACAGCTGCCAGGACCGAGTTCCTTTTTGTCCGTCTTCAGCTTGCCGGAGTCCGTGGAGCCCATCCGCACGCCGGAGCGCGCTGGGCGACCTGGGAGGGTTGGGTTGGACGCAGAAAACCCATGGCTTTTCCATGGGAAAACCAGAGGAAAACCATGGAAAATCCATGGAAACCGTGGAGAATCCATGGAAAATTGATGGGTACATCCATGGAAAGGAATTTGAAATCCCAGCTGGGGTGATTTTCGATGGATTTCCAATTCCAATGGAAAATAAATGAAAAACCGTTGAAAACTCACTGCAGTAGTTATTGTGTTGGTATATTTAGGAAGTATCTTTTTTGGGGGGCTCTTCAAGCAAATCCAAGTTATGGGCTCCGGAGTCATCCGGCCTACCGGGCAAAAATCAAGACCGATCTAATGGTAAGGAGAGTGAACCAGCCAATTTTGGGCCATTCAAGGTGCAATTATACCCATTTCAATGTGTGATAAAGTGTCTGTATGTTACTAAGGTTGAACTTCCCCTTTCCATCTTTTCAGATCTTTCCATTGTCAAATAGTTTTAGTTGACCATTGGTTTATACATCTTAGAAGCAAATGTCCCTGCAGAAACAACATCATACTGAGGCGAGACGGTCCAGGATGCGGTATCTTGGTTTCTCAAATGGGGTGGTCATCTTGGTCCATTGTAAGATCATAGTGGTTTTGGCTTGAATCCGTTGATGATTATATATGTTTTACCGTGTTCCATGTTTTAGATGATGATACCAATGGATGTTTATCATCATCCAATGGTATCAATGGTATCAATGGTATCAATGGATGATGAAAAAAATAATGGATACCTGGTATCTAATGTGTTTATTATCATCATCAATACCAATGGATTTTTAGATGCTTCTAGGTTCGGTTGAAGCCACGCCACGCCACCCGCCCATTCTGAATGCCAGAGATGAATCCTTTGGACGGACCCAAGAAAATGCTGCAGAAAAATGGGCTGCTCTGTGTTGATTTTTCCGGGTGTATCATGTCTGTATACATAATATCATATGTATGTATATGATATGTATATACATATAGATGTAGATACATATAGACTGTATAGAGATAGAGATAGATATACACAGTATACACATTAAATCATTATGTACCAGTGATGTGTGTTCATATTACCAGTGATTTGTTTTTTCTTATTTCACATTTGCCCACCGGATACCGTGGGGTGATTGACATCCCCGTGGTTGCCCCAAGGCATAGCGACACAGGCTGGCGGATAAGGACAGGAGGAACCCATTCAATCCGCATACAAAATTTCCTGATATAAAATGGCTTAGTGAAATTAGTGAAATAGCCAAGGGGATTGAAGGGTCAATTATATGTGTTATCTATAGCCCAGTGATTAACCCAAAAAAATGTATCTATGTGAACGGGGTATAAAATGGCTTTGGTCACATAGATTGTCACCCTCATTCGCCACTGGTGGCCAGGTGGTCGATCATTTGGGCCCTGAGTTTCATATGGTATCCCTTCTTATCAGTCGACTTTGGCACCCCGCAGAAATATCTCAATTTGTATCTCCCATTTACGATTCGTAGGATGAACCAATCACCCATACCTTCCACATCCATCCACTTATGATATGTTTCTTGTTGCCAATATATGCCAATATTTGCCCCCAGATGTCCAAAGGAATCAGCCTTTCATGTAGGATCATTCATGGTCACGTCAGTCACGTTGCTGACTTTTTCGCTGCTACATCTCAGCTGAGCCACTCAAGATGGCGGTACTGATGCCCCAACGGTAACAGTTAGGTCCAGTTAGGTCACGTTCATTCTGCTAAAGTTCCGGCATTTGTTTCCATTTTCAGCCATGCAGTTGGTTTTTCATAAACACATGTGTAGACTTCATATATGACATACACAGTATATATACACAGTATACCAGAGGACAAGAGATCCTTCCCAGTGCCAAAACAGCATCGGACGCTTATCTCATCGCGGCGCCATGAAGCCGGCGGTGTTGGCCTTCGCCATGATGCCACGGATCTGTGGAGGTGATCCCTCAACGGGCCGAAGAGTGGGGAGGAACGGAGGTTGGAAAATAACCTTGGATTATATAATAATGATATATAGATATATAGATATAGATATATAGATATAGATATAGATATCTATATATATAAATATAGATATAGATATAGATATATATAGATATATATATATATAGACATTGCTTGATACAATTGAGCAGCTAGAAGGGAATGGACCTGACAGAGACATGTAAAGTTTCGTGTAGCGAGTTGCACACAGCTCTGTTCACATTGCAGTGGAATTTGTGCTTCATTGCAGCTGGTACTCCTACGGCCCACAAGAACCAAACGGCCCAGTTTGGACTCTTCGAGAGTGATTTTCCGTTCCCAAACTCCTATTTTCTCTGGAATTCAAGCATTCAACATCAGGAAAAAGTACTCTTGATCATTCCGTAATGTATCTATTCAACCTGAACGTTTAACTGTTTAACCGTTTAGTATTTCCTTAGTCAGTATTCAACATTTTGGAATATGGAGCAAGTTTTCGCATTTTCCAACATGCACCAGGGATTCCCCATGCGTCATCCCATGGAAGGTTCAACCAGAGTCCTTCCTGTTGGGCTTCCCAGGACGTTTGTCAACGGTTAAGGTGATATCAAGTGATATCCTCACGTTGTTTCCTTTGTTGCGTGTGTGTCATGTGTGTTTATTTTTGAACATGGTGACCTGGTGTATTTTTAAATGTGTGATTGTCATCCAACAACGTGGCATGGACGCTGAACATCACAAGTTTAATGAAATCTTAAGGTGCCGTGTTTGACTAAGGGGTTATCCCAAAATGATGGTGTTCCTACTAAAATTGACAGTTTGTTCCCAGATTCTTGGGCATGCTGAAACCATCCAAGCAACGTTGTCTTATTTGGTGTTTGATTTGTTCACTGCTTCTGTCGTTGTTGTTGTTGTCGTTGTTGCTGTTCTTGCTCTTGTGCTTGTGCTTGTGTTTGTTCTTGTGCTTGTGCTTGTGCTTGTTCTTGTGCTTGTGCTTGTGTTTGTTCTTGTGCTTGTGCTTGTGTTTGTTCTTGTGTTTGTGCTTGTTCTTGTGCTTGTGCTTGTTCTTGTGCTTATGCTTGTGCTTGTGTTTGTGTTTGTTCTTGTGTTTATTCTTGTGTTTGTTCTTGTTCTTGTTTTTTTTGTGTTTGTTTTTGTGTTTGTTATTGTTCTTGAACTTGTTCTTGTTGTGGTCGTGGTCGTGGTCGTGGTCGTCGTCATCGTGGTCGTCGTCGTCGTCGTCGTCGTCAGGAACAATTAGTTATTGTGTTACTGCAGGGATCTACTGTATTTGTGTTCATAACCCATTGTTATTCAACATTGCTGCTACTATGCCTCTACTATCACCCTTATGCTTAGTTTTGCTTATCATTCTTACTATAGTCTTATATATGTTTATCATTCTTATTATAGTTTATTGTTACTACTTACTGTATCATCACATTGAGACACCTCATATTGTCATTGTTTCAAGATGTGTATATCCAGCAAACATGTCTAACATTCCCCGCTGCGAGGTGTTTGGACGATACTTCTCGCAAGAGAACTCACAGCTGGTCATTCTGAGAAACTTGGTATGATTGTGGGCTGTCGGTTATGGTGAATGATGGTTCGATGGGGATTTAGCCATGGAATCATTGGGATGAAATGGGGATATCCCAATTCATGGTCATTTTCATTGGAAACTCAGTCGTTCAACCATCATTTTTTGACAAAAAAAAACAGACTCGTCCTGGGATACTTCTGAAGTTGAACGAGTTGGAGAGACCGAGAGGAACCTACATTGCTCACTTACTGAGATTGTAATTTCACTAATTATTATATGTATGATATATAATGTTTGTTTATGTTGTGTATATATATAATATATATATTTCTATACATTCATATGAATTTATGAGAGGCAAACAGAGCAGATAAGTCCAATGGAGCTCCATATACTCTTACTAATAGGACGAAGAGCAGTCCTTGAAGGTTCAGGGTGATTTTGTTGAAGCAGATGTACAAGCCCTAAAGGCCGTAATTAATTGATTTGTAACCACAAATGACTATATCCAAGGAGGAAATCATTCGCCAGACTCCATTGTTGGGGTTCCATCTTAAGTTTAGGTGTAAAATACAAGTGAAATATAAATAGGTAGATATATATATATATATATATAATATATTTATGTACATCGACTCATTCAAGATGTCCGCAAGTTCTATCTAGTGCACTAGTGCCATCTAGTGCCATTGTTTCCCTCAGGAAAGAAGATGCTCTACCAGGTGCTCCACCAACCGGCTATTTGCCAACTTGTTCGGACTGGTTGCTCAAGATTTGTGGAAGCCGCCTTGCTGGTTGGCAACACTTCATGGTCCATAAAAGTCTGGATGAGTTGTAGCCAAACTATACGCTCATTTATTCCATTTTTGTGGATCGTATGTCGGCATAACGTATGACCCGTCGCGTTGACATCGGGTTTTGGGTTTTGGGTGGGCGGGGTTGTAATAACGTTCTGTCGCCTGCGTTTCTTGGATTTCTTTTGGTGACTCGTTAACAAGCTCTTGATGCTACCCTGTAGAAGTTCTCTTGTACGCCTTATGACGCTCTTGATGCTACCCTGTAGAAGTTCTCTTGTACGCCTTATGACGCTCTTGATGCTCCCTGTAGAAGTTCTCTTGTACGCCTTATGACGCTCTTGATGCTACCCTGTAGAAGTTCTCTTGTACGCCTTATGACGCTCTTGATGCTACCCTGTAGAAGTTCTCTTGTACGCCTCATGACGCTCTTGATGCTACGCTGTGGAAGTTCTCTTGTACGCTTTATGACGCTCTTGATGCTACGCTGTAGAAGTTCTCTTGTACGCCTCATGACGCTCTTGATGCTACGCTGTAGAACTTCTCTTGTACGCTTTATGTTGCTCTTGATGCTACGCTGTAGAAGTTCTCTTGTACGCTTTTATGACGCTCTTGATGCTACGCTGTAGAAGTTCTCTTGTATGCTTTCAGACGCTCTTGATGCTACGCTGTAGAACTTCTCTTGTAAGCTATATGACAAAGAGCCTGGGTTGGAGCGTGTTCTTCGAGCTCTTGCCTTGCACAGACAGAAGGCTTCAAGTGGGTTAGCAAATCCCACACAGTGTTTTCAAAAACCACTGTTGGACATGTGAAGACACTAGAAGAAGAAACAATGCGGACTATCAACCCAGGAGTCGGTGTGCAGTCCACCAAATTCATTGGTATTTGCAGTTAATTTTGAAAGGATGTTCATTCTGCATGGTGCCCACAGTACTTTGGACACATTGTGAACTTGGTGGTAAGAATGCAATCGACAAAATCGACAACCCTTCCAATGTTTTTGCTTTGTGATAAGTTACAAAACAATGATGAAGACACATTCTCGGTTTTCTAAAACGGACATTTTTGAGAAATGACCGCGCGACACAAGAAGACTTACTGAAGATACTTGCTTCAGGGACAACGCAAAAACATTGAAAAAACCACACATACAAAATACACATTTCATAATGAAGGGCTTCATTCAAGGCATGTGGGTCCCGGAGAACCTAAGGGCCGAGCCGACATATCATATATCCCACTGAAAGCTGTCATACTATCACTTTCAGCAGGATACCAAGAAATCACCAAGAAGTAACCGCTCTTGCCATGTCTTCAACTCCCTCCAAACACCCCGAAACACCCTGCATTTCAAGTCCCCTTCCAACCGAGCCTTTTTTCAACCGAAGGCTCGAAATCGATCAGAGCCGTTGCTGGCCGATTTCCTGGTGGGTTTTGTGCAGTCTTGTGATCTCGCTGAAGAGGATGGGACTGGAGGAATTTTGCTCTTGATCCCACAAAAGATTCGGTCGAGTGATGCCTTTCCTGCAGGGTTCTGAAACGACTTGATCCATCAAGTGACTGACAGCGATCTGAGATCGGTTAGCCTGCATGTCCACACAGAATCGACTTGGTAAATCCAACTCAATCTTAGTTGGATAATGTTGGATATTAGTGGATTAGATGGATTAATTTTGATCCAAATGGGCACATGTATTAAGCGAATCTCAGCTAGAGATTCACTCAAAGTTTTGCAGATCGGCCAATTGAACAGGTGTTGCATCCGGAGAGTGCCCTTGGATGATGCAGAGATCCTATCTGTGTGATCTATTCTCGCCCAAGCATGATGCCCACATACTGTCTCTTCGAAGTTCACCGTTTTAAGCCAAACATGAAACATACGTATAAGGTATAAAGTGTTCATGATTGACTAGTGTAAATTTGACACTGAGTAAGGTGAATCTACAAAACACTCAACTGATCTCAACTGTACCGTTTTGATCCGTTTTGAGTCATGTTTTCTACTGTACGTGTTTATTCTTGCCTTCTGTGCGTTGATCTATGGCAGGACAAAGCAGCCTGGGCCACCCTGATTCAGTGTGACGAGGAGTACGCAAGACCCAGAGCAATGGGATTCGGACGTGTGGCTGGAGATCATCATGGACAAAATCAGAACTACCTCGCAACAAACCCACCGTAAATGGTGGATAGCATGATATATATATATATGGCTATGGGGGCTATGGGCATGGGGAATATTACAGCAATGGCAGACTTTGGGTTCAACGAAAAATGACCTGGAGATTTGGTGCGGCGGTGAGGCAAAGTTCTTGGAGATTCCATCCCTTCGAAAAATATGTCGTTTTGGTGTGCATACTGATCTACTGGTAAATCAATGTCAGCTGACCGTATACCGCTTGGCTGTTTTGCTGGATTCGTAGACTATCGTGGACTCCATGATTCCTCAATTTGTGTTGATTAGATCTGATTAATAGAAAAGCTGTTAGTAGATCTACTAACGGCTTTTCATGGCTTTTCTTGTTGATTAGATCTGATTTCTCCTTAAGAAAAGCCGTTTTTGTAGATCCGGCCATGGAGACGCATTTTAAGGGACAGCGATGTGGTCAGGATGTGGTCAACTCAGTGCCATTTTTATATACCAGTCGACTGGATCATGGCTGGGGATTGTTTTTACCACCCATAAAAAAGTGGGAATATGAAATAGAGATGGTTTATGATGGTTTATTAATCGGTTTGCCACATATAATCACCGATTTTCGGGGTGATTATATATACATACATATATATATATATATATCCTACTCGATTCGGATGTTCTATGGGATGTGCGACTAAAAAACAGCAGATGATGATGGCTGGTTGTGTTTAGATCTGCCACCTCGCGGCTTCTGGGTATACGGGGGGATCTAACTTGGCCATGAACCGTTCCCATATTTTTAGATGATTACCCTCTGGTAAACTAACGTAGCTATAGAAAATCACCATTATTAATGGGTAAATCCACTATAAATGGCCATGTTCAATAGCTACGTTAAATTACCAGAGGGTAACTTCTCATCAATAGCAATAGACATTTGGCGTGGTGCAGATCAGCTGGGCATTTGGATGCAACAAAGAAGAGCCAATCTGATCGCAATTCCTCGGCATTCCTCGGATATTTGCTATTGGCTGCGGCTACAAGCTTGCTGACTTGATGCGTAAACTCTATGACCAAGTGGGTTGGGTCGCCACAGCCATTTTTCGGGGTGTCACAAAATTCTGTGTCCACCGAAAACCATTGGTTTCCTCATGAAAGGCCAGCTTTTGATCATTTTGGCTCCCCTCAATTCAAAAGAAACTATCAATATCCTCGCAATCAAAATGGTGTGTTTTTTTCAATTTTACATTGTATCCCCGGTTCACATGGTAACACAGTATAATCCCCCACACCGCTGTGAGGTTCTTGATGAATTTGGTATCCAAGAAGGTCGAGGTTCCTGACAATTTGCATTCGCAGCTCCTGACCAAAATGCAGGACGTGCCTAGCGATGGGTGATCCGGCTGTGGGGTCCCAAAGCTTGAACTTCCCCGGGTTCCCCGGTGCCAAAATGAAGAGATCCAAGACACATCCAGGATGATTCAAGGGAGATGTCTAGTACACCCAGAAAATCCCAGAAATTGAAGAATATTGAAGCAGCAATTCATTGCTATGTTTTTTTGGGATAGATCCTTAAACCAGGAGTTTTGATTATCCTTGAACTGGTTGAAGGGAGAATTTGTGGGAGACCAATGGATTTTGATCGTTCAAGGTCCATCCTGTCCTGCCAAGTTCTCAGTTTTTCTTGAAGATGAAGCTGCAAAGAATGTCAAAGAATAGATATTTTATTCCAGGTCATCAAGAGTGATGAAATGGAAGAGATGAGAAGATGCATAAGATACGATATAACCCGCTCAAGTCTGGTCCATCCCTACCCGACTTCAAGATATCCCGGATCGAAATCTTGTCCCTCGGCCTAGTCTTCAGCCAGATATTGTCGCATAGACATGGATAATGATGGAATATGATGGACATAGTTGGTTAATGTTGGCTAATAGATCAATGTTCCCCATGTTCGTTGGAGAAATCTGGCCAAGACATTGCGCTATCACCCCTATGATACCCGTTATGCAAGGTTTACTGCCCCACCCAGTGCATTAAAGATTGTTGCTACCGATCCAATTTCCCGTTGAGTGATAAATAGGCTCCCCACCATTTTCTTCCTATTGTAAACCCAGTTGATGGCTCAAAAACTGAATGAGTGTTGATCAAATGTATTTGTTAATCCATTTTTTTGTTGGCTAAACTTATCCCCATGATAGTCATGCTAGCCTTCTAAATTCAAATTGAGTGTCCAGCAGATCAGTCGCCATCCATTTGATCCATCTGGTCCATTGGATCTGGGTTTGCCAGTGTCCTCACCGGCCAACCACTGTAAACTGGCCAGATCTATGGTTAGCCACGGTATGTGACAAATATATATATATATATATTTATGTATATATAATTATGATATATATATATATACATAGTATTATATATATATATACATAGTATTATATATATATACATAGTATTATATAATGATTTTTTGGTTTGAACTAAAATGGCAAGGACTAAGATCAGAGGGCATTCCAAGATGTACCTACAGTTGCGGGACCTCAAGTTGTCATCCCAAACCGTTGTCCGTTGATAGGGAAAGCCATGGGGAAACCATGGGGAAATCCGTGCAGGAGCATTTGGCTGCCGGGCCAAAGCGTCCGGGTCTGACGGGCGAGAGCCCCTGGCGATGAAAACATGGCGCAGGAAGTGATGTTTTGCTGGGTTTTCTTCAATGGAAAGCCAACTTTACGGGGAACTCAGGGGGAAATAGTTGATTTGATTTTATGAGGACCTGCAAACAAATCTAAGTAAACCTTGCTTTAGTTCTTAGGTAATTACTTTCACTCTGAATAGATATTAAATCAAGTGTACAAAAAAAGCATGGGTATATGGTTCAGGTTTACCAGATTCGGTAGCTGCAACATGATTTTCTCTTCGCCCCAGCCCTTCTCTCAATCAGGCTTTCCCCACGATGGGCGAGGCACTGAACTCCTTAACAAGTAGGTAGTTATAACGGTTATAACCCTTTATAATCCAATAAAAAGATATAAAAAGGGAACATAGGGAATCTGAATGATGAAGCAGCTCCATATGATCCATCTAAGCAGCGACTGAAAAGCGATGTGCCATGGTGAAAAGTTGGATTGTGATATCCATATTGGAGGATCGTCATCTATCCATATATAGGGATTGATACATGTTTTCAGGATTCCCAATATGGGATGACAATAAACCATTCATCCATATTTACTCCCTGTGTTCTCCATCGCTTGATGATTAGACCCTATAATCCATGTATTCTTGTTTATTATGATCCCTATGGTGGTTAGGTTTCATCAATATCCCTGTCTTATCCAAATTATTATTCCATTATCCCATCATGTCTTGAGGATTCCAGAATTAGGGGTCAGTGTATATATATATATATATATTTGATGATATATGTCATTATTGTCGAAGGAAGTGTAGAAGTCAAACTCCCAACAATACGGACAGATGAAAAAGCAGAGGTGGAAAGAGTCAGAGAAGAGAAGAGAAGAAGAAAGAAGATCAAAGAAGAGAAAGTCTCAGAAGAAAGAAAATCCAGGTGCGGGAAAAGGTAGGCACTGTGTTTTTTCCGATGATTTGTGGCTCCGGAGGGTCGAAAAGTAGGCTCGCTAAAGCAGCAGGTGCGGAGCCATCTGGCCAGATGAGAGATGAAAAGTTGCACGCCGTTGTGGCACGAAGCACATTTCCAAGTCAAAATGCACAAAGACCACATGTTCGGACGACTTTTGGAAGTTGAGATGTCGAAAAAGTGCACGCCGTATTGGCGCGAAGCACATGTCGAAGTCAAAATGCACAAAGCACATCATGCTCCGACAAGTTTGGAAGTTGAGATGTCGAAAAAGTGCACGCCATTGTGGCGCCAAGCACATTTCGAAGTCAAAATGCACAAAAAACACCATGCTCGGACCACTTTTGGAAGTTGAGATGTGGCCCACCGTTGCGCGAAGCACATTTCCAAGCAAAAAAAGAGGGGTGCGGAGCATTTTTGGACGTTCAGATGTCGTTTTGCGTGGCAAGCGCAGGGGATTGTGCACCTTGTCAAAAAAGAGTGAGCAAAATGTGAGGTTTTTGTAGCAGCTTCAACTACAACGACGCATATAACCCAATATCAATTTTACCCCTATATCCAATGATAATAACCATGTTATATCGTAATGACACTCCCCATAGATATGGAGGTTTCCAATCCATGGGGGTACCCCCAGTTCTCATCCATTTTAGTCGGTTTTTCCATGAAATTTACCATGCAGCCGTTGGGGGATCCCATTTTAGGCAACCTCCATATTCCCATAATCACTAATTATTATAGTTGTTATATATCCCCATATAGTCCAATATATCATAACGACACTCCCATAGATATTCCCATTGGTAGGTTCCGTGCGCAGCTCCAACTGTTTGGGCTGGGCTTCCACGGCGATGCCGGGGCACCCATGGCGCCATAGGAAGCCATGGCTGTAGCCATGGGAATGCTGAGATTTGCATGGGATTCACCGAGAAAAATGGTGATTTTATGGGATTTATTGGTGATTTAGTGGGATTTTATGGGACATTTCCGTGGATTGTAGGGGGTTCACCCTCTGGTAATGAAACATAATGACACATAAGTATGGAAAATCACCAGTTTTAGTAGGTAATCTACAGATGAGCCATGGTTTCCATAGCTATGTTAGTTTACCAGAGGGTAGTGGATGTTGTATGATTATGCTGAACTTATGATGTTAGTTAGTTGAATATGAATATTGTGATATAACACTCTGGTATACTACCAATGTAAGGAGAGTTCTCTTGTCTGGAAAGTGCACAAAACACTGTGTAGCGATAGGCGCCCCCCTAAAAGCGATACCTACAATGGCACATTTGAAGTTGTTTTGTACAAAGTTGCATATATGCAATACCCCTAGCGATACCCATTTGTTCAAAAAGTATCCCCAAACCACAAATAGACCCTTTTCTCCTTTGTTTTCCTCTTCCTTTCCTCCTCTTTCCGCTTCCTTTCCTCTCTTCTTTGCCTCTTCTTTTCCTCTTTTTTCTTCCTGCTATGCTGTGGGCCCCGGGTTGATGTTGTTTGCAAATGGACTTCGAAACATGATTTGCGGACTTGCAAACAAACCGGCCCAAACCCAGTACTCTCATGTAGGGACATGCGGATTTTATTGTCTGAACCATGTTGGCAAATATGTTCCTTCAGTTCAAGCTTGGGGCCAACTAGAAAATGCCAAAACCCAGTACCCTCATGTAGGGACACGCGGATTTTATTTCTGAACCATGCTTTAATTTTTTCATACTCTCAGGTACTTTAGGGATTATTTAGGCAGTGCCAAAGCCTTCCAGGAAAAATTCAGTCAAACATGAGGTGTCCTAAATTGTTTTTTTTGAACCCCCTTTGACGGCATTTTAGGACACCTAAGTACTGGTATGTTTTTACATGTCATGAGATTGTCTGAGAATGTCTTATATCATAGTTGTCATATCTGTATATATCTGGGTGCTGCGTGGAGCATCAAGATGAAAATGACCTGAGGAAAATCATGTTTGTGTACTGTAATTATTTTCGCTATTGTAATTTTGGGAATGCTGCACATGACCTGGCAACTGGAGCACATAAAAAATTGGTGCAGTGTTTAGCAACATTAACAGTCTGGGCAAGTCAAACAAAACGTGCAAAATAACGCAATATAAGATCAAAATCACTACATCATGACTCATAATCATAGACGATTGAGCATATGGAATGTTTTATTCTGCTTTTCACTGAACCATTGGGTTTGTGATTTCAGTGTTTTTTTTCCTGTTGGTCAAGGTACAACATATATTTTAAAAAAAACACTGTTTACCATACCATTTTTTTGTCCTGTCCCCTAATTCCCCTCTTCAAATCTGTTTTACATATGGCCAAGATCCAAAAAATACAACCCATGTTCCTGGGCACTAGATTATCTTATGATATCTTATGTGTATATTACTATCTATATTTCAACTGTTAGTTCATGTAGTAACCTGATTTAAACCATGTCTTGAGTTTATTGTTTTTGTGCGTAGTGAACCTGCAGGATTAAACCTGGGTGGTACCAACGGGTATAATTAAAGATGCTGGGATGAGATATACTTGAGATGATCTGTATGGTGGATGGATTGACTCACCACCCCTTCATAGTTTGCTTACTACATATATATATATATATATACGTATAGAGTATGGAAAAGAAAGTCCAAATAAGCAATTAATAAAAAGGAACAGTTTAGTTGGCTAAGTAAGGTAAAAGTAGTTTAAGACATTTCAAGCATATGTTTTTCTTATTATTAGTATTAGTTTGTTCAACAAATAACTTAGAACACTTCTAAAAACATATCAATTTGGTTTTTGACTTGCTGTATAAGTGCTGTAACTTCACTTTTAAACTACAGCCTACTTGCCGCACTTGCAACATGTTGCAACCTAGTTGCAAGAGGGTTGCATCTATACATACAAGTACACGCAAGTGCCTTAAAACGAAAAGCAACCACCAAGTAATTCACACAAACAAGCAATGTTTTTTTGGCCGTTTTGTTCATACAAAAAATGATATACGAACAAAATATGGCCACAATAGCGACTCCAGCGCATGGGCCCCAAATAAATCGAAGGTTTGTGACCGCAAATTACCGTATTATGGTGCGTTGGGCGGGTCAGGTTGATTGTTTGGCAGTTGTCGATATGCTCGGGGCGTGGTTGAAAAAGCCCGCGCTACGTAGTGGGTTTGACGGTTTCGCGCTGTTGTTGCGTCGTATATGTTCCATTGTGTTTGGCAAGGTTTGGTTGCAAGCCAAGAAAGATTCCAATTGGCGGAACGGTTAGGTGGGTCAATTGTGACAATCGCAATAGGGTCGGCAAGGGGCATGTCTGAGTTGTTGGCTCGAAAAAAACAAAAACAACTGTACATTTGAGTCGTTCTGGCTGGTGGATTTGAACATGTGTTTTCCATGTCTCTTTGAAATGATGATCCGCAAATGACATGGACGGTGAAATCATCCAGATCATCTCCTACTGAAACGCACTTTCAACACATGTGTCAATCAAATCAACCGTTTTTATCCGTTTTCGGTGTTTGAATCCTGGGACCCGTTCCGAACTGGGAGTTCGACACGAGATGGGTCGCCCCAGCAATGTGGATGTTCATGAACTCGCCGACAGATTGGTGATGCTCGGCCGATCCCAGAGTTTTGTTGCGGATTAAAGTTCATTGTGGTTGAATCCCATAGGATCCATGTATGGTATATATGGTAACATGGATCCCATCAATATACCCCCAATGTTAGCATATATACCATACATGGATTCTATGGGAATATCATGTCGATTTGGTGTGGTTCGTAAAACCATAAGTTTCTGGAGTTTCTTCGACATGCCAAATTGACAGATGAATCGTTCCAAGTCGTGGGATGGAGGTTGTGGCGTGGGGAATGAAAGGTTCGAATTGGAATTTGGCTAGTGAGTCTTGTCAAGTAGATTTAACCTATTTATATCTGAGTTTATAACCATCATAACCTAGCCTTTTAGCCATGGTTCTTACACAATGACTAGTTCCAACACAAATACTCTAGGTGAACAGGTTTCCAAGTACACCAGCAAGGCTGATTCCTTGCTGGCGGTTTCTGAAAGAGTTCTAAATTAGTTCATGGGACATCGCAGTCGAAAATTGGATCCTTGGACTCTTGGTTGGTCAAGGCATTAGGTAGCCAATCGACTGAGACCAGGGGCCTCTCGATGTGCCTGTCACTTCAGCCAGCTTCTTCAGTAGGTATCTTTTCTGTTGTAGGTTATTGCCGAAAATACTCAATCCCGGAGATAATTTATCTGTCTTTACAGGGTATCTGAAGTTAGGGCATTGATATTTGCACATTGAAGTTTAAGCGTGTAAAGATACTTCTTCGCCTCAGCATAAGAGAGTTACTCGCATTTTCCATTCCAAACATAATCTAGATTGGAACCTCAATGGTTTGCCTAAGGTGATTTTGTTTATTGTCCTGGAAATTTGCCAGGACATTGGATTTCTATATGCGACCATGATTTTATTTGTCCAGGCCCTTCTATCCTCCGAAGTTAGGATCTTGTGTTAGCAACTACTTGACATGCCCCCAACTGGTCCCCAACACATCCCAGTTATTTGTGTGGTGATATGATAAATCCACGTGCTGACCAGAGACCTTAAATTTGGTTGGATTGTCCCTGCAGATTGGCACTTGTTTTAATTGATGTATGTGTATATGTAATGGAATATGATGTCTGCACAAATTATAGCGAGGACAGCCGAGGCAACGAGGCAGGTTGCAGGAATTAGCGAGGTCAGCCCTTAATTTGCTCATCAGAATTAGCCGACCTCGACGAGGTAGCCTTGCATTGGTTCTGTTGCATGCTTGGGCTTGGCTAGAAAAACTTTTTTGGGGGCCAGAGGCCGGTCAGCAGGCAAGGAAGGAAAAAAAACTTTTCAGGCCCCAAAAAGTTTTATTTTCTATCGCCAGAGGCCGGTCAGCAGGCAAGGAAGGAAAAAAAAACTTTTCAGGCCCCAAAAAGTTTTATTTTCTATCGCCAGAGGCCAGTCAGCAGGCAAGGAAGGAAAAACAACTTTTCAGGCCCCAAAAAGTTTTATTTTCTATCGCCAGAGGCCGGTCAGCAGGCAAGGAAGGAAAAAAAACTTTTCAGGCCCCAAAAAGTTTGATTTTCTATCGCCAGAGGCCGGTCAGCAGGCAAGGAAGGAAAAAAAACTTTTCAGGCCCCAAAAAGCTTTATTTTCTATCGCCAGAGGCCGGTCAGCAGGCAAGGAAGGAAAAAAACTTTTCAGGCCCCAAAAAAATTGATTTTCTATCGCCAGAGGCCGGTCAGCAGGCAAGGAAGGAAAAAAAAACTTTTCAGGCCCCAAAAAGGTTTATTTTCTATCGCCAGAGGCCGGTCAGCAGGCAAGGAAGGAAAAAAAAACTTTTCAGGCCCCAAAAAGTTTTATTTTCTATCGCCAGAGGCCGGTCAGCAGGCAAGGAAAAAAAAACTTTTCAGGCCCCAAAAAGTTTGATTTTCTATCGCCAGAGGCCGGTCAGCAGGCAAGGAAGGAAAAAAAACTTTTCAGGCCCCAAAAAGTTTGATTTTCTATCGCCAGAGGCCAGTCAGCAGGCAAGGAAGGAAAAAAAACTTTTCAGGCCCCAAAAAGTTTTATTTTCTATCGCCAGAGGCCGGTCAGCAGGCAAGGAAGGAAAAAAAAACTTTTCAGGCCCCAAAAAAGTTTATTTTCTATCGCCAGAGGCCGGTCAGCAGGCAAGGAAGGAAAAAAAACTTTTCAGGCCCCAAAAAGTTTTATTTTCTATCGCCAGAGGCCAGTCAGCAGGCAAGGAAGGAAACAAAACTTTTCAGGCCCCAAAAAGTTTTATTTTCTATCGCCAGAGGCCGGTCAGCAGGCAAGGAAGGAAAAAAAACTTTTCAGGCCCCAAAAAGTTTTATTTTCTATCGCCAGAGGCCCCCTTCGTGGGTTGACGGCTGCAGAAGCAGTAGGATGCAGAGTTGCTCCAGAAGAGCATTGCATCTCTGCGATAATGTCAGAGATGTCACCACCCAAGCGCAAGAAGCGCAAAGACCGATCAGACTCAGATTTAAAAATTCCTGCAAGAGACCGTGGATCGTGGAAAAAAACTTTTCGGAAGCTGAAAAGTTTTTTCCTTGGGGTTGGACCCTGGAAAGAAGGCCCACAAGCTACTTTCTTCCTTCGAATTAACGAGGTAAAGCCTTAATTTGCACCTGCAAATTAACGAACGAGGACAGTAATCATGGGGAACAAATTAAGACACGAGGGAGACGAGGTAAGAATTAAAGTAATTTGGCCAGATGATGTAGCGTAGTGTAACGTAACGCAATGTATATGATTAGTGTAATGCGATGTAACGTAACGTATAATAATGTAATGTAATGTACTGTAACATAATGTAAATTGACGCAATGTCACTTGACGTAATGTAAGTTGACGTAATGTAAATGTAATGTAATGTACGCATATACAGATACAGCAACCTCCAGAAATATAGAAACACTAATCCTCCCACAAAGTGGTAAATGTATTTTCTGGGGTGACCGCCTTGTTTCTAGGATGTGCCAAGCTGTTTCATATCGCAGTTCACTTCCACATGTGTCTATTGGTTCAAGAGCAGGAAAAACAGAATACAGAAAGTGGGTGGTATGAAATTGGCTGCAAATCCCAAAGCATATGAAAGAACATTTCACATGTGTAGAAATCTCAATACACATACACACTTCTACAATATACAGTGATATACAGTGTGTATATATATACATATATATATACATATATATATATATATATACGTATTATATATATATATATATACGTATTATATATATATATATACGTATTATATATATATATATATACGTATTATATATATATATGTGCATCTAATTTTAAAACACGTAAAGGTACGCTGCACATCCTATCCCTGGGAACCCCAATCCCATCCAATCCCTGTGCCTTGGCCGAGGAAGGAAGTCGCAGAGCGGCTTCGCAGCTCCCCCTTCGCGCACCTTCGCAACATCACGCGTGGGGAGAAGTCGGTGCGCCTCGACGTAGCGAAACGGATGGCACTTAAGCAACTGTCGTTTAGGTGCACTGGTGGCATAGAAACAGCAGAATCTACATGGGGGTTTCCATAAATGAGGGTACTCCCAAATGGATGGTTTACAATGGAAAATCCTTTTAAAATTGATGATTTAGGGCTACCCCCATTTATATCATTTATGGAATCCCCAATGTTATTTATCATAATATAACATATCAGATTGTTTTTGCTAAAAATGAGTCGATGATGAATTTCACTGTGAAATGTGGCCGTCAAATGATAATAGTGAAAATGATGTGTTAAATTTTGGAGCATGGATGTGTGTCCGTTTCCGTTTGAAAGTTTGAAGTCATGCAATTGGCTTCTAGATTGGGTGAGGCACCGATTTTAAGAAGGCAGGACATGTGAAAAGCAGGTGGGTTGGTTTACAACACTTTGTTTGGACGGAATTTCAAGGATGATTTCAAAGAATTTTGAGTGTGTCTTTCACTCTCTTGTTTTTGTTGAGGTTGGGAATCTAATCCCACCTGAATCACAGCTATTGCAACTCATTCCAGGAATTGTCAGCGGATGGTAGGCACCACAGTTGCAAGCTACCTATTCTTGGACTCATCCCACCAAATGGGGAGGGACACTGAGCAGATATCCCGATTATTTGCGAATCATATCCCAAGTTGTGTTCGCAAACGATTAATGCCACCCGCCAATTAATAGTTTCCCTCCAATATTAGAATCTTAAAAACAACCAGATTGATATAACAATAATATATAACATACAGAAGTTGGAGTATGATGCACACGCATGTGTTTCACCTTGTACATCTATACATATATGTATATATACATACATAATTTCAACCCCGGATTGATAACCCTCCTTGATCAATTAGGGGTACCCGAAATAATCCTGGCGAATTAATACTAAATTGGTACCTCTCAATGAAACCAGGAGTTATTAATCACCGTTGACTTTATATATATATATATATGTATATGTAAAACTTTGTATGTATATATATACATGATTATATATATATATATGTATGGTGGTATGCATACATATACATATACATATACATATACATTTACACACATATATATATGTATGTATGTATGTATGTATGTATGTATGTATGTATGTATGTATGTATGTATGTATGTATGTATGTATGTATGTATGTATGTATGTATGTATGTATGTATGTATGTATGTATGTATGTATGTATGTATGTATGTATGTATGTATTAATGTAATGTAATGTAATGTAATGTAATGTAATGTAATGTATGTAATGTATGTAATGTATGTAATGTATGTAATGTATGTAATGTATGTAATGTATGTATTGTATGTATTGTATGTATTGTATGCATGTATGCATGTATGCATGTATGCATGTATGCATGTATGCATGTATGCATGTATGCATGTATGCATGTATGCATGTATGCATGTATGCATGTATGTAATGTATGTAATGTATGTAATGTATGTAATGTATGTAATGTATGTAATGTATGTAATGTATGTAATGTATGTAATGTAGGTAATGTAGGTAATGTAGGTAATGTAGGTAATGTAGGTAATGTAGGTAATGTAGGTAATGTAGGTAATGTAGGTAATGTATGTAATGTATGTAATGTATGTAATGTATGTAATGTAGGTAATGTAGGTAATGTAGGTAATGTAGGTAATGTAGGTAATGTAGGTAATGTAGGTAATGTAGGTAATGTAGGTAATGTAGGTAATGTAGGTAATGTAGGTAATGTATGTAATGTATGTAATGTATGTAATGTATGTAATGTATGTAATGTATGTAATGTATGTAATGTATGTAATGTATGTAATGGATGTAATGGATGTAATGGATGTAATGGATGTAATGGATGTAATGTATGTAATGGATGTAATGTATGTAATGTATGTAATGTATGTAATGTATGTAATGTATGTAATGTATGTAATGTATGTAATGTATGGAATGTATGGAATGTATGTAATGTATGTAATGTATGTAATGTATGTAATGTAATGTATGTAATGTATGTAATGTATGTATGTATGTATGTATGTATGTATGTATGTATGTATGTATGTATGTATGTATGTATGTATGTATGTATGTATGTATGTATGTATGTATGTATGTATGTATGTATGTATGTATGTATGTCTTTATAGTGATATATACGCATCTCACATAGATCTAGAACTACACCAACATGTTTATTCGTGTTCTTCACCTGAAAACAGCAGGTTTTCACATCGTTTCCACATCGAGTCGAGGAAAAAACGCTTCAGTTGTGGCGCAGACACTGCCAAGAGGGTCCATGCCTTGGCCGTGACAATCCTGCAGGACCGACCATGGAGGATTTGTCGAAGGGCTTGGATTGGGGGTTAACCAACAAAAACATGGTTTGACCGACGAAGAAACCAGGGCTGTTTAACTGGATATAGACAATCGATTTGTTGTTGAAAAAAAACATGTTTTGACATGTTTTGAATGGGTAAAGATATGTAAAGCTTTCACAACCATCAACTGGAGAGATGCTTGGATTCTTGCTTTCCTTCCAGCTCGACCTTTGTTAAATTGTTTCATCAATAATATTGCACACATAAACAGGTAATATCAACTCTTGCCTAGCTAAAATTGTCCTTTACTGCCTCTACAACGACTAGCTGCCGATTTTTTTTCGCAATTCTCGAGAACAGGGGATACCTGGCTGGTTGATGTTCCTTCGATCGTTGGTCACGTGGCAGGAGAAGGGCTATGTGCAATTCAGGGCATCCATGGGGAAACAGCTGACGCTTCTCGCCCCATGATTTCACCGCACTGGAAACATGTTATGACGTGGGTTTTTCAAGGGGGAAAAAGAGACATTGACCCCTAAGGTCATTTGGGACTAGAAATGAAGAGTGAGAATGGTACATATGTATATACATATATATATATACATATGTGGCTTATGAATCATGTCATCAAACCCAGTGAAACTCCAGTGAGTGTGGTCACGAAGCCAAGGTTTTGCAAGCCAACGAAGAAAGAAGAGGCCAAAGAAAGGGAGGAGATCAGCACGTTCGCAAAGTTTGGAGTTTCCTCTCCAAGTCCCGTGACAACTAAGTTGACCAAACCGGTCACGGCTGCGACCGACTCAACGGTGAAGAACATTTCGTATCATCGGGTGGCCAATTCTGATCCACAACATATCCATCCAGTTTTGAGGACCTCCCAGAAGTTGGGATGGGGTGTTTTTTTTTATCCTTCCCATCTTCCCAGGTGTGCTGCAAGGAGATCTTGATCACAGTATATTCCTAGATTTACTATACATATAATCAGAATCATATATATATATATTATTTACTTTATATTTATTTATTGATTCTGAATACAATTTGGAAGACCTTGGTAAAATCCGGGGTGTTTCTTGGAAATAGATGTGCTTCGTCCACATGTCTTCTGTGAACATATGATATTTTCTTGCTGGGAAAGGGATCATGGGAGTCAGCGGGAGTCATCAATATCTAAAGATAGGAATCATTGCTATCCCTATCCTGTAAAAAAGGTGATTCCAGTCACTGCTTGATAATGGTATTGATTTTTTGATATGAGATTACTTTTGACTATGGGATTAATAATGAATCACTGTATATTGAATGATGACATACCAAGCACCTGCTGAATGGGATGTTGTTTTTGGGTTGCAACACATTAACCCACCTTATAGGGTAACATACGGATTGCATTGACGTGTAAATTGAGATACTATAACATACATACATATATATATATATTTGTATATTATTAATATATTTGAAATCCAAGTGTTGCATAGAAATCCCATTCATGATCATATTTATGTATATATATATATATATGCACACTGTATATAAATATAATATTGATACTATGTATAGTACTCACAGTAGTACAGCCCATCAAGATGTCTCGCCAATCATCTTCATTGATCGACAATTTCCTCACCTCAGGTGAAGTAAAAGCGAGGCGAAAGGAACGGCAACCCGATAAAGCTGACATGGAGAAGGCGGAGAAGGATCAAGCAGGGATAATCAGATCTTTAAATAGTGGGTATCAACCAGCAACAATTAGGATTCAACCATCAAACATAAGGATATCATAGGGATAATATAAATATATACATAATGGGATATAACTTATTAAGCAACTTAATGTGATAGTTGGGTAAGTTTGAACATGTTCGCCCCAACCCGGACGTTGCTCCACACTTGCAATCGTCATGATCATCATCATCATCATCATCATCATCGTCATCGTCATCGTCATCGTCATCGTCGTCAACATCATCGTCACCGTCATCACCATCATCATAATCATCAGCATCATCATCATCATCATCAACATCATCATCATCGTCGTCATCGTCATCGTCATCGTCATCGTCATCGTCGTCAACATCATCATCACCGTCATAACCATCATCATAATCATCATCATCATCATATCATATCATATCATATCATACCAAACCATATCATTTAATATCATATCATATAATATCTTCACATCATGATCATCATCACATTAAAATTTACCACCCGCTATGAACCATTTGTTGATTGGGGTGATAACATCAACTTTATCGTCATGAGGGATCAAAATTCGCCACCCCTTTGAACAATCTGTTGGTTGGGGTAATAACATCATCTTTATCTTCATAACGGATCAAAATTGACACCTCATGTGAACAATATGTTGATCGGGGTAAGAACATCAACTTTATCTTCATAAGGGATCACAATTCGCCACCCTCTATGAACAATTTGCTGATTGGGGTCATAGCATCAACTTTATCTTCATAAGGGATCACAATTCGCCACCCTTTATGAACAATATGTTGGTTGGGGTAAAAAAGACAACTATATCTCCATGAGGTATCAAAATTTGCCACCCCTTTGAACAATTTGTTGGTTGGGGTCTTTATCTTCACAACGGATCACAATCGAAAATCGCCACCTCATATGAACAATATGTTGATTGGGGTAAGAACATCAACTTTATCTTCATAAGGGATCTCAATTCGCCACCCTTTCTGAACAATATGTTCATGGGGGCAAATCATCAACTTTATCTTCATAAGGGATCAAAATCGCCACCCTCTATGAAAAATTTGTTGAATAGGGTAATAGCCGCAACTTTATCTTCATAGCCACCTGAAGTCAGACTCGGTGCAACGTCAGGGTTGCAGCGAACATGTTTAATAACTTAATGGAGCTAAATTTGGGATCAAACCCATGCGATGCTGTGGCGTTTACCCTTGTCGAATGACGATTGGTTTGGGGGTCGTGCTATACCCAATATATTGACTGCTTGGTGGTTTGGAACTTTTTTTTATTTTTCCATATATTGGGAATAATACTCCCCCAACTGACTAATATTTTTCAGAGGGGCTGAAACCACCAACCAGTTGAGGATCATCCTTCATTACAGAAATCCTTATTGATTAACCAGTCGAATTGAATGACAGAGGGTTCCATTATGGGAACCCTCACGGATTGTCAATTCCACTATGACAAATCCCTATCAACCACTCAGAAGAATGAAATGACATGTCGGGTTCAAACACCACCAGAATACCGAGAGGTACACAACGAAAGGCTCCAAAATGAAAAAAAAAACAGTACTTATTGGTACTTGTTAATTAGGGTGAAATCATCTCTGGATCCACAAATGATAGATTAATCATCCCCAATTTGTATTGGCAAAACTTGGATTCTGGGGGATGCGGCCGGCACTGTGGATCCGATTTGAGGACAAGCGGCCTGACAAGCAGCCTGATAAGCGTCCAGCCAAGCGTCGGCATTTCCTCTATAAGATCCTCGCTTTTTGCGAGGGCGGTGTTTCATGTTGTTGACCCCAAAATGGTTGTCGTTATAAGCCACCTGAAATGAATGTGTCCTACAATGGGGATACCCCAAATCCAAGTCATGGATGATCATATTGGTATTGAAACCCATTGTGACAGGGGGATCCTCATTTGAAGAAACCCCCATATACTCTATCGAAACCGACATCAGCACGGTGTCACTGTAAATGTTGTTTAGTAAGCGTAACTATCCCAAACTTGCCGTATGTTTGGTTGGTAAATCCTTTTTTTTAAGTCTCTCCCAACAATTTTGAAGGGGTCAAAACAGAGATTTGCTATCAACAATATAGGTTTGCCTGAATAGGTTACCTCAAAAGCCATGGTTGATATTGATGAAGTTATATAATTAATTTATGTATTTTCATATTTTAATGTTGATATATTTCCTAAAAAGGACTCTTTGGGGGATATACCCCATTTTCAGACAAACCCATATATGAGTTGGGTTTGTCCATGGGGTACCCCCAAAACTCCGTTTCAAAAATAGTTTTTTGTTCCAGCTAGTCTGCACGCCGAGATTAGGCATTGATATACCGTACCTCCTGTTGAAATGCCATGATAAATTTACGATAAACTCTATTTTTTGTCGACAGTCTTGATGATGATAAGATATGCAACTATAGTGTTTGGAGTACCCTATGGAGAAATCCATGTCCAAGAGTCTTCTGTTTGACAGTTGGTGAGGTCAGCGCGCAATTCGTGCGTCCGATTTGGCACGGCTTATAGAAACGATGTTGTTCCCAACATAACATATAGAAATTATAGAAACAATGCCAGAAATTATTGAAGTTACTATGTTCAAAACAACCAGCCAGAAATTTCATGAAACAAAGCAAGTTGATTGATGCTTCAACCTCAATTGTCACTTGTTGAATTGTCCCATTGAATTATGGTGTGTCTGAGAATGGGCATACCCTCCACTGCCTCCACTTTATTGCAATCGTTCATGGGAAACATGATGATGAACAATTGGATTGAGCTAAACCATGAGCCAGTTTCTACTCCTTTGTCAGACTCGTTCTTCGCATCAGGAACCAGTTTGCGACGCATGAAGTACCCGAGCACATGCAAGAGGAAGAAGAAAGCAGCAGCAGTAGCAGCGGCGAGGAGGACGAAGACAGCAGCAGTAGCAGCAGCAGTAGCAGCAGCAGCCACCTGGCATCACGCAATGAATGATTGATTGGAGGGAAGAATTACACCAGCTACTATGTGTTTGTTTAATTTTGTTTATGGCAAGATCTAGCGTTACTTTGTTTTGTGTGATCCCTAAATGGTGTAAACATTCTGACAACAATGCTTACACGATCTTACACGTACGTATCTTGACGTTGACATGTAGCCTGACGTCAATTTCTAACCTATGTTCGGACATAATGTCCGAACTGATTCTGACATATTCTGACATTTACCCGGACTGACTTCTGGCATATCTTCTAACACATCTTCTGATATATATATATATATATTCTGGTAGTTTTCATCATATATTCTGACCTGTATTCTGACATTGGCTATGGCAGATTCATATGACACATTCTGACATATATAACCATAAATATATATTAGATATAAAACACCAGTGTGTATTCTGACAGCGACTCTGGCACATACTTTTAGGCAATGTAAATGTCAAACAAAATGACCACAAGGGGAAAGATGTGCGTTGTTGAGTTGCAACCATCGGTGGCTTCACGCATGCTTTCCATAGGGTATCACCTCGAAAGATGATAGCCTTACTTCAATGTTCATCTGAGCAAGCGATTAGTGACCCTGTTGAGTTTTCGAACTGAGTGGTCATCAGATATTGGTTATTTTCGGATGGTGATCAAGTCGACCCCAAAACTCGGTCAGGTAACATACTAATATCTATATGATTCGGTTTGTATGTGTAAAACATGTAAATAGATGTAAATAGAGGGTCTCTCCACTTGCCAACAGGGATCACATCCAATCACCAGATTTCATATTTATGTCGCCAGCTTCTGTGCAACTCCAAGAGACTCCGTTCAGACAAGTTAAGCGAAGGTGTCCCCCTGAAAAAAAAAAGGACTCATAAAGCATTGTAGTATTGTAGTATTATAGATAATCGATATTTTAGTGTGGCATGATTAGTTGGTTGTACCGTCAAGTAAATTAACATGCTATCACGCTCAACTATAGTTATTATCTTATCGTCCAACTATAGAACTGTAGTTTGGTTGATATCATTTTACCCATTAATTGCAGATTATTATTCCAACCCAACTACAATTTCTCTACGCAACTCTTGGTGATTCTCGTGGCTTGCGGTCTGCCTAGCAAATCCGTGTTGGTTTGGGAGATCCTCAGTTTTTTACTACACACATTCATTGGCGAAATCGGAAAGTATGTGAATTCCTCAATGTCCGTTGTTTTTAGGTTGCTGTTTTTAGTCCACGTTCTTTGTTGGTGAGCCCAGTTTGCCGCTCCCATCGCACGGAAGCTGCAGGTAGTCGGAAACCCAAAGCGTCCTCCGCCCGAAGTAGCGCTGCTCGGAAAGCTTTCCGCGGTGCCAAGGTCTGGCTGCCGGGGTGGGGATGGATAGGTGAGCCATGAGAAAAAAATAAATGTTGATTGGTTAATGTAGTGAATTAGAACTTGTTCATTAATGTTTGTTGGGGATTGTTTGGTTACCATAAGTATTTTTCATGGTTCAGGTTGACTTGGGCAATTCATCCAAGCAGTACTAGGATTTGTTAACAAGCTAATCTAAAATATTAACGACCAATAACTAATCATTTACAAACAGTCGGATGGGTGGAAATAAATGATATAGTTTATACATGGGGTTGGGGCGCTTTTAGGAAACACGGGTTCCATGTCAAACTCATTTTATAATGCTTGACTAGATCACCCAATCATTCCAAAAACGATCCTAAGATATTGGTGCTTAATATTTGCATATTCATTAATATAACTATATATATATAATTATATGGGTTTCCATAAATGGAGGTACCCCAATAGCCGGATGGTATACAATGGAAAATCCTTTCTATACATGGATGATTTAGAGGTACCCTATTTCAGGAAACCCCCAATATATATATATATTTCAGGAAACCCCAAATATGTATATATATATACATACACATCATATACAATATGTATTTGAATATACATATATGATTTACATTTTCCTATACCAGTAGTACCGCACAAGGCGGTGGCGGAAGTTTCAGAATAGGAAACCTACAGGAGAGTTTGGTTATTGTGAATCAGGGATGGCAGAGCGAATCCACTGATGGACACTGATGGACTGAAAGGTGGTTGGAGCTGTGTTTTTTGGAGTGTTTGCAATGGTTGCAGTGGTAACCTGGTCGGTCACCTCACCCACAACTGCTGGATGTAGTGTGGTGTAGTGCAGCTGTAGTTAGCTGTAGTTGTAGTTGTAGTTGTAGTTAGTTTAGTGTAGTGTCGTGTGGTGTAATGTAGTGTAGTGTAACTGAGTGCAGTGTAGTGGAGTGTAGTGTAGTAGAGTGGAGTGGAGTGCAGTGTAGTGTAGTGTAGTGTAATTGCGTGTAGTGTAGAGTAGTGAAGTGGAGTGTAGTGTAGTGTAGTGTAATTGAGTGTAGTGTAGCGTACTGGAAGTTACTGTATAGTGTAGTGTGGTGAAATGGAGTGTAGTGTAGTGTAGTGGAAGTTTCTGTATAGTGTAGTGTGGCGAAATGGAGTGTAGTATGGTGTAGTGTGATGTAGTGTAGTTGTAGTTGTAGTTGTAGTGTAGTCTTGGCTTTGCTTAGCGGAATTGAAAAATTCTTTTTTGGATTTTTTTCTTTGTCATTTTTATTGTGTTTTGTTTCCTCTCGTTTGTTGCTTTAAAACTTATTTTCATTTCTCGTTTGCTCTCGTAATTCTACTTCGTACCTTTACGTCACGTTCAATATACTTTCATAATAACCTTGTCCCACATCCACATTGTCCATCTTGGAAGAAACTGAGCAAATGGATATTGATTTCATAGTGCCATGTTTAAGAACAAGAATCTTGTTGACCAGATCATGGAGATATTTTCCAAGAGGAAAAAATAATTCAAAACCTCGTTTGACCTTTGCTCTTGGCTCTTGAAACCTAGCTTGCCCCTTCAAGGTGAAGCTGTAACAGCTTCCCTTGCACCCAATCTTCAAGGCAAAGCTGCTCCGGCTTTCCTTGAAGGCTTGGCAGTGACAGCTGAAGCCGACGGGGCTGTTGGGGCCAGGCGGAAATGGAGGAAATTGGGAGCAAAATGGCAGAGCAGCTTTCCTTTAGACACTTCTAATGTCAGCTTGGGGTCATGGCTAGACGAGCAAGACGAACCATGGGGAATTGGTTGCAAAGCTTGTCGGTCAGCAGGTTGCATGGGCAATCTTGCGCAATATTTAGTGACATCAGAAGCTGGCATTCAAAAGGAAAACTTTATGAAGCATCAGAAGCTTGTTTTGACTATGTGTCGGAGAAAGACCTTTGTAAAATGATAGGCAATAGTGTTCCTGTGCCACTGATAGGAGAAATCATGCAGGAAGCCATGTTTGCCGCAGGCTTGATCAGCGAGAAAAAACAATTCCTTGCTAGTCAGTTTCAGCTGGACTGGCTGCATCGGCCAGCTTGGCTGCTTCGGCCAAAGTCTAATTCATCGTCACGCTTGACATGGGGCCGCGTGAAATAAAGGCGCTTCAAGGATCCAATTTTTTGACTGGCTTTGTTTTCCTGGCTTGACTGTCTTTGATATTTCACTTATACTTGTTACCAGAGCGAAGTTCCTTGTTCCTTAAAAAATTATAGACGTCATGTCAACGCCAAATGATGCTGTTTTTTAGGATCCTTTGGCTGCTTCGGCCAAATGATGCAGGGCTGTCCCCCAAAAAAATATGCACAGGAATGTCTGAGACATTTATCTCTGGAAATGTAGAAAGTGTCGTCGTCATTCGATTTTTTTTCTCCTTTGGTATTTTTTTGAAATTCGCCATTCGACTGGTCGTCGTTAAGGATTCGGCAGTTTGAAGTTTGAACATTTTTGAAAATTTCAAAAAACTCGTTCAGAAAATTCAAACCAATAATCCAAAGCAATCCTCGGAGACACAAACATGAACTGAACAATGCTTTATACGAAGCTTGAAATATAAATCTGTTCGAAAAAAATTCCGTTCGGCAGAACGAACCCTCAAAAACGTAATTTTGTAATTCGCTGCTGTCCTTGAATTTCGGAAAAAATTCCGTTCGGCAGAACGAACCCTCAAAAACGTAATTTTGTAATTCGCTGCTGTCCTTGAATTTCGGAAAAAAAAATCCGTTGAGCAGAACGAACCCTAAAAAACGTAATATTGTAATTCGCTGCTGTCCTTGAATTTACAAAAACGGTGGTGTAAGGAGAGGACTGTTAGTCCTCTCCTTAAACGCCGCGCTGCTGTCAGTGAGCTGTGTAAGAAGAGGGCTGTGAGAGGACTATTGAAAAATTCCTTAAAGCAAAACAGCATTTTTCAAATAGTCCTCTCACAGCCCTCTCCTTACACACTTCGCTGCTGTCAGTGCGGCATCTAAGGAGAGGACTGTTAGCCCTCTCCTTAGAAGCCTCACTCAAGTCGTTTCTCGTTGTTTTCGGCTCACAGGCTACACAGTGTGTAAAGGTAATAAGCTGTTTTGGCTTAAACCTTGAAACGTCCCAGGCTGACTTGGCCTGCTATCACAGGCTGTTTCTGCCTGGAATATACCTCACAGACTGGTTCGGTCTGGGGGTATGCCAAACCCTATGGAGTCAGGGTGGGCGCCCATGCTTTGTATCGACTGCGGTGGCGTCTTATAACCAAGTATGGGAGTTTCAAGTACGAAGGCGAGGACATCTACAAGGCGACGATGGAAGGAGCATGGGCTTTCCTGCTTTTGTGGCAGGCTGCATATGGCGAAGATGCGGTGAAAATCATTTCAAAGGTGAATTGGTTTACTCGAAAAGAGAAGCCATTCCACTCGGCCAGCCCGCAGAATTCGAATGCGACTCCGAAGCCCAAGCCAAAACCAAAATCCAAAGGAAAAGCACAAGCAAAAGGAAAGGCAAAAGGACAGAAAAGGAAGGCCGCTGAAATGGACCAGGAGGACGCGGGCGGCTGCGAAGACAAGGATGCCGACGAGGACCAAGAGGAGCAGGAGCAGGAAGAAGAAGACATTTGGGATCCACTGAATGACGGCGAAGAAAACATTGGCTGACACGGCCAGGATTTCAAAATCACTTGACACGGCCATGGGTTGCCGAAATTTTGACAGCGTGCGAGCGGGAGTAAAAAGGTTTCCTGCATGTGTTTCGCTTCAGCAGCTACCTCACGCATGCATGCACGCGCACACACACACAGACGACAATCACACGCAAGAATCAAAAGGGTCAAATCTGGGATTTCCCCAGCCGTGTTTAGACTAAAGCAAAATAATATATAACCGTTTGTCAGTCGTCATGTTGGTCATGCCAGCCCCAAAGCAAAAGAAGCCAGCAGCTCCTGTCCTTACGAAGCCGATGCGCCAAATCCAGAACCATTTGTTAGACTAAAATGCCACCCCTTTTGCTCATGAACAAATACAACTATTTGAAGAAGTGTCGATCGAGAAAGGTTTGGAAGTTGGCTTTCAAGCTCGCCAAGAGATGATCCAGCGCAAAGGCATGCGGTGGTTTACTGAAAATAACGACGTCCAAACATCAGAGGTTTGCCCTAAAGGCTGCCTCGGCCTCAGGGTCCAACGGCTTGGCCAAATTTAGCTGCAGTCATTCTTTTGGCTGCCTCGGCCAAAGAATTTAAAAATTGATTAGCTAAAGTTCCAGACATGGAACCTGTGCTTGGGTTGAAAAAAGCAGCGGCGCTAGACCTAGAAGACTTATTTTGGAATCTCGTGCAAACTTGTGCCTTTTCTCGTTGAAACCTGACTTGGGATAAAGTTACATGAAAATATGCAATAATAATCGGGTTAAAATCACCAAGTCACCTGGCTAGCTGGTTCAGTCATCATCAACATTTTAAATGGAAATAACTTAGAATTCTGTTTTCCCACCATTGTCATATGGAACCAATTATGATACAGATATTTTGGAAACTCGTTGCGAAGCAAACAAGTTATTTTCTCGTACAGGCCTGCAAGGGACAAAAAAAAATTCCTCAAAAGAATTTTTCAATTCTGCTAAGCGGAACTAAGTAGTGTAGCGTACTTGAGCGTAGTGTAGTGTAGTGTAGTGAAGAGGAGTGTAGTGTAGTGTATTGTAATTAGTATAGTGTAATGTAGTGTAGTGCAATGTAGCGCAGTTGTAGTTGCAGTTGTAGTTGTAGGTGTAGTTGTAGTGTAATTGAGTGTAGTTCTAGTGTAATGTAGTGTAGTGAAGTGGAGCGTAGTGTAGTGTAATCAGTGTATTGTAGTGTAATGTAATGTAGTCGTATTTGTAGTTGTAGTGTAGTGGAGTGCAGTGTAGTGGTTGTAGTTGACAATGCTGCAAAACCCTCATGTTTTGCTCACTTTTGGCAAGGTGCAGAATCCCTTGTGCCTGCCACGCAAAACGACATCCGAACGTCCAAGAGTGCTCCAAACCCTCTGTTTTTTCCACTGTTGACTTCGAAATGTGCTTCGCGCCACAACGACGTGCACTTTTTCGACATCTCAACTTCCAAAAGTGGTCCGACTCGTGTTTTGTACATTTTGACTTCCAAATGTGCTTCGCGCCACAACGGCGTGCACTTTTTCGACAGCGCAACCTCCAAAAGTGCTCCGAACGTTGTGTGTTTTTAGCTTTTTCACTGGCAAACGTGCTTCGCGCCAGAACGATTGTTCATCTCTTATCTGGCCAGATGGCTCCGCACCCGCCGCTGTAGCGAGCCTACTTTTAGACCCTCCGGAGCCACAAATCATTGGAAAAAACACAGTGAATCGCGACTTTTCTAACTTTTCCCGCACCTGCATCTTCTTTCTTCTGACTTTTTTCTCTTCTCTGATCTTCTCTCTTCTGCTCTTCTCTTCTCTGACTCTTCCCACCTATGCTTTTCCATCTGTCCATATTGTGGGAAGTTTGACTTCAAAACTTCCGTCGATCATATGTATGATTCTTATATATGATGTATATTTATATGCAATATGTAAGCTGTATTTTTCTTGATTTTAACTCATGCATGTGCAGAACTTCAGGCGAAAGCCGTGCAAGAACAGCATCGCCTTGAGAAGGAGATGTCTTCCAGTGTGGAAGAGAGGAAAACAACAAAAAATGTGGAAGAATATTAGATTATGGTGAAGATTTGGGATTTATTTTTTTTTATTTGGATTTGCTGATTTCGTGGGATTTTACCACAATTTTTATGGTGATAGAATGGGATTTATAGCCAGCCCAAATGACAATGGGGGATTTAAGCATCTAAGCTGGAGATATAATGCGGATATCACCAGTGATGATTGGGTTGCGGTAAACAATCAACAATTGCCCGAAGCGGGAATTTATCAGTTTGCCTGGATCATTTGCCAATGTGTTTGCCTGATTTACCCATTACACCCGGTGATTTTCCATGGATAATGACTATGTTAATTTCTCAGAGGGTATTTTAACACTTGGGTAAATTTCCCCGGTGCGGGATGGTGAGATGGGGATCCATAGGTTTTTGAACCAGTGGGCATCTTAACTAGTCAAACATGGTGATCTATGTACGAAACATGTGAACACTTGCGATTGAAATTTGGATAGAACAATAGACTATAGTTAAATAGAGCAATAAGAATCTGAATTGAGCCTGCGAGCAAGGCCAGAGGTTTCGAACCATGCACCATATGGGGGTTTCCATAAATGATGGTACCTGGGTACCCCAGAATTGATGGTTTACAATGGAATTGTTTATCAAAGTGGGTGATTTAGGGGTACCCCCATTTCAGAAAACTTCCATATGTTTGGAATGTCACTCGCACCTTCAAGTTGCCGGCCTGTGCCAAAACAAACCAAGACACCCATGAACATGTAAGGCGGACGCTGAAGAGAAGAAGTCAATGGGTGCCGCATCAGAAGCATCTGCGAACAAAGCCCCTGCGAGCAAGGCCAGTGTTGTGGGGCTGGCATGGGCTGGCTGTGCCTGAGGCGTTTTCAAAACAAGGCAGAAAGCAATTCAAATCACCCATTTTGATACGTTTTGATGCTGTCACTGTCCGTTGGGAATCAGGGAATGCAATCAAGAGCTCTTTGAGATCATCGCGTTTGCGGATTGGCAGTGAATGGCAGTGATTAATTCGATTGCCTGGGGAAGATGTCTCGTGTTTGTTGTTAGCTGAAAACTATTGAAAACTAACATGCTGTCAGAATTCTTGGTGGATCACGCCACTTTGGACCTTTTTGTGGCTGATGAAACATTTTTTGAGTGAAGGGCTATGGGCCATGGGTCCTTCTTTTTGCTCACGCCGGCATTAGCGGCGCTGGGGAATTTACTATTTTTTCACATATCAGAGCCGTTTATTCCTCATCCGCATACACTTGTACACCACGTGGATGCTACGTTGCTGCTACTTGGGGCTGGGATGGGGGGTGGGGTGGGATGTTAACGTTCATGTACACTTGCACACCACGTGGATGCTACGTTGCTGCTACTTGGGGCTGGGATGGGGGGTGGGGTGGGATGTTAACGTTCATGTACACTTGCACACCACGTGGATGCTACGAGCTTGGAAGAAAGCAGCAGAAGATGCTGCCTTGCCTTATGCCAGTGTCAACCATTCTCTTTTAGAATTTAGCCGTCAAGTACATGGTTTGAATCAAAAGCCAGTGACCGCTGGCACTCAAACCTTGGACAGAGCATGGCAAGATTTGAAGAAGTATGTTCCATCCGAGATCACAGTAAAGGATCCAAAAACCAAAAAGGTTAATCCTGCGTTGTGGGATTGGATTTACAGCTGGATGTGGCGCCGCAACTGTAAAGGAGATGTCTGGGCGGCCATGCCAGCTCTATTTCACTAACACAGACATCGCTGCACGCCAGCTGCCAAAAAGTCCAGCGCCGCTAATGCCGGCGTGACCTTGTTTTTAGACCATGCCCGACCCGATCCTTTGAAATACGATGACGATACGCAACGTTAAGGCAGACGCTGAAGAGAAGAAGTCAATGGGTGCCGCATCAGAAGCATCTGCGGACAAAGCACCGGCGAGCAAGGCCAGTGTTGTGGGGTGGGCTGTGCTCCAAGAAAAGTCACAGGCAGATGGGAGATTTGGCCAGTTGGCAAGTGAGTAAGGCAAACCCGTCCATGTCACGGCTTCCAGGAAATCTTTGGCACCCTTTAAAAAGAAATATCTGACGAACCCAGATTCACAGACTGTGAATTGCGGAAACGCGTGCGTACGAAGATCCTTTTGGATGTATGGTTTTCGGTCCATGCAAAAATCTTACACCATCTTAATCTCTTCTACCTATATTACTAAAACTCCCCCAATTAATGAATCAAATTAAAGGACCAGATAACCCCACATGTTAAGCCTTCCGGTTGTTATGAACTGAATGTATGCACTGGAATGAGAAAGGAGGATAATGAGCGGACAGAGAAAATGGCAGGAGAAAACAGCAATCGGAAATAAATCGGTTTGAAAGGATACGGCTGGACAATTTTTTAGAGAATGAAAGGATTCGATGGACGGGGAGGTAAGGAAGGCGTCAGATGGACACGGTTTGGGCACGGTTTGGACACGGCACTCCCGTCTCGCTGCCCTGAATTATATCTGTCTCCCACCGCGCCCGCTCACCACATGGCGTCTCTTTTTTTTGCGGTCAGTCACAGCATCTACGGTTCATTCCTGAGCGCGGTGAACACATGGGCACATGAGAAAACTTTTTTGTAGCACAGCATGTGATGAGTTAGATAATGCAAACGATGCACTCAGAACCTTTTTTGGTCTGGGCGAGTGAGTCTGACACTCCGCGATTTTTTTGCTGTGTCGTTGATTGGCTGCGCTCGTCAAACGGATTCGCGCACGTCGAACACCAAAAGGCGGATGGACACAGACTTACGACGTATCAGCATGCATGATCACCTTCAAGGCACTGTCGATTTAGAATAGTACCTGGAGGCTTTTTATTAGGGTCCCATCTCACAAGTTTTACTTTTTATTTTTGTTATTAAGGTTTCCATTTGGAATATTAGGGGAAAGCTTCGAAATCCAGTTTTCTGCAATATTTTATATAGATTTTAATAAGGGATTTTTTCATATTTATTCAAATTTGAAATCGATTTCTTAATGTCTTAATGTTTATTATTATGGTTTTCATCGGAATATAAGGAGAGAGCTTCGAAATCCCGAAGCTGTCAATATGTTATTTAGGTTTTAATACAGGATTTAATCATTTTTTAATTATGTTTTTCATTGGAATATTAGGGGCACCCGAATACAAAATACCCCTGAATAATAAAAATAGATCACTGTGTTTACTTTTTGGGGGGCGGTTTAGCATTTGGCGGGTGTTTTAGCATTAGGGAGCAGAGATTGCACCATCATCCAAAAAATCTTGCTCACATCCACATGCCTTGAACCCGCAGGATGGACAATTTGTAAGCAAGTGAAAGGTAGTGGCAGTAGCTCTACATTCTACAGGGTGACATCGTTGTTCGTTCCTGCATTGCGCAAGATGAACCAAATATTTAAACAATTGGAATCGCGCACCAAATGTTTGGAATGTCACTCACACTTTTAAGTTACCATGCCCATGAACATCATGTAAGGCAGACGCTGAAGAGAAGAAGTCAATGGGTGCCGCATCAGAAGCATCTGCGGACAAAGCACCGGCGAGCAAGGCCAGTGTTGTGGGGTGGGCTGTGCTCCAAGAAAAGTCACAGGCAGATGGGAGATTTGGCCAGTTGGCAAGTGAGTAAGGCAAACCCGTCCATGTCACGGCTTCCAGGAAATCTTTGGCACCCTTTAAAAAGAAATATCTGACGAACCCAGATTCACAGACTGTGAATTGCGGAAACGCGTGCGTACGAAGATCCTTTTGGATGTTTATGGTCATGTATGGTTTTCGGTCCATGCAAAAAACTTACACCATCTCACACCATCATCCAAGAATCCTGTTCAGATCCACATGCTTTGAACCCGCAGGATAGACAATTTGTAAGCAAGTGAAGGTAGTGGCAGTAGCTCTACATTCTACAGGGTGACATCGCTGTTCGTTCCTGCATTGCGCAAGATGAACCAAATATTTAAACAATTGGAATCGCGCACCATATGTTTGGAATGTCACTCACACTTTTAAGTTACCGTGCCCATGAACATCATGTAAGGCAGACGCTGAAGAGAAGAAGTCAATGGGTGCCACACCAGAAGCATCTGCGGACAAAGCACCGGCGAGCAAGGCCAGTGTTGTGGGGTGGGCTGTGCCCCAAGAAAAGTCACAGGCAGATGGGAGATTTGGCCAGTTGGCAAGTGAGTAAGGCAAACCCGTCCATGTCACGGCTTCCAGGAAATCTTTGGCACCCTTTAAAAAGAAATATCTGACGAACCCAGATTCACAGACTGTGAATTGCGGAAACGCGTGCGTACGAAGATCCTTTTGGATGTTTATGGTCATGTTTGGTTTTCGGTCCATGCAAAAAACTTACACCATCTCACACCATCATCCAAGAATCCTGTTCAGATCCACATGCTTTGAACCCGCAGGATGGACAATTTGTAAGCAAGTGAAAGGTAGTGGCAGTAGCTCTACATTCTACAGGGTGACATCGTTGTTCGTTCCTGCATTGCGCAAGATGAACCAAATATTTAAACAATTGGAATCGCGCACCATATGTTTGGAATGTCACTCACACTTTTAAGTTACCGTGCCCATGAACATCATGTAAGGCAGACGCTGAAGAGAAGAAGTCAATGGGTGCCACACCAGAAGCATCTGCGGACAAAGCACCGGCGAGCAAGGCCAGTGTTGTGGGGTGGGCTGTGCTCCAAGAAAAGTCACAGGCAGATGGGAGATTTGGCCAGTTGGCAAGTGAGTAAGGCAAACCCGTCCATGTCACGGCTTCCAGGAAATCTTTGGCACCCTTTAAAAAGAAATATCTGACGAACCCAGATTCACAGACTGTGAATTGCGGAAACGCGTGCGTACGAGGATCCTTTTGCCGTGCCTGTGCCAAAACAATCCAAGACACCCATGAACATGTAAGGCGGACGCTGAAGAGAAGAAGTCAATGGAGGCCGCACCAGAAGCATCTGCGAACAAAGCCCCTGCGAGCAAGGCCAGTGTTGTGGGGCTGGCATGGGCTGGCTGTGCCTGAGGCGTTTTTCAAAACAAGGCAGAAAGCAATTCAAATCACCCATTTTGATACGTTTTGATGCTGTCACTGTCCGTTGGGAATCAGGGAGTGCAATCAAGAGCGCTTTGAGATCATCGCGTTTGCGGATTGGCAGTGAATGGCAGTGATTAATTGAAAACTAACATGCTGTCAGAATTCTTGGTGGATCACGCCACTTTGGACCTTTTTGTGGCTGATGAAACATTTTTTGAGTGAAGGGCTATGGGCCATGGGCCATGGGTCCTTGTCTTTAAACCATGCCCGACCCGATCCTTTGAAATACGATGATACTCAATGTTATCCGTTTGAAATGCCATTATTTCGTCCATGTTGGGTGACATGTGCATCCATGTTCTTTGAAAAAACATCAATATTGATAAATATTGATGATATACCTCAAATTTATGATTTTAAGATATCATAAGTCAAGTGTTGTATCCATATATCGGATCACGTTGTTCTATGGTTCACCTGGGTTTGTTCAAAAAGTGGTACCCAGCTGCGCTGACAGATCCTGGTGGCCGAGTCATCTAAGGCGTTGGAGGCACGGGTCCCACTCAAGATTGAAAAACTTGGCATTTAACAGGAAATCAATGGGGGGATGTTTTTGGGATAACTATGACATATGTTGAACATTATATATATATATAAATATTAATAAGATTTGAACATACAAGTAAAACCCGCGCAAGGCAGGTGGCGGAAGTTTCCAGGTTTAAGAAGTGTAACGCTATAGGATCCAAAAACGAGGTTTGCCTATAGGAGCTGCGGCAGACTTCCATGCTCTTTTCCTGGACTTCTGACCTCTTGTCGCAAATTATGAAACCACTTGTCAACTCTTCCAACGACTTCTCATGTCTCGTCTTCTCTTTTCAACGACCTTCATTTCTGTGCACATCGTCTTGACTCCTCAACTCTCTTTTCATGTCTCTCTTCTCCTCTCAACTCCTTTGAACTCGTGTTGACTCACCTCACCTCAGTTCCACCTGTCCATTTTCTTCTCAGCACGGTCGAAGTGACACAGTTGCAAAGTGTCTTGTTTAGGTCAGTTGAATTGCCTTTCCATTCGATCATGGTTTTCAACATTCGTTTGTGTTATCAGTCTCGTGTCATGTGCTATTACTATCATTCAATCCTACTGGACTGTCGACTGTTACCTTTGGGTCCGACGTTCAAGCCACTTAAACATGCCAACATGAGCGTGAGCAGAACAGCTGCACGCTCCCCGCTGAATACCTGACAGCCAAGTCACGCCTATGCAGGTTTGGAGCAAACATGCCGCTGAGCAGAACAGCTGCACGGTCCCCGCTGAATACCTGACAGCCAAGTCACGTCTACGCAGGTTTGGAGCAAACATGCCACTTAAACATGCCAACATGAGCGTGAGCAGAACAGCTGCACGCTTCCCGCTGAAATACCTGACAGCCAGATCACGTCTATGCAGGTTTGGAAAAACATACCACTAATACCACTTCAACATGCCAACATGAGCATGAGCAGAACAGCTGCACTCTCCCCGCTAAATACCTGACAGCCAAGTCTCCTCTTTGCAGGTTTCGAACAAACATGCCACTTAAACATGCCAACATGGGCGTGAGCAGAACAGCTGCACTCTCCCCGCTGAATACCTGACAGCCAAGTCACATCTATGCAGGTTTGGAGCAAACATGCCATTGAAACATGCCAACATGAGCGATCTGCAGAGACTGAATTCCAAAACGCAATGGAATTTCGCACAACGGCTACATAAATTGCAGCTCCAAAACCGGATCGCAACCCCCAAGCGGAAAAACGACGATTTTGAAGCACTTTTTAAAAGCAAATTTAAAAGCACCATTCGCAACAAATGAAAAAAATCTGCTGCCGAAGCACCATTCGCAACTTTCACGCAGCCATTGCAATGCAAATCACGACTCTCTGCAAAACACAAAAGTATTACGCACGCACCCGCAGCAGCGAGGAACCTTGACACAGCCATTCCACTGCGATCTGCGCAGACGGACTTGCACAACACATTAGAATTGCAACACGCGACTGTAGAACACATCGCTTTGATGCACCAGTCCCAATACACAAAGTGTCGTAACACATGCAAAACACAATAGCGCAGCAGCAACAAAGAAAAGAAAAAGTTACCTGGAACCCTCACTTAGCAATTCCAATGCGATCTGCCAACAATGACCCGCAAAACACGATCAGAATCGTAACTTCTCTGCTCTACTCTATTCTTCTCTTCTCTACTCTGCTCTACTCCTACCTCTATTCTTCTCTTCCCTAGTCTTCTCTACTCTATCTGTACTCTACTTCGACTCTACCTCTAGTCTACTTCTACTACATGTACTGTCATGTACTACTACTTCTACCTCTTCTGGACACGATGATCTCTGGGATCTAATGAGTATGCACGCGCATGCCAACTGGACACAATGATCTCCGGGCTAGTGAGAATGTGACTTCATGATCTCTTAAGGCACATGCCAACTGGACACAATGATCTTTGGGCTAGTGAGAATGTGACTTCATGATCTCTTAAGGCACATGCCTACTGGACACAATGATCCCTGGGCTAGTGAGAATGTGACTTCATGATCTCTTAACGCAGGTGCCAACTGGACACAATGATCCTTGGGCTAGTGAGAATGTGAAAGTCCGTAACTCGGAGTTTCCTCCATGAAACTTCCTTTGATTACGAGCAGGATAACTAACCAACCTGCAGCCCGCTACCACTTCCAATGGCTTCCAACATTGAGAGTTCTGTTTTGTACCAGGTGGGGGATCTCAGATTTGGGGTCTTGGTGGCACCAGACCTTGGCCAAGTTGGAGAAAACATCCAAAAACTGGAAAAATGCCAATATATCCCATATAATATCTTGCCAATACATCCAATATATTGCCATTATATTACAATATTGGAGACATTTGCCAAGATGGTTCGTATTTAAAGTTGTTTAAACATTGCCACGATTTGGTATTCAGAGCTGGTGATTTTTGTTGGAAAAACCACATTTTTTTGAGACGAAGTGGGGCAGTTAGATGTGGCCGTTTGACCAATCCAGAAAAAATAGGTCAACAGTTCCCGAAGGACACCAGGGTAACAAGGATCAAACAAAATACTACAATAGTAGTTGGTCTATCTATTTCGGGAACCATATAGTTTTGGGTTGTTGATCAACAAAACCACACAGTATTGTGTTTCACCCCTTACTACACGAAAAACTGTCAATTTTGAGCAGGAACTCAACAATTCGTTCAAGAAGGTACTTTTCTGAAGAAACCTTCTACATCCTTCTACTCTTTGAACACATGTCATGTTCATGCACATAGGCCGCATGGTTCATGGGGTCTGACTGATTTGGCTGGATTTGCTTAGATGCTTGGAAGGGGAACCCCGCCGACTTTGTGAAAAATACTGTACATCAGAATAAAGTGAAAATAGAGATATAGAGAATTTTGTTTGTTCCAACGGAGCACATGGATTTTGGGTATGGGTCAAAAATTGTCAAAATCATTGGTTGGGCCCATTAGTACCCAATTTTTGACCCGTACTTATCATGGCAGCTGCAAAAATGGTTCGTCCCCGTTAATCCCCATCCCAGTGTTTACTCGGTAAATCCTCGGAGATTTAGCGCTAAAAATCATATTGAACACCCCTAAACAGGGTGTAAGGATTTATATAATGGTTTATAATAAGGTTTATATTCATATCATATATGTACATACGATCATTTATCTTAGTGTGAGAATATATATATACATGCAAGATAATATTTGAGATATATAATCATATATATGTATACATATATATGTATATGTGTATATGTGTATATGTATATATGTATATATGTATATATGTATATATGTATATATGTATATATGTATATATTTATATATTTATACCCATTGTTCTTCCCCAAGCCTCGCGAACTGCTCTCCGGATTTGGCGAGGCAATGGCAATGTCCATCAGTACAGGCGCTTCAGCACCTAGCTTGGCGGAACCTGTTCCAAATGTGCCCCCTGGCCTGCCGCCCCTGTCGGCACAGGCGACAGCGATGGCCATTGGGTGCACCCACAGCAGTAGTGGCCACAATGTATGGGGTTTAAGCAGCTATAGTGGGGATAATGGCCAGCAAAAAACATGCTCTAAGCCAGCAAACATGAGTTGTAAGGTAGTATACTAAACCCCTACTGATTGATGATTTGTTGGTGTTTTGCACTATCCAATAAATTGGGCAGTAACTATCCATTGCTGGAATCCTTATTGAGTAACCATTCCAATGAAAAGACAGGGTTTAGAACACTACTAATCTAATTGTAGTTACTACTGGCATCACATATTATCACCATAAACCCAACAGTTCACCGAGTTATACTACACACCACAGTTATAGAAGATATTCAGCAATTAAAGTAGATAGAAGATGCAAAATGGGGATGTGTAAAAAAAACAAATCAACTAGAAGATATTCTTTGTTGCAGAAGGTCCCCTGGAAGCAGGTTTCGAGGGTAATTTGGTGCCGTGGTTTAATCTTTCACCCACGGCCTGCTATGCCAAGGCTCTGAAACACTGATATTTACAGTGTTTTCACAATTCCCGATCAAATAGAAGATATTGAATTAATTCGGACCCGCAAAGATCTCCTCCGGAGGGGGACCACCTGCGACGAGCCCGTTTTTGGACCTTCTCTGAAAAAAACGCGAAAAACCTCGAGTTGTTTTTTGTTTTTTGGGAGGTGATGTGACTTACAAACGGGTTAGAAAGAACCAACTTTGCTAACGACCTGGCCACCACCTTGTAGATATAGAAGTTTATTTAGATATAAACCCATCTAATAGTACATATAGTAAACATTATGTATTACGTATTTAAGATATACCTACAAGCGATCCCCAGTTAGCCTTCTTATGTTTACCAACTTACCTATCGTTTGGGGTTTCCCCCGCTTGTGTTTGATGGTTATAATAGGTTATAATACGCTATATCATAGGGTCTTGAACCAACAAAAGGATGATTGCTTATAAGACCTATATGTAAGCGCCACCTTATTTGTACAACGCGTTCCCCAAGTGGAGTCATCTGGGTTTTAACTATAATAATTTATAACTGTTTGATTTATGGTGGATCTATCTACAGTTGCAAGGGTGAAACTAACCATAGCTAAACAATGTTTTAAAGATCTGGGGGGCATCTTGTTTGATCGTAACTGATGGCGATCAAGGGACCTTTCCACAATGTTTGGTGTGTGTTTTAGATATCCACAATCTTATCATAAGCTGTCTGAATTGTGCAGGTTTTAGCGACAAAAGGGGCATCCTGATGAACATGAATTAATTTCTTTCCGGAAGCTGATTGGCCATGGCCTGTATATCCTGCAGTCGGTCTGCCTTCCGGGATGTGATCACTAGCATGTCGGAGAAGATAAGCATATGATGAGCATCCAATAGATTTTTGCAAGTTTCACTCGACTCTATATATAGGTTTTTTTTCGGGGACGACTAGAACAATCTACAGCTGGTCATATTTTGCCATCCTGAAAGCGATCCGAATGCCATGGTTTTCTGTGGTCATCTCTTGGCAGTATCCACTGAGCCATTTTCCAAGTTTGAGGCCTAATCCAGATGCAAAGAGGGTCCCCACTTCAGTGATCTCTGGTGGATTTGCTGTGCCGACATGTCCTCTGTGTTGATGGCAGAAGGAAAGCTTTGGTTTTCGCTATGTGCCATGGAATGAAACGGGATTGTTGATATATCTTCAAGTCATATTACAGGAGTCCGAAGTCCTCATTACACTTGGGATTATAACTTATTACAAGATATTCCAAGCATTGTAATTGTAAGTAAGAACCATTTAAATCCATTTCATATTGAAACCAGCCCAGTGGAGCCACCGAAGATTTAGTGATTTACGGTTTCGGGTACCCCAAACCTTGCGTTTATCAAGCCAAGTGTTCCCCATTGAAATAGCCCGAAAGGAGGACGTAATTCCCGATGTCCTATCAGACCTCAGCCAATCGCCGCCAGACGGGGTCCCTGTATCGTCATCTTGCCGGATCTCAGCTGCATCCCCGCGACGAAGTCGGCAACATCATCCAACAATTGGTCCAATTGGGCGACACCCTGGAAGCCATGCAGGTGCCAAGCAGCATGAACTGTTGGCTGGTGACGGGAAGTATAGATGATGTTAGATGGGGAATCAACTTACTTAAGTAACTACGGGGGGATCACCTTGTATTGGTAACTGGTATTGGTTGTAGTTGTAGTTGTCGTTGTTGCTGCTGTTGTTGTGGTTGATGATGCTGATGTTGTGCGTTCCAGTGAGTGATGGAAATCGGGAAAGACCAGGTGGGGTACCTTTCTTCTACATGTTGACTGCGCTGCACATATTGCAAACAACAACATATAATGCCATTACCACAGCAGCAGCAACAACAGCGAATGATGAGCATATCTTGCTGAAGAGACACTTTCTCCAGACTTACCCTGCGCGATGATGGAAGATCGGCTTGTTTGCGCATGTGTGCTTCCCTAAGTGATCACTCTACTTCCCTATCCAACTCTATATTGGGAAACACAAGAATCCACGAAAACAAACATGAACAATCCATTTGCATTCACGCTGGAAAACTATGTTCTGCATTCGACGTGTCATAGTTTTGCATATTGTGTGTAGAGTGTAGAGCTATATATCATATCACAATATATCACATCTATTTCTCACATATTGTGTGCATACATGCACATATAATCACATATGTTTTACGACGGCCGACCTCGGGGATCGTCAGTTTTCCTTTGCTGCCTCGTTCACTTAGGATTAATGGGTTTCACATGGTTTCACTGTACATTGTTAAACCCCCTATAAGTTAGGAATAGTTGGGAATAGTTGGGATATGGGGCACTTAGTTCACTGGTAGTGCACCCAACCTGTCCCAACAAACCCAGCTCACGAGGCATGACAGGGCGACTCGATGACTTGACACCGTTTCACTGCGAGAAGTTGCGTGTGCGCAAAATCGAAGCCTGAAAATGTGGACCATTTCGCTGGCAAAGGTGGGTCACGACGGAAACAGTGCCGGGATGGGTCGCAAAAATTGATTAGGTTGCCAACACCTAAAAGTATTGGGCTTTGGACGAATACGGGTACCATCCAGCGCCACATATCCATTGGTTGTGCTTAGGAAGGTGTGGCTCAGAAGCAGGCACCATTTTTGGTGGATGAAATCTCATATTCATTCATATTCACTATTCATAGGTCAAATCACTTCAATCCCCTCCTGGATTGGCATCATCGATAAATCACCATGATTGGTGGCTCATTCATGCTACGTGGTTCCCATGTTTGCTTTTGAGTGGGCCAATCTCCATTGTTTCATACATGTGAGATCCCATATGTGTGAATATGTAGTGGCTTCAACCAAGTTTACAGCAAAATCGATTTATCCCCATTCTTCTAGCTTATGCAATTCCCTTTATCATAAATGATGAACACCTTGGAGGTTATATATGAGCCATTCAAGGTACTATTGATGCTTGCTTCTGCAAGTGGATTCTATCACCTAGGGTTCAATACAAGTGTCGCCTCCAAGATGTATGTTGAGTATGTTGGTCTAATTTCACCCATTCAAGTGTAAATATATTATATAACTACCAGAGGGTATATCCCATTGTCATCCCATTATTCACCAATGTTAAGCCATTGTTGAGCCATTAAACCACCATTAAATCCACCAGATAATCCACTATTAATATTGTATAACCATATGTCCAACAGTTGTTTTTCTGGTCATAGACCAACCGCTGGTTTTTGGTTTGTGATATCTGCACGTTGTCACGTTTTTGGTCAGCAAAAACTTGCCCAATAATAATATGTCCCGTTTTTTGCCGAAAATAGGTTGTAGAAGTCATCCAAACTGTAGATGTTTAGATGTCTACTGCTAGGCTTAACACCTCGTATTGTTTCTGTGCGAAAATCAACAACTGTCGCCGGCCACGGCCGCTCCGAGCCCCTGTCGTGACTAAGGCTGAGTTGCCGCACCGGCTGCCGTGCGCTGTGCTCGTCCTTGCGCACGGTGAGTTGGGTTATGCGCGAGGTGGCAGGTGAGTTTAGGGTAGGGGGATGGGTCGATGGAGGGGTTGGTTGGCTGAAAGAAATGGAAAATAGGGTAACTACTACAACTACCCTCAAATCCACTGGTTTATCATAATAATTCCTTATTGAAATTCCGAAGTGGGGGGTTAAGCATGTGACGTAACCAGGCATTTAGAAAGTGGTGATACGGAATGCAGGTGATTTAAGCAATAAAAGCTGGGTTTGAAGGGGCAAAAATTATGGATTTGAACAATGCACATGTGGATGTAATGAGGATACGGGGGTTTCTCAAAATGGGGAAGTCTAAACTATTCAAGTGATCTATCATGTATTATTATTAAACATGAGAAGCACATGGTGAAAAGAGGTCCCGCAATGTTAGGAAACCCCTGTACAAGTAGATGTACTTGTATAAAATGGGAATATTACCTAGACCCTCAAAGTCATGCAAAGAAAACAGATCTTATTCTTATCAGTCGTAGTTTTTAAAACTGAAACGACACTTTGTTTGGGCATGCTGGCCATTTGACATCCTGCTGGCTGAAATAAAATGATCAAACGATCACAATTTATGCTGTTTAATGAACCGCCAAAATAAAACACCAGCAGAGGCTGCAGGTATATCAATATAATACATATCAATATATGTATATTAAATGCATATCATGAATAATAACATATATTCCAACCATTTCCAACCAAGAATATGATATGGGTCAGTCCAAACGCGGTGTTCTGTACACCCTCAAATGAGGTTTCCAACTCTTCGGTTTTAGGGATAAGCCAGTTCCAGACATATCCAATTTAGGCAAAATATAGTAAGAACGTTCAGTAATGACTTAACAACCGCGGCATCGTGATCAGTTGTTGTCATCTCATTGCGTTATGTTGGAAGATGTTACAGTATGTTACAGTATGTCATATTATGTCCTAGGTGGGGAATCATGTTTGACTCTCAATGACCAAAAATGAGGTGTTCAGCGCCTAGGAAGCGATAAACGCCTGGGTTTGGCCTAAAACCTTGCTGCCCACAAGTCTCGTTAGGTTTGAATTTGCATCCCACTTCGGACCTGTAGAGATCATCAAATAGCATCAAATATCCAAAACATAACATGTGTGTATAATGTACACTCACATCGACAATATGTATGTATATATATATATATATCGTATATATGTAGATTATAATGTATATATTTTTATAAATACATTATACTGTGTATGTATATATATATAATTACACATTGTAGATATCATCCCAATGGATATCCTCTCCGACATGGATATCCCCTCCAGGCACTTCCTTGCGCCAAGTTAATGCCCTGGTGCCCACCTCGGCTTTGGACACTCCTGCCCAGACCACGGCAGGCTGGACATTCAGCAGGACTTTTCGGCAAAAAATGTGATGATATAATGGTGCTTTAATGGGAATACAATGGGGATATTTCATGGATATTTTTTTTTCGGAATCTGAATGGGATATTGGTTGATACATAGTGATACCCTCCGGTGACATCCAATACAGTATAGCTGGCAAAATCCTCTATAGATTGGTAATTTTCCAGCAAACCATGTTGGTACTGTCTTGGTCCCCAAAATGCATTGAACATCCACCCGCTCAAGGGGAGCAATTGGCTGATAAGGATGCAATGACTGGACGGTCTGTACTTGTTCACTTAACTTGTTTAGTTGCCGATCTAACACGATCCATCAGCACCCCAGTACGCGTTCAACATGAGTAGCAAGGGAGCAAGTTCAAAAGTTTGAAGCCATAACTGAGTTGCCCATATGCCTCGCCACGACTATGCCGAAGCAGACAGGTGAGTACGATGTGAGCAGTCTCAAGAAGACAATGATGTTGGTTGAGCTTCAGTTTCCACCTTTTCTGGTCCCACCCAACAAAATCCAATGATTCCATGACGCAAGAAGCCCATTTGTTGATGCTCACAGTAAACCCATGTTTGTTGCTTAAATCACTTAAATCATTGACTGCCCCATTGCGAACATCTCCAGTTTAGATTGTCAGAATCCCCAAATGCGTTGCTCAAATCTCCATGTATTTGGAATCTCCACATTTCGCCATGTTGCCGAAATCAGTGAAATCCCGAAGCATCTCCAGTGATGTCAACAGAGTTCAACAGAGTTCAACAGGGTTCAACATAGTTCAACAACATACCCTCTGGTAAACGTTTACATAACTATGGAAAATCACCATGCTATTCATGGGAAAACTCACTATATTTCGACTGGGCCATGTTCAAGTTCGCTATATCTGTTAGTCATTACCGGAGGGTATCCCATCATAAATCCCATTAAATCACCATTCAATCCCATTCAATCACCATTAAAATCCCATTAAATCCCATTAAGTCACCATTAAAATCCCATTAAATCACCATTTTCAATAGCTATGTAAACGTTTACCAACAGATCTTCAACAAATCCCCCATGTTTCGACGGATCCCCACTGGATCGGATGCTGCGGCTGCTTCAGGCACCCCCTTGGCCGGGATCGCCCCAGCGGATCGACAGGTGAGTTTCGGTGTCTGTGTCCAGGAGGACGGCGTCTGCCCTTTTTGGATGTGGGGTGAGGAATGGTTACCCTCTGGTAAACTAACATAACAAAGGAAAGATCCACCATTTTTAATGGGTAAATCAACTGGAAATGGTACATGTTCAATAGCTATGTTAAATTACCAGAGGGTATTAAACATAGAATAAACATAGAAAACCTATATCCCACATCTATAGAATACTATAGAATACTATCATCTAATATTAGATGTTATCCATCTAACATCATCTAAGTATAGAATACTATAGATTCATATGAATGGTTTTAGTGCTGTGGTTTATGCATGATGAATGGTTTTTGAATGTTTATTAGGGATCATCAAGTTGTTTTTTGCCGATTTATGCATGGTTAGTATCCATATTTAACTATAATGATCTATTGTGTATTAATGTTCATTACCCATGTATCCATCCAACTAATTCTAAGCGATTTCAACTAGTTATAGTATACAATATAGTTACTTCATTCCCAGAAATTGTAGTCATGAAGTATTTAATTATATACTGTAGATTATAATCACCAAACGCCTAACAGTTGACTGAAGAATCGTGTTCATCCCAGAAGAATCTCCGGGCTTCGTGTGAAGATGACAGGCCCCTAAAATGTGATTCATGTTTGTGAATGTCTTATACCATGGGGGAAACCTTAAAATGAACAGGAACTAAAGATCTAAATCTCAGTGGTTGGGATGAACATGGACCAAGTAAATTCGATGGTTAATCACGTTTTTCTTCCGTTGAACTTGGGGCATTTTGGGAATGCTCCATTCTTGGACATTTGTGGCGTTGCTAAGCAACCATGGCAATGGAAGATCCGACAGGAGTTGCCATCCACAGCCTTCGTCACCTTCAGAACCATGCAGGCGTCTTGGTGTCCAAAATGCTGCCCCATAGTTGCCAAGTTGGTTTAGAAGTAGGTTTACTATGTTTATCTATGGTTCATGGATGTTTATTGTAGATATATCATGATACATACATATATATATATACTTGTAGGTGTTGTAAGTTATAAACTTACAACTAGCGGGGGCGGGCACCAGCTTGTGAGTATTATTTTCAGAGTTTTAGAGCGAGACCCGACATGTATAATAACTTATAGAAATATGAACATCGTTACTCATCATTTGGAAATATGAACATTTGGATAACAATATGAACATGAACATGATTTTGGAAGGTTGGCCCAGCAAGGCTATGTTTTTTTTCCTTTTATGCCATGGTTTCACGTTACCACAAGGCTCCTGGAAACTCACCTTTTGAAGGCCATGGCCGGGTGCAAGTCTTGTTAGACAGTTGTGTTGTCAATGGATAATTTAACCATCAATTCTACATATCAGTTGTCAATACGGCACCAGATTTACATCAGTTGAATTTCATGAACGGATATTAATGGATAATTCTGAGTGTTAGGTAGTAGTTAGCAATTCTATAAGCAGTTCGTATTTTTCAGTGGATAGTTCTGAACATACCCCATGTTTGCAACGGGTTTCCATGGTCCGCTTGGACTTTGGGGGTCCCCTTAGGCAGCTTGCGTGGCCTGTCAAGTGGTCTTGGATGAGGAGAACGGTGTGGATGGTGACAGAAGTTCTGACAGCTGCCAGGGGGAATCCATTTAGACATAGAGATTATAGTGGTTAAACCCAATATTAATTCCATTTAGACATAGAGATTATTGTTATTAATGGATAGTAATGAATAATTGACGGATAGTTGAAACCAATGATCATCAAGAATCATATGGATCAAGATGGCTTACTCTGGGAAACCCAACGTTAATCCATGAAAATCTGATGTGGGAAAGCCAAGAATAATGAATATTAATGGGATAATATGGATTATTAATGTGTAATGCTATTAATGGGAATATATTAATGTTGATATGGGATAATACTGTGTAATGCTATTCATGGGAAAATGTGGATTATTTGATAATGGATAGTTAAACCCAATAATAATGTGGGATAATGTGGTTAAGCCCCGGACAAAAAGTGTCTAAATTATGTTATGTTGTAAACCCAATGAGTCTAAATTTACAATCATACTATATGTGGGACACCCAATAATAGTGGGGTATAGTCGGATGTTAAGGGGATAATATTAATTTGGATTAATATGGGATTGTGGTGGGAGAATAATGGATGCTTATTGGATCACTAGGACTATAGTAAACCATCTCCACTTGTGGTCTCTTATTGGATATACTCTGATGACTGTGATGATGTATAGCGACAAATTGACCCCCTTTTTTATGGTTAGTCAATGGGATGGGGTTCAGGCATTGGGTTTCCCACATTAGATTGGATCCTAACTCTCAATATCTATGGTACACACATGCAACATTCATGTTTTTGTGGTTGCATGGCATACTTTGTTCATTTCCGTGAAAACCGATGCTCAAGGGCCTCAAGGGCTCAAGTCCAAATCCAAACGTATTCGCTTCAAAGCAATGCCAAGCATGTTCCAGCCGCCAGCCATGGTTTGTATCAGAACTTGAAGCAAGCTGTCCAAACTTACCATGATGAACGGTTGCTTTGATTTTCTTCGGTCCAACTTTCCCTTCCTTAAATTTGAAAGACTGTCCAAATATGTCCAAATATGTCCAAATATATTACGAAATACCCATACGATTCTTGTACTGGCTTGAAGCCTTTGAGTGGCCATGCAGGTTTCCCTGAGCATGTAGCATTGAAACTAACATATATATATATATATATGATAAGAAACAGAACAGTTGTGCACAGTTCCACAACAGAAACTATGAGATCTTCACTCAGACCCAAGCCTGTCGTCTTGTTCATCAGGTTTGTTGTGGCAAGGCGTTCCCCCGAGAATCCATAAAAGACTTCAGAACATAGTCAGGTCACGCAAGAAAAACACAGGACGTAGGACAGAGTTCAAACTGCAGCCGTATCCAACGATGTCACAGAACCGTCAAGCTGAAGACCAGGACAGTTCTCGGATGGGTCCAAGGGTGATCTCGGTGATCTCTGAATTCTTCATCATTTTTTGAGCAATTTGGGCAGATCCACAGGTTTTATCATGTTATATCAAGACGGCAACATGTTGGTGGGTTTGGTGGGTTTAGTCAGTTTACTCATCTAGCTGCAAACAGAAATACCGGCATGTTGGTTTAACAATTCTTAGTTTCTTGCGAACTATCCTTTCTTGCTGGTTCATCCTCCAGTTTGGTTAGCAGAATCCACTGTTCTTCTCGAAAGCATCATTTTGGGCATTCCTGTTTGTTGAATCTCTAAGAGCCAAGTGTTCTCTGCATCAAACAGCATAAAACTGCCATTTTGCATAATTTTACATGATGGATTGATGTTTTGTTCAAATCATCTTGAATCCTGAAACCACTTCCGCAGTGTGTTTATTAAATCATATTAAACCGTGCTGAATCCATGTTCTTGCACTAATATTCACCAATAATTGAACTGAAACCACCACTCGGTCATCAATGTGTTTGTCATTTTGTCACCATTTTGTTCCGTTATAAATCATTCCAATCCTCCTCCAATTCCATTCATTTCCGTCTGTAACCATCCAAGACTCCATCAAACCATATGATTTTAATACTGTATATGTCAATCATTTTCTTGATATTCAGCATTTTCCCAGCATTTCTTCCCCTTTCCGCAGCCCTTCCCCAGCTTTTGAGGGCCCTCCCGGCGTGGTGGCCGTGCTGCCGGCTATCGGCCTGGGCGGTTTGCTGGGCGTGGCCAGTGGCGTGGTGACCCTCGGCACGGCCGTCGTGGTGGGCGCCGGCACGGCGGCAGGTGGGGACGGGGAGACCGGGGGAGACCTAGATGAATGGTGATTTTATATGGCTATGGATCAATACCTATTAATACCATTTTTAGAGGGATGAACATCCATTTACCAGCTATTTTGATGTTCACCAGGGGTACAAGGTTTTGACCCACTGCCATATGATTTTATGGGCATATCATGGAAGACCATAATACTCTAGTTGTCATGGAAATTCATGGAATATATCGTTGATAAAACTGGCATTTATAAGCCATGACCTACTGTAGGATATATTCTGATATATCCACATATCCCATAAGTGGAGTATAACATAATATAACATCTCTTACCGGTTACCTACGAACCTGCTGGGATGCAGAATATATGATCATATGGAGGTTTCCTGGGGTACCCCTAAATCTTCTATTTTCGGATTTTCCAGTGTAAACCATCCATTTGGGGGTACCCCCATTTATGGAACCCCCCCATATTTTATGGGGATCTCGTGGAACACTATCGTTGTCATGAAATTGGTGGAATATATAGTTGATCAAACTAACAGGGACTTATATCATGGAATATATTGGTTGATAAAACAGACAGGGATTTATGGTGACTTATAGGGATTCATGTGATAGTTCTTGGGAATTGATAGGGATTTATGGTGTTTTTTTTTTAATTATGGTGATCAACCAACTTGATATGATATTTTGGGATGTCTGAAAGTGGGGAGAACAAAAAAAACATGTTTTTGTGTTTGGAAAGTAAGGTTCTAAACTTCTAAACCAATGGATTTGGGGGTACACGATTTTCAGACATAGCCATATGATGACTATGAAGGGATCATTGGGAGATCTCCTAAGTCATGGGGGCCAAAATTATCCAAGTCATGGATGACCATGAGTGAGTATACTTCAATACATGGTGACGACTGGGGATCCCTCATTTTAAGAAACCAGCATTGGGAATGGCTCAAGACCCCGAGAATTTGGAATCTATGAATGAAACCAATGAAATCATCTATGAATTCAGACATGTTCCAGAGATGTCAAAAATCGTCAAAAATCCCATAGAAATATCACTGCAGCTGCAGAACTATGGCTTCAATGGGAACCTCCCCTGATCTCACAGGTGTGGGCGCGGGCAAGTGGATCGTGGATCGCATCATTGCCAAGCGTCGCGCCTCCAGTGGACGAGGTCGATCCAGACTGCTTAGGAGGGGGGACTGGGATAATTGATGACTGGTTGGTGGTTTCAAACATGTTTTATTTTCCCATAATATATGGGATAATACTTCCCATTGACTATTTTTTTTCAGGGGGAGTTGAAACCACCAACCAGTGACAATTGATGATTATGGATTATTCCATGGATTGTTCCCCCATTCCCTCCTCATTAAGCACCAGTAGATGGCAAATTGATGTTCAATCATGCCAGGATTGTGGGCTGATGGTGCTTGGGGGGTGCATCACAATTCGTAAAGTGGTCAAATAAGCCATGACCTAGGATATATTCTGATACATATATATATATACATAATATATATATATATATATACATAATATATATATATATCCACATATATCATAATATATCCCATCAGTACCATAAGTGGAGTATAATATCATCTGGCTTCTTACCTACTAACCTGCGATGCAGAATTTTTATGAATCATTTGGAGGTTTCCTAAACTGGGGGAGGGTACCCCCAAAAATCATCCATTGTAACGGGATGGACCATCCAGCTATTGGGGTACCATGACGTTTTCTCCAGGCCCGCGGCCCGAATCTGACCTGCCTGCTGAGCTGCAGGCTGCACTTTCGCTGCTGCTAGTGCTTTGGATATTACCCTGTGGTAAACTAACATAGCTATGGAAAATCACCATTTTTAATGGGTAAATCCACTATAAATGGCCATTTTCAATAGCTATGTTAATTTACCAGAGGGTAGCGGCAATCCCTGATTTCCTACACAGTTCGATAAGTGTAATCTGCCATTTTCAGAACGTGGAGTCCCTAGTTTGGGACTCGGTACCTCTCTTGTCTTGGTGAAATATCTTGTTGTAGGTGATACGAAAAGGAAGTCAAACTTCGATTACACCAACATTTGAAAATTCATTTCATCATATTTCAACACATTTTTTTCAGTTGGTGAAGTGGTGAGAACTGTTTATCCCTTCCGTTGGTGTTTCTACGGCCATCGCCGATGACAGGCTGCCTTGCAGCGCTGGCAACAGGTGCTGGCTGCGAAGGCTGCGGGACGTCCCATCACGTCCAGGCGATGCCGTGGTGATCGACCCGGAAAGGTGATGTGAAAAATATGTACAGTGTGTTAAATAATGTTAAATTATATTAAATTATATAGTGTATATGATTCGAATATGATAATATGATATGATCTTACATTGAATACTATATGTTATAATTATATGTATTATGTATTATATTATATATTCGATGTATATACCATTTGTTTCAGTCTGCTGAGGCAGTTGGCGCAGTTTTGGACTGAGTTCGAAGCGGAAGAGCCGGAGACTTGACGTTGTCCTTGGTGAAATCCATGGTCCTTGGTATGTTGATGTTGGGCTAATCCCATGGTAATCCCATGGTAATCCCATGGTAATCCCAAATGATCTACTTACTATTTTGGTAATCACTCTGAGATTGTTTTTCGTGATGTTTCATATTTTCTTCAACTCCATAGGTCTTGCTGAATTATTACGACCTCACAATGACGGCACTGTAGATGATTAGTGGGAGAATCACGCAAAAATTGTCCAAACAATTCAGGTTGGTGAATGGGTAAACTACTACAATCTAGATCTTCTCAGTCTTGTTTTTCTTTATATAGATCCTTCTATAAAATGTTTTATCTCGTATTGGTTTTGTTTTTCCTTGCCATACACGTCTTCCTTCAAAAATCGACCCCACAAAGAAGTGATTTGTCATTTATCACCATGGCTGATGGTTGATTCCCTTTATCCTTTGCAATTCCCAAATATTTTGGCGAAAATGCCGACGATGCCGAGGAAAATGCGCGCTATGTGCAGACTGTGCAGGGATTGATGGCCTCTGGGCAAGTGGCGCCTGGGTCTTGCGAAACGTCGGGGGCGAAATTGGGAGGAGCCGCAACAGGGGAGGTCACCAGAGAAATCCATGTGAAATATGTGTGAAATAGTTTAAATATAGTGAAATAACATATTGTGTATAGTGAAGTAAGATATTTCGGAAGACAATTGGATGGTCTATAGTCAAACTCAATGAATTGAAACCAACAAAAGACAAATGTATGGGCATGTTGGATGGTTCTGATCCAAACGCCAAACATGAACAGCATTTGTGATTCAAAGAGGGCCTTGACCGTGTGATCTAGTTCTGCACATCCGAATCTGTGGGTCTATGAAACGTAGCATGTCATGTTAAGAACTTGAAACCTGCTTAAGACTCGATTCAGTTGACCAAACATCCAACCGATCCTTTGAAATGAGCTGAACTGTGTAAGCCTTGGTGAATGGTTGCTTGACCATTCTTTTTTGACCCATGAAAGCAAGGTTTTCCGGTTGCTGTGGTGATGAACCGGAGACATTGCATTGGAGTGGAAAAGCAGAACCCCGCAAAGGTGATCAATGTGGTCCTTGTTTTCTGTTAAAAGTCCAATTACGAAAATCAAACGACAATCCAGGTGAACGCCAAAAAGACAATCAATGAATTTTGCTATCAAGATTACTTCAAGATTACATTCTGCTGGAATTGTGTGGAAATTGTGCTTCAAAATGTACTCGAATTTGTTTGGAAATATCCTGGAATTTGTTATGATTTGTTTTGTTTTGTTGGAACCTGAACTAGCTGGTGATATCAAACTTCAAGTTGATTTTGTGTCTCTGAAACCACCAGAAGACTCACCATCCACCCCGACTCTGAGGTGCCGATTGCGCTGATCCAACGCGCTGGTGTCACGGTGCTGCATGAACAGCAAGATGCGTAAGAAATCTGGAGTCAGCGGGTACCAGGTGACGATGAAGAAGTCCTTGTTGGCAGAAGCGACTGGATGATGAGAATGGAAGGCTTCAAAAAAAATGATAGAACATGATTTTTCAATATTTTTCACATGATAGAACCGTTCTATCGTCATTTGGAGAAAACTCCCACTGTATGATAGGAGAAAATGACCCACGGGACTCCCAAGATTCCCATCCGGAAGCCCGATAACAGGTGATCCCGAAGCCCAAGGTTTTCATGGCTTGCGGTGGTGCTAAACAGGAGATGATCCATTCTCTGTTGAATCTAAGAGCTATAGCATTAAATAGCTACATTATGCTACATGTATCTATACATCATATAATGTTTGCACATACACAATCATAGAAAATTGACTAGAGTCTGTTATCATGTTCATCTATAGATACATAGCAGATACAGAACAAATAGCCTTTGAATGCGTTGATGGATTGAATGCTTCCCTGGCAACCTGTTGAGACGCTAGCAAGTATCCAGCTGTATGTAGTGGAATGGTTCTTCTAGTTGCATCATGTTCTTAGTTTTTTTCCACACCATTCGCAACGCGTGTCGTTTGCGAAGTTTTCACCTGCTTTAGCTCGGAAGAAAGTGCGGACGACTGCTTTTGTGATGTCTTCTTGGGGGTGTGTCTCCGAGTGATGCTGGCTGTATGATGCTGTATGGTGGTGTAACACTCAGGACTAGCACCATCTGGAAAAGCATTGTTACCTCAAGCGACCTCATGATATTTGAATGATGGGCGAAATGCAGAAACCCTCAAAATCTGTCTTGCAATCATCTTGGTGGAGTTTATTGTGTTATTGGTCCGATACTGCGATACCCTTTACCACTCTCGCTACTTGGTGGATTTGCATGTGCATTAAGCAAACTCCAGCCCAGTTCAAACCCACAATCTAGGTGCGGGGCTGTTCCACTCATCTCACTGCCAGGTTTTGGGTGTAGCCCCATGAAAAGATTCCATGAATCCCCACGTTTTGCCGGGTACCCTCTGGTAAACTAACATAACTATGGAAAATCACCATTGTTCATGGGAAAATGAACTATAAATGGTCATTTTCAATAGCTATGTAAAATTACCAGAGGGTAAATCACGGTAAATCTGTCATTGAACCCTTCAGAAATACCGTTTAAGGGTAAATTCTAACGATCTCACTGTTCTCCCGAACCCTGGAATCATGGTGTTTTATAGGGAAATCATCCCAAATCCCAAAGATCATCTTTTTTTTCAGGTTACGTGTTTTTTTTTCCTAATTTGCCAAGTAATACTGTATAATATAGAATATATAATATACAATATATAATAGATAATATAAGATATATAATATGTAATATACCATTTAACTACCATGCGAAACGTCAACATTCCCATGAAATCACCGTTGAATCCCAGCCTTCCAGGACCCAGTGCGTGGCATGGGGATGCAGGTCTCCCCGGCACCGGAACCTCGAGACGTGGTGTGGCACAACGTGGCGCGGCCACAGGTGCCAGGAGGATTGATCTGGTGGTACGAAAATATCAGTGGTATATTAATTGAATATTAGTGGAATATCAAGAGAATAATCCACTAATATCCACTAATATTGAGATAGGTGGGATATCAAGGGAATATATCTTGGATATCAAGGGAATATTCGTGGGATATCAAGGGAATATTGGTGGGATATCAAGGGAATATTAATGGATCATATTGGTTAATACCCTCCAGTGTCATCAAACGTGGGACCGGAACATCCTCGAAGTAGAAAACGTGTTTTGATAGGAAAATCAGCGAACTAAATGTGGGATCTTCCAGCAAGCCAGAATGTATTTATTAGACCATCATTAAACCATTAAACCGAAAAGAACACTAATATCCATTAAAGCCCCAAAAAAAAGGCACCCACTTATTGGAGATTCAATGAACTAGAAAAAATGGTGGCTTAAGAAACAACACATGGTGATTTCGTCATCTACAATGATCTAAAATGGAGATGTCATGGTGATATTTCATGGATATCACCGATGATGATTGGTTGGTGGGTTCAACCGGATTGTTCATGCTCAACCAAAAAATTGGAGGTTTCCTGAAATGGGGGTACCACAAAATGGATTGGTTATTATGGAAAATCCGAAAATAAAATTGATGATTTTGGGGGTACCTCTATTTTAGGAACCCTCATTTAAATGGCATGAAGATCTCCGAGTGACTTATGATTCACAGGCTTGAAGCCGCCAAATGGGGAGTTTGGTGGTGAGATCCTCACCCGGTGAGATCTAATATGAACCAACAGCTGAGTACTACACAACTACCCTCTGGTAAACTAACATAGCAATGGAAAATCACCATTTTTAATGGGAAAACTCACTATAAATGGCCATGTTCAATAGCTATGTTAGTCATAACCAGAGGGTAACGACAATTCCGTGCTTTGAAAAATCATGCCGTGCAAGTTTTGACCAATCGAAATTGAGAGGAATGTGCGACTGACAGACTAACAGTGATGATGTTAGGCAACAACAAATTGGGGCTTAGCCAATGAACAAAACTCGGTTTTTGACCAATCACAGACTAGATGACTAGATACAAAAGAACAGGGTCCTGATTTTTTTTTTGTTTTTCGGGGGTTATAAAATCACAACCAAAAATCAGGGGTTGATCAATCAAGAATGAAGATTCAACCATGCAAATGAGGATGTCACCAGCACCAAATGGGCAATTGGAGATTTAAACGGCCTTTTTGACCCGATTTGACCAAGAACATGGTGGTACAAGAACTCATGATCCCATGATATCCGAGTGCACACGCAGTGGCGTCCAATATGGTTGTGACTCCCGTTGTTTTTAACGGAATGCGCCATACATACCCAATCTTGGATGGGTAGTGTAATCCTTTGTTTTTTTGTGCGATAAATGGAACATAACCATACTCAGCAAAATATTATACGTTTTCTTGAGGACTACCAAAGGTTGACCATGAGTAGACCTTTAACCTGACGAAGCTCGTTGCCGTAAGATATTACAAATCCAGCACTTGTACACCACGAATGAATGCATATTCGAGAAACTTCCCCCATACATACATTGACTATATCATTGTACACCCAACCCCCAGGCATTGGCTGATTCTTCCCGAAGGAACATCCAGCCGTTGCCCCTTGCAAATTGGACTCACATGGACCTAATTTGATACTGGCTTGGCCAGCAACTTGACGTTGGTTGCATTTTTGCGTATGCTTTCTACTCATTTGTCAGGGTGTTCCCAAGTACTTAAATCCCAAGTTCCACAACATTCCACAACTGTTTACCTGTGGACGCGTGTTAGAGTATTACACTTACGCAGCGTTCCCAGCACCACAATTCGCCAGCACCACGCAGGCGCAACTGCTGGTGCGTCAATTCTTCGTGGAGATTGCTCTCCTCTTTGGTGCCTGGGATGAATGGTGAAGCGATGAAGGAAAGGTGTCGCTGTCCCAATTGGTTTGCTTTTCATATTAACCTTTTATATGATTTTAATTTAGTTTACTGTAATTGGTTTCATATTATTTGAGTTGATTGATGTTATATAAGTTTAATTGATTTTATTGTATTTTTAATTGATTGATGTTGTATAGGTTTGATTGATCTCATTCAATGTGTGTATCATTTTAATTTATTGCTGTATCATTTTAATTTCAGTTTATGTTATTTCAATGGATTGATGTTATATGAGTTTAATTGAGTTTATGGTATGCTAATTGATTGATACTACAAGGGTTTAATTGATTTTATGTTATTTTGATTGATTGATGTTCTATCGGTTTTGTTCTTTTGACTTGGTTTGATACTATTAAAATTTATTGATGTTGTATGAAATTATTTGTTTTTGTTGTGTGTTTTTATTGATTGATGTTATATGGTTGTTCTTTATTTTAATTGGATTTATAGTGTTTCAGTTGATTGATGTGATATGAGTTTAATTGCGTTCAATTGGTTTTATATCATTTTCATTTATTGCTGCAATATTAGTTTAATTGATTCGATGTGAATTTACATGTGCTGGTTTATATCTGGATATCCCTCAATTATATTTCAAGTATTACATATAATTGTTGAATTAACTTATATCCATTGTTTTTTTCTTGGATGATCTGCTTAAAAACCAATGGATACACATTTTATATGCACACACATACCTGGTCTTTATCTCATTTAGAAGACTCTTAGAAGTCGATTGTAAATTGTAACCATGGTAGGTTATTACCATCGGTTTGTTTGCAAATAGGGTACTGCACCCCAAAATCCCAATGTTGATCATAAGTTTCCCTGTAAACACTGCTACAAATTTGATTCTCCGACTCAATTTTGGGTTTGTGGTGACAACATAATTATAAATGAACAATAAACCAAGGCATTTCGGCCTCTTGTGACATTTCGACCTAGGCTTGGCGTTTTGGTCAGTGCCGGTGTCCTTGATTCAGGCAGGGACGGCCGTGTTGGGAGCAGATAGTATACCCCCCTTCCCCAGAAGGAAAAGGGATGGTTCATACCAAAAAGACTAATTAAACGTTTAATGTTGTAATATCTTAGATATTCACCCGCACTCATGTGTGGAGTATTGTGGAGTGATTTGGACCAACATCTTTGATTTACGCGCCATTTAAAGTTCGATCATTTAAAGTTCGTTGTACTTCTGACTATTACATCCGATCGCTGTCGGCTCATCCACCTGTTGCCGTAGGCAGTCACATCCAATGTTCATCTATCCCTGTCAGTCAATGGTGCTGTAGATCCTCGGAGTGATGATCCATGGTCGGTTGCAACTGATTCCCAACACTGCAAGTTGGCATAGTTTGGTTTGTTGAACCCCCCCATGTTGTTGCATTATCCATACAAAAAAAATGTCCTCTACTGACCCCACATATTAAGAGTTGCCCCATTTTCACCACGTCTTATGTTGACCAATGTTGACCATAAACCCACCATTTACAGTCACCATAAAAACCCACCATTTTTCTACGCCGGAGTTACGACGGCCAGGTTTGGTGTTCCTCCGAACGGCTCTCGGCATTGCTTCCCGGGCTTCAACTGCCCGAGTCCGTTGGGGGGCCTGGACGGCCTGGACTGATTGGATTTACTGATGGATTTCATGGGGTGAACTGGTGGTTGAAGTGGGAGAATCGGGATTTTTCATGAGACCAAATTGAGTTTCGGGATGGCACATACTGGGATTTGAGATCCGTTGGAGTGGAAGTAGATTCCAAATACCCTAACAAAGGAACAGAATGGTCTATTCTGGCATGAGAATAACACTCCAATTTTGCCTGGTCAAATCATGAAATCCTCATGTTTTTCTGATTTTTAGTGAACTCCCTGGTGCAATCCTCATCTTCTGTTTCCAAACCTTTTCCGATAATAGGGATTCCATATATTCCATTCTCATGGATCCCATAGTTTCCTCATTTCTCCAGCTATCCCAGATGCGCGGCACGGACTTGGAAGCCTTGGTCACGCTGTACATGCCGGTCCGGTGACCCATGGGGAAAACATAGGAAAACCCACGAGTTGTTAGGGGGAATCACACTTTTCTAGATTTGAGGCTTACTATCAATGTATATATATATATATTATAGTTGTCCTGGGTAGTAATACCCTATAAGTGGGGTTACCTTATGAAATAATATGTAATAATATAATATACGATGAATGGGATTGACAGTGTATATAAAGTACTCATATGGTGACCAACCACTTTCGTTTTCAATGATCCTCGACCAGTGGAGTATGGGGACATGGGTTTGGTGAGAAGGACCGTGACTGAACTGACATGATTGCCACATCTTTGCACGCGCTACCAATAAACAAGATTTGTTTCCCTTGGATTACGGTAGCTGTTTTTCAATGATATTGTGACACCATCGCGTTTTTCTGGATGGTACAAAATTGCAAAAATGCAAAAACAAATTCACAGTGGATCAATTAAGATCAACACCGTGCCACATTTTGTACATAGCTAAGTTATGCTAAGTTGGTAAACATAACTCGGTGAAACTGTTGGGGTTTAGGGCGATGAAAGAACTATAGCTGCTAATCGAACTAACATACCTTTTAGACCCATCCCTCATTAAGTTCGATGATTGTTCCATTTCAATGACAATTCATAGAGGATTTCCCAGCTATCCATCACTACTGGGTCTCAAACAACGGTTGCACCGTTGCTGAGGTGTTGTCTCTTCTGGCATTGTCGCTCGGATTTCGATGATGTGATACATGCCTGGTGGAATTACATAATATATACATTATATTAATATTTCATTATATTATTGATTCATATGTGGATGTATGTATAGACGTGTTTTAAACATATGTGGATGAAAACACATATACAGTATATATATATACAGTCTTAGAGGTATTGGGGACATGTAGTTTTGCTGGTTTCTATTTGTTGGGTATCGAGTTCAGGAAGCCAGTCCCGTGCAGTACAATGGTTGTGTTTGATGATCGCCGGGTGGCATATCAAAGCTCCATTTATAGCTTCTGGCTGATTGATGTAGAAATGGAATGGCCTAGTGAAACATGCCACTGGCGATCTCATCAGATCCTCAAGGTGGGTTTCTTATTTGAACTGGGAAACATCGTGTCTCGTTTTTGCAGTGCCAGATTTCCCAACTGGTCATGTTTACCAGTCTGGTTTGAGGGATGCCAGCGGTAATAGATCATGTACCTGTTGAAAACCCTGAAGTTTCCCTGATCAACGTGTCCTATTGCCAAGATTTTCCATTGCCAAGTGAGATGCTGCCAAGGCTTGAGCTCCTTCCCATCATGCTGTCCAGCCCTCAGCGGAAGCAACAAGGAATCCTGCCGCTGGAAAGGATTGTTGGATGAATCCACCATTTCTGTCGGTAAAAGCCACGTCGCTGGTACAACCATATTTTTTGTTGTAATAAAATCAGGTTTGTTGGTACAAGCACCATGTTAATCATAATTTTATGTTTCCGAAAAAAAAAAAAACAAGTCTTTCATAGTCTTTCTCTACACAACAGCGTTTTCATCAACCCCCAACATCACCAGGCATCGCTTGGCTTCGCGCTATGAAGGGGTGAAGTCCTATAGCGCACTCCAGATGCGAACAATGAGGAGGTCAGTGACCGATGGTTCACCAGTTAGACTGGTGACGACCTGCCGGTGAGATTGGGGTTTATCAATATCTAGAAGAATCTAGAAGGGTTAGATGGGTTTTATATGGTTTTATATGGTTTTATATGGTTTTATATGGTTTTATATGGTTTTATATGGTTTTATGGATGCATATGGGTTATAAGTAATTGTTATAAGTAATTGATCAATAGGTGAGGGAGGTTACCAATAGGGATTTAATGAAATGGGACCATTTGCAGCTCCAGGTTCCAATATCCATTTCTAATATGTTTGGCAAATTTACTCTCGTGATTATGACCTTATTTGGTGGTAGTCTAATATTATGAATCCACCAGGGTTGAGGAATTTAGGGGCGACATGACCTAAACAAAATCCACTTCGTAATGCAGTGCCAATAGAAATTCCCCATCTTCAAGAGATATAAATCATTGGAACTGCAGTATAAGATGGGGAATTGGCATTTTATATAATTGGCATATTCATCTTATATTCCCAATTTTATAATCCATCTTTTTGGGCAAATCATGTAAAAGTTTTGCATTTTTGTGCCGCAGGTACTGGCGCTTCCAGCTGGCCACCATCGGCGTGACGGTGCTCTCCGGCAGCGTCTCCAACTCCTTGACGTGCCACCGGGGCATGGATCCGGAGTTGGCCATGAAAAGAGTGGAAAAAAAGGGATGTTTCATAGATATTCATGCGATATCATGGAATATGGATGAATATGGAATATTGAAGATGAATGGGATCTTATCATAATGAAAGATGAATGGGTGTGTTAGTGAGATATTAATAGGATACAATCGGTTTTGGGGTTTGAACATTGCTGTCAAGTATTTATTGGAGATTGTATCCTCACTAGTTGGGTGATGTTCAATTCGGACATTCAAACAACTCCTGTTAATGGGATATTCATGGAAGATCAGTGGGATATTAGCGAAAGATTAATGGGAATATTAATGAAATATTATATAATGGGGACAGTAGTGAGATATTACTGGAATATTAATGGATATATCCTCTGGTGCCATCAATCAAGGCCGGCTGGGACATTCCCTGTACACGCAGTTTTTTTTTGATGGGAGAAACCATAGTTTTGATAGTGGAGGGAGGGTAGATGGATTCGAAGTGTTTTTGATATCACCACAAAACATAGAAGTTCGCCAAAATCGTTGGAAGATGGAGTTTAAGTTTAAGCAAGGAAAGTATGCCAGCACACGTGTGATTTTGTCGCCGGCAAAATTTGACTATTTGGCATTCTTTGAGCATTTTGTTTTTTTGCCAACAAAGATGGGAACACTCGTCGAGCAAAAAAACAAAAGCCAACATTTGGAAAGATGTTGTAGATGATCTCAGAGATGAATCAGAGAAGTAGTTTCTTTATGATATGTCACTGATGATATGTATATATTATATATATATATACATATTATACATATGTATACAATATATGATTTATTTACATATATTATGTGTATATATATATATGATGTTACTTTTCTATTTAGGCAATAGAAAAGTAAGATCTTATTAAGATATACTGAGATAGTGAACACATGATTTCTATATTTTTTCGCGATGCTAGAAAATCTATATGCCATATACAAGGAGAAGGAAGTGAATCCAATAGGGATCTGGATTCGAGTGTTTTCCCGGATGAGCGACTACTGGACCAACTTGGTAGCTTACTACCCCCTAAATGTCACCTATTCTCAGACAAGACCAATTGGTGAACTATCCACAACTTGATGTTTCTGGGCAGGGCATCTAAGGCTAGCTATGTTCAGAAGCAGATCAGCTTATTTGGTTAGCTGTCTCCGAGTGCCTGTAGAATCTGTTTGGCGAACTTCTGGAAGCATTCACCACAAGTGGTAGTTCAAGTAAGAGAAAACATGAACCACGGCCTGAACTCAAGGTTTTGGGCTTTACAGCTTGAGCTACATCATGAGTTTCCCTATTACATCAATTCTCCATATCGAAGTGTCTCAAGTCCCAACATGTGCGTGTTGCCACCAGGGCGATGCTTGATCAACCAACTTCTATGCTATGGGAGCTGGGGTCTGGGAGCCCAAGTGAGACGACAATTATGTGATGTGCTGTCTTCGTGTAAAGACATGTCATGTCATGATCTGGTATGTATTCTTGGCGAAATCCATTCGCAGTTGTGTATAGCTTTCGTATGCTTTTGTAGATAGTTGTACTGTACCATTCTATAGGTATGATTGAGTACATAAACACAACTGGATTCATTTAAATCAATTAACTATTGATAGCACTTGTGTGTAGATTGGATAGATACGTATTCGTGTCTGTCACGCGGTGCAAGTTGTTGAACCACATTGACGCCTGCCCTCGCCCCCGAGGCAAAGCTTACCGCAGGTTGCGGTGTACTTCTTAGCCACCGTTCTCTCTTCTGCTTTAGCTGGGTTCCTAGTGGCCCATGGCCAGCCCACCTTGTTTTCAGGGAGTGAACATTGGAGAGGGAATGGAACCGTTCTTGCGCTGAGGGGTGACAACCAACTATAGTGATAAAGTAGATTCCATAGTAAGAACGATGCGTGCGTCAGCAGGCTCAAAATTTTGGGGTTGAACAAACCACGCAATGTGTGGTTGAGGAGAGTGAAACATCCACGTCTGTTTGCAATCAGTTTTGCAGCTAACTCATGAAGGCAACATGCCTAGGAATGGGCCACTGGCCAATGCTGGGTTGGCTCAAAAGGATTTACGAAGCGACAAAAATTCAATGGATTGGTGCAAGCCACATGGGTATGGGTCAATCTTCTCGAGGGGTTTCAGATTGAGATGTCCAGCCTGGTCCAAAAAGGTAAACGACTTGACCCATTCCAATTCCTCATTTTTGCTGCTTCTCATACTCCGAATTACGGTCACGGCAACGCCGGAGACGGCGACAGGTCGTTGGACCGGTGAGTTTGCTCCGCTTGCCCTTGCTGGCACAACTCACCTGGACCGCACTTACGCCTGGACGCCTAAGGGGGCACGTACCATTTGGGAAGGGTTGGAATCCACAGAAATAGCTGGTGACTTGGGGATGGGTTCATGAAATTTGATTTTAGCACATGATGAGGGGGGAGTTCAATCATTTATGGGGATAAAATAGAGTTGCAATGGAGTTTATCATTCCCCAAACTAGCGTAGCCCCTCCCAAATACGTGTCTCGAAGACTACTTTCCTAAAAAATGTAAGTGATTATCAGGGTCCAAGTTATGGAGGGGATGGTCGATTTAAGTTTTGTGGATAATTTTAGATCGTTTTCAGCATCTTGGTGGAGGCATATTCAATATTCTCCCTTGGGTGATGTGTGTGTGTGTGTTCTTTAGTCACTGTGGGAGAACATTGTAGTTTGTAGGTTGTATCTCCATAACTCCCGACTACTGGTGATCAGATCTCACATTTCTTAGGTTGTTTGGTTGAAAATTCATTACTATTTGGCGACCATCCGAAAGGGGAAAAACATCCATAACAACCATGAAATTAGTATAAAACACTGCTGTGCTGGTCGGGTTTTCGATCCGTAATCTTGCATCCTAGTTACATGTAGTAAGGATTAGAATTTGAACTATGCTTAAGGTTCCTAACCATCAGTCTCATGAATCCCAGCTGTGGTGAAGCTAAGACTTTCAATGTTTATCATACCCCAAATGGATCAATGGGTAAATGTGGTGTGGGTCTTGTGGATTTGGGGTTTACCCGGCATTGCTAACCAATGCAAGGCTACTGTACCTGGGTTGAGGCGTCCTGTACCAAACACAGGGGCCCCTCATCCCCTACTTTGCGAACATTGGATTAGGGTTTATTGGGATCAACATGGATCAAACAGTCGAATTTTTGGTTCTCTTGACCAAGCAAAAAATGATTTTCCACCAGCCAAATTAACCCATATATTATGTTATATCTCCAGTTTTGAATCATCATTATTCGATCAATATTCCGAAATACTGCTCATATCAATGGGAATTTCAGGATCCTAAAATGGAGGTACTGTACCATATAAGGATATATAAGGCCATATTTTGTGGGGATATTCCCTTACATAGGCCTTATATAGGCCTTATACATGGTAGGTACCTCCAATTTAGGATCCTGGAATGGCCATTGATCATAGTTCACCATCTTTCAATAAGCGTTTGCCCAGAGAAAATGAGGCGCCGCCTGCGCGAGATCTTCTGCTTACATCCATCCCCCTCGGTACCGCAACCGGTGGGTGGCATCATCATTTCAAATGAACCACTAAAAATACTTGGGTCATGTTGAAAAAATTGGGGATTATAGTGATTAAATACCTGGTATATCCTAGTATACTGATACCATGTGGTATAGATTGAAGCAGTTATTTCAAATGAACCTGGGTTATTGGGGATTATAGTGAGCCATGATATTGAAACCTATCAACCAACTGGTATAATGAGATGGGATATGGATAATTTTTAATGGTTCAAATGATCTGGGAAAAACTGGTAAAACGCCAAGAAATCAGGTCTGCGTGGATGACACGGGTGACATCCCGCCGCCGGAACTCACGACATGACGACATACCAGCCCTAACTCTTGGTCTGGTTATAGCAGGCATCTACAGCTACATTGCCGTACTTTGCTTTTCTTTGTAGAATTGAAAAAAAGTTGCTGGCTGATGATTGTTTTTTTTCCGCACATTGCCAGTTAATTGAGACACCAATCATCATTGCTAGCACGGTTGTTGCTGGCGAATCTCACTGACAGGCTCCTATCTCGGAAAGATCACCTCGGTTCATATATTATTATATATATATTCTTTATATTACATATGTATTTATATATATATGATTATATGTATATGGCATAGAGATTTAGATAGGAGAGTAATTGTATACAAACATATAGTGTGATGCATATGTAATTCCATATAGATATAGAATCTATGGCCATTTCAGGTATGAGGTACCTGGTACCATGACGCTATGACCAGGCGCAAGTCGAGAGCAACTTCCTGGCTGCGGCTGCTGAGGAGAATGGATGGGAGCAGTGATGGTTGGGTTATGATTATGATAAGATGCTGATTGTTGGACATTATAGGGATAACTATATATATAATGGGATAGGTTATAGTTTTTTGGTTTAGTATATCTGTTGTTTCTATATTTTGTCGAGTTGATTTATCACTCGCTTAAGTATTGGGTTTTTGGTGGTGAAAGTACTGTAGTATACTATAGTTAGATTGGTACTAAACCAACAAACATAACGTTTTGGGGGGCACAACCTTGTAGGGATTTGAACGCAGGTGTGTCCTCATGTTTGTCCATTTCAGATTGCTTTCTTGTCTTTCGGACTCTACCCCATGAAATGGGGATTAGTATGACATGTATGACTATGACACGGGGATTATTTTGCAGAATTTGATATAGTATGACTATGACTATGACACGGGGATTATTAGTATGACTATGACTATGACTATGACTATGACTATGAATTTGATATCATCAAAAAGGAAACAACCACTCTGCTGCAGCGACATGCTCAGTATTGCTGATATACATTTCCGACTCGGTTGCGACTGGATAGATATCCCCTACGTGGACTGTACATTCACTGGATTGGTTTAAGGGAAAATCTACAGGAAACCATGGTTTTTACCATCAAATATAGGGCTTTCCTGTAAATTTTCCCATAATCCAATTCTATGATACATTGCATTTTTCAAATTTGGATGGCACCACTGGCTTACACGACAAACGCGTGTTTTCTGACAATGGGGTACCCCATTCAACCATGGTTGCGAGACTCATTTTCCACATTCTTAAGTGCCGTAGGGGGAAATGTTTTTTTTAAACTTTTCATGAGATGCAAACATTAGCCTCATGATCCCAGATGGTCTGGACAGGATTGTCTAGACACGCCACCCATGGACGGGAGACTCGGGAAGGGGGAACGCCCAGCGGGGGCTGAGATGGAGAAAAACCCATGAAAAAAGGGTTTACAGCCAGTTGTGTTGTTTAACCACCAGACATGCTTGGTTCACTGTTTTGCTTGGGTTTGGACCAACTGCTTGAATGCAATCTTTCACAATCCAATGTGGCAATCTTCGTCAACCAATTTTTCAGTAGTTGTTACATGGGTATGGATCAATACCTATTAATACCATTTTTAGGGGAATGAACATCCATTTACCAGCTATTTTGATGTTCACCAGGGGTACAAGGTTTTGACCCATCCCCACATGTAAAAAACCTGAGATGATGATCCCGATTTGCAATCTGAGATATGGACCCAGAAAGCACCCAGAAAGGGATCCACATATTTTTTTTGTCCGGGCCGCATGGCCTTTTCGGTGCCGCCGTCTCAATGTCTTCTGCACATACACAAGATACACAAGATACACAAGACCCGTAAGATTATAATTAGATATATATTATATTATATTTTATTTATATTATATTATATTGTATTATATTATATTATATTGTATTATATTATATTATATTATATTTTTTTATTTATATTATATTATATTATATTATATTATTTTATTTTATTTATATTATATTATTTTATATTATATTATATTATATTATATTTCCCCAAATATTTAAATCATATAAATCTAAAGCATCATCAGATCACAGTAAACAATATCATCTATAAATATTACAGATCCATCAACAATCTACAACAACATCAAATATTATAAATTGTCTATCATGATCTATTATCGATATCCAGAAATCATCAAATCTACAACAACATCATCAGATCAGGTCCGATCTTCCCAAAAAACCAGGCTGCGGACCTGTCAGCGTTGCTGCTGGTCCTCTTGGTCTGCGTCACCTACGCCAGCATCGCGCCGCTGATCATCCTGGCGGGAGACGCTCGGTTTGCCACGCTGATGGTGGCGATTGGTGGTGACCTTGGCGAAGATCAACACGTGTAAAATTGATAGCGTTCTTGAAGGTTGTTAACATGTTTAAAATATGTTTAAAATATATGTGTCATCATTGTGAAAATAGATGTTTAACTTATAATTATGCATCATCATTATATGATATATATATATATATATTATGTATACATATATAGATAGATGGATGGATGGATGGATGGATGGGTAGATAGATAGATAGATATGAAACTAAGTTTTGGCCTTGGCGATGGAGGGACTAATTTGCAACGCTGTGGTTCAGGTTCTGTACCAGTGGAGCTTCTGTGCCTGAAGAAATCGCTGCCATGTAATGGTTTTGAAGCAACAACTGGATGAAAATAGAACTGATGGTGTATACATGGCTAAAGGCAAAAAAACAGTTTTTGATGATGAATGATGAGGATCAGAGTGAGAATGAGAGGATAATGAGGATGAGGATGGGGATGATGATGATGATGATGATGGTGATGATGGTTTATTCCCATACTCTTCGATTCTTATTTTTGTCCGGGATTCAGCAGAAGCTTTTGCAAACATATTGGACCAAAGGTTGGGCTCTTAGCAGGAAATGTTGGATGTTTGCGTGTGTTGCGGCCACAGGTTGGGCATACTGGCCATGTGGTCTTTGACAAGGTACTGATTGATAACATGTGTCTGTGTGTGTGTGTATGTAATGCAAATGTAATCCAATGTAATGTAACACATTGCAAGGCAAGGTAATGTAATGCAAGGCAATGTATTTTATTTGCGTGTACTCCACATACGGCCATATATGCCCAAACAATTGTGTATTATACATATGTATGCATATATACATATATATATATATACGTATCTGTATACATATACAGTTACATATACATATATATATATACATATATTATACATGTATGCATGTACTTATATCTATACACATGTATGTGTGTATGAATGTGTATGTATGTATTATGCTTGACATTATAATACATTATATATGTTTGTTCTAGCTTAGTTGGTATCACACAGGATTTTTGCCTCGCTGTCACTGCGAAAAAGGCTCTCTTCTTCGCCCTTCGATGGCTTGTCTTGGCATTGCGATATCTCTATGTGACACACCTAAATTCGTGGAGCAGTGGCTGCGAAGTGGGCGATGTGTTGAATGTGGAAAGATCATCGAAGTAAATGGTGATGTTGAATGGGAAGATCAGCTTTAACTGGAGATTTAACCGTTCTTTTTTTCAAAATATAGGGATTTTCAGCGTCAGAACATGGGGAGTATAGTTGGCATAGTTGATAAATGATGATAGGTTGACAATTATTTATGGGGGCTTATATTGCCCAACATATAAGCAATCATATTGAAAGATGTTCCAATTTATGTTTGATACTGCTCAAGTTGGGATAGCAGCTAACGATCCTGGGGGTGAACACAAAGAAGTGATGATTATCCAGGAATCCAGCACCCTTTTGGGATATCCACCAGCAATCATAGGATCTACCCTCTGGAAACATACAAAAACCTACGGAAAGTCACTATTTCCATTACTTTGTAATAGGTAAATCATCTATATTAAATGCTCCATTTTTAATAGCTATGTTAGTTTCCTGGAGGTATATACTGTAGCCAACAAATCAGCGATTTAGAGTCAAACATCCATTTGGGATATCAATCAACAAAATCACAAAAAACGCAAATATGTTGTAAGAACGTTCTCCGAAGAAAGGGTACTTGGGTCGAAGATGAGATTTTTGTCCGCGATCATGTCGTCCACTGGGCAGGAAGAATGCCAGAAAACACATCATTTTGATATTTTGTAGGTCAAATAACCCATGTTCTTCAGAGATTCAGAAAATGGGGCCGTCGATCCAAAACTGATCCGGTGAGGTGCACGTCCCCCGCTTCGACAGTGGTGGAGCGTTTTGGTATCTCCTATGGAATCAGGCAGCCATCGAAGCCCACTAAACCAATGATCAAATCTGCAAATCTGTTGCTGAAATCACCACCTTTCTTGGTCAACCTTGATTTGGCGTTGAAAAGCTGCAGCTTCAACCAGCATCCACCGGACCTTTGCTGGTTGAATCGCCATTCGAGTTGGTAAGGCTCCGTTTGTGGTATTTGAACGTCCCCAGCGAAATCCAATTACATTCGGATTAAGTGTTAAATCCAATTTCAGTCGGCAGTTGGCTAAATCATTTCCCAAACACCGTTGTTTTAATGTTTTTTTCTGTGTCAAGCTATGTCAAACTATCTCCAGATATCCAATTTCAGATATGGAGTTGTCAACTATCGCTTCAGAATCATCATCTGTTGGTTATATATATATCCAATCATATTCTGATTGATATTATATACAGTACTATCCATCTGGTTATACATATATAATCCATCAAATGGTGTATTATAAGAATATGTATAATCAAATATATTCCATCTGGTTATATATATATAATCCATCAAATATGCAATATAATATATATATATATATGTACACAATATAATATCTATATATATATATTACATATATATATATATGTATACGTTATCCCCAATCATCTTCTCTCCCACGGTCGATATGGGGTCCGGAAAAAAAAAACCAGGCGGTGCTTGCCTTGATCCTGGGAGATTTCACCACCCTGGCCGCAGTGGCCTTGAGGCGGCCGCAGTGGGAGCTGGATGATGGGAAAATCATGAGAAAATGGTGAGTATCTAATTTTGACAGCTGATGGGCTGTTGCATGTTGTCGCTGTTTTTTGTTGCATGGTGTTTTGTGTTATGACTTTCAAGCGTTGTGTTTTGTGTTTTAGTGAGCAGTTTGATGGTCCAACAAAAAATGTGAAATTTGGAGCTTTTTCGGGGTAGTGGCCTTGGCCCTAAAAGGGCCTTCCTTGCCCACCCTTGTGATGATTGACTCGGCATCGGGCTGACCAAGCTGTGTCACTGGTTTTAGCATCGAGACAGTAATGGTAGATTGTAAAAGTTGCATCAAAATTGGTAGATATTGTCAGATCCTTTTTCATCTTGTCATCCTTGGAAATGGGAGTGTCCTTCCAATTTCTTCATAGTTTTTGCATGTGAGCTGCTGAAGCCATCAATAGATTCACAGAGGAAAAAGACTGTGGAAAGCCACAGACGAGAGGTCTGGCTATGCGCAGCTACCATTCCTTTTGCCACTGCCCTTGCTGTCCGGGAGCATAGCTGGCATAGCGGCGTAGCTGTTTTTTCCGCTGAGGACATATACAACAGTATACAACCATTGTGTATGTACATATATATATATATATTATATATATATATATCATAGCACATATAGTAGACATTAACATAATTAACATCATTAACCATAGTAAACTATACATATACATACATTATACAGACATTATACAGACATTATATATTCACCATATATATATATATATGACCCTTACCATATTCTCCATGTAGTTCGGCAGGGCCGTTTTCGTCGAATCGAGGCCCATCGCCTTTTCGGCCCTGGCGAACTTTCGCTTCGCCAAGCCCTCGCAGCGCTTGTCCCTGCGCGCCGCGCGGATGGTGGATGTCGGGTTTTCCCAGAGGGGCGGGTTGGATTCACAGCCAGCTGGGGCAGAAATGTCATATTTTGGAGTTGGATTCACTGATTCACATGCCTGGTAAATCCTGGTAGTATGATGTCATATTCATATTCACCCATTTTGTTTTGTAGAAAATTTCATGGTAGTGTGGTGGTTGTTGATATTACTATACTATTATTGCAGGATTATTTACGCATACCAACATGTTTCAAGTTGCAAATCGCCAAGCGGTTCAACATGACCTTCTTATCCCCTTTATTTGGGTAGATCTGGTAGTTCGTACCTTGAAGCTAAGATTGGAGAAACAAACAATGAATTAGAATTCCGAATCCAGAATTTTAAGTATTATATTGCTGATTAGTTGTATCCTATGAATTTCTATGAATATCCCATTGCAATTATATATATATATATATATACCTGCACCCCCAAAATACCTGAAAAAACGGGAGGCCGCTTGACAAGGTCACCTTAATGGGAGGCCGTTTTCTCCCCAGGTCTTCTGTTTTTTCATCACGACACATCCCCACTGTGGCAGGCGCGAGCGGATCCCAACCTGTCGGAACGCTTCCCTTTGGATGCGTATTGGCATCCAGCGTTTGGGATCCCAGAGTCCACTGGCTAACAGCGAATGGATAGTTCCTGATACTTCATTAATAGTGAATAGCAAATACATACATAATGAATCATAATGATAGTTAATATGCTAGTTGATATATTGTTGATATGATAGTTAGTATGATAGTTAGTATGATAGTTGATATGATATTCAATATGACAGTTAACGATTTGAAACCAACTCAACTAACTATGGTGCAGCTCTACACGTAGAACCGGGTGTTCCCCTTCACTGATCAACCAACTGGAGTGGGGGAAAACACTGGGCGAATCACTGGCCGATTGAAGTCTCAATGGTCCCAAAAATGCCATGAAAAAGTCTCAAACATGATTTGATTTTTGGGACCATTTGAAGACTTTTTTATGGCATTTTGATGCATTTTGGAGAGCTCCATTTTTCCAGACCATTTTTGGAGTGGTATCTTTGAAGATTATGAGTTCCATTTGATCTCTCTGATTCTTTTGCAGTTATCAATCCTGTCACCCTAAGCCCCCAGATGAATCGATCCGGGGCATTGGGGGGGACTTGCTATACCCGGAGGGTAATCAAACATGGCGGATCATCTATAAATGGGCCATGGTTATCCGTTTCCATAGCTATGTTAAAGTACCAGAGGATACATTGCGATATTAACCAGCTATGTTTTTTTTGTCGTATATCATCTATTCGCCTAAAATTTGCTATAATCTTAGATATTCATCTAGCCATTTGGGTTCACTTGCTATTTTTGCTGCCCTGCAGGGTATCCAGCTTGATGGGCCAAATATTCCAATCAATCCATTGATTGGATAATGATATATATAATATCCATTGATGATAATAAGATTAACTATAATATATATATATATTGGATAATAAGGGGTCAATCAATGCAAATATCCATTGATTGAATAAGGGATTTCTATATATATATATGTATATATAATATTCTATAATATATATATATATATCGATGAAATCCTGGATTCCGATGAGATGGGATGGATGACGATCAACCATAAACCATTCGACATTAATCCAATGTGTTCTCCCATTCTTGATGATTAGTTCTCATTATCCTTTTCCTTTGTTCTAATCCCTATGATGCTGAAATTCCATTTATGATTTCTTCATTTCTATTCCCCTATGATGGTGCAATTACATTCACATCCCTTTCCCATCCTACTACTTTTCCATTCTCCCATCATTTTTCAGGATTCCAGAATTCGGGGTCACGTTATTCAATCATTATATGTCAGTATTTTATATCATCAACAATTAGATTTAATTCATATGGTTTTGGGTCAAGACCTTCGTACACAAACGGTTATCTATTTTTTAATAGCTGGTAGAGCTGGATGGTGATTCCCGGCCCCAGTCATATGGCAAATTCATAGGTAACTTGACCCATAGCCATATCCCTATAATGATCCACAGATAGATCATCCAGAGGCTGCGGCATCCAGCTGATGAGCGAGATGTGATGAACTTTGCTTTCTGATGGTCGGGCTTGTGCTATCGAATCGGAGATGGTATGATTCCAATGTTGAACCATGAGAAATGGTGAAGTCAGATGCTGAAACCCGTTTTGAACATGGGGATTGAAATTGATTGAACCATTCAAAATGGTAAGTCAACGCAGAGGAATGGCAAGTCACCAAAAGGAATGATGGCCTCACCAACCCGGGAGGAATTTAAGTTCAAATAAGCAATTAGCAGCAAAGCTGATTTTTACCGGCAGAGCATAGGGATCCAAAAAGGACTGAAACGCAAACAATGTTCATGTGACCAGCAGAAGTGAGGATTGAACCAACCAGTAATGGAAAAGATGCATCGTAACATCAGATAGCAGTTGCAGAATCACCGTTTGTAGTGTGAGCATCATCTTTTCATTAACAGATTGTTCATAGATTTTCCATTGCCATGGGCCATGTCCTTTTTCAGAGGATATGTAGTCGTTTGCTGTGAGTTTGTGAGGCAACACTACGTATACTCCTGAAAACGATCTAGCGTTGTGAGTCAACGGTTCGCAGTTTTTTACCCATGCTTATTTGGCATGTACATCGTCAAAAATATCGATAGATGACTTCGGTGAGCAGTCGATGGTTCAAACCCGACAACAACAATACAACAATTGTTTCTTCTTGGGCATTTCAGAAGAATAGATGCCGTGCCTTCATTCGCAGCTGGGCTGTCGGGGTGAGAGTCGCCAAAGCTGGTGCGTGCGCGCCAGCTGGTACTCCCCTGCAAATTGACAACTCAAAAAACCCTGAGTTAAAGAATATATGCTGTTTACTGGCACTGCATTTGCTGCGCCCATGAATTCTTGCTTTGGAGTTTGGATAAACACGGCCAGCCATGGCATAGTGGGATGATCCCATAGCAATGGCGATCTCAAATCACGTCACCTTTTGGCACCGTGAATGATACTGTGACGCGAAAGTATCAATTATAACTGATCAGTAACTGATGATATATAGATATTATGATGTAATAGATATATGGGATATAACATTACATGATATATCTATATACTATTAATGTAGGACTGATGATTGATTGTTTCAAATCATCTCTGGATATCATTTGGCTGCCGGACGTAATTTGTTGTTAGATCTATAGTACTGAGATCAGAGATGAGGACCTGGAAATTATTTTTAGCGATATTATACCAATATCATAGGGTATAGATGGGCATAGCACAATATATATTAATATGTGTAATATATGTATAGTTCCTGTGTATATATATACACATAGTATTACATAGTATTACATACTATTACATACATACATGCATGCATACATACATACATACATTCATACATACATACATTCATACATACATACACAGATACACAGATACACAGATACACATACATACACACATACACACATACATACACACATACACACATACATACACACATACACACATACATACACACATACACACATACACACATACACACACATGCACATACACACATACACATACACACATACACACACACATACACATACACATACATACATACACATACACACATACACACATACATACACGCATACATACACACATACATACACACATGCATACACACATACATACACACATACATACATACACACATACACACATACACACACATACACACATACATACACTGTATAATGTATGATAATGTATATATATATACACATATGTATATGTACACATGGTAATTTTTATACTATATTGACAGGGAATGCTCACTTTAGGCAGGGATTTGTCCACAAATCATCTTGTGCACCACCAAGCGCAGCTGCTCCGCACACAGAAGATGTATCTTATGGACGTGGTTTCAGATGACCCGATGACCGAGGGTTCCCTGCGGCTTCGCGACAATGTTTAGTAGGATTTCACATGAGTTTACCACTTTTGACCACAACGTACTCGTACCGTTGTTGTGGCATGATCAACTACAATTCTACCAGTTTCTGTTGTATAATTGTATATAGGCGTGTTACGTGTAATAACCCGTGAATTACGCTTTTGCGAGTACGGTGTGTTACTTGTCTATCTTTTTGCAGAATCATCGTAGATGCTTTCAAACATCCAGCCCATGGGGAAGAGATGTTGAAAATGATTCAAAATTTCGGATTGAACCAATGTGTTCTGGTCATTTATGTTATACAACACCTAAAATCAAAGCACAATCCTACTACTTTTAGGGGTACGGTATATAGCTCACCCACCAGCCATACAAACCGGTTGTTTTCAGACAAAGGTAGCAGCTGATAAAACGTGTGTTTGATCAATGCCCTCGCCTCTTCTTTGTTGGAAGTGTCGGGTAAATGTTCCCCATCTTTCTGGATCGGCAATCGCAGGAAAGCTCCGGTTAGGTCTGAGAAAAAAGACCTGTTAGCTCGGCATCATTTTTTCAATACTGTTTCCTGTTTCAATTTTCAAGCATTGGTTGTTGCATGCTGTTGTGGGTTGATCTTTCAGTGTAGCCGTGTAAACTGGGTAGGTTAACATGCAGTATGTGTTGTCATTACTTTTTTGGAATGTGACTGATACACGTTTGCAGGACGGTCAAATGGCCTGTCGGTTTTCGAGTTGCTTTAAGTCGAAACAACCAAAGTTTGAGCCTCGGTCCGTCCTAAGCCGATTGGCTGGTGCTGCAATTGATTGCTGGCGCGTCGCTTCGCAATTTTTTCGTCAGTAACAGGTCCATTTCTTTCCCTGTTTCTCAGCACCTAGGGATGGTCACCAGAGGCAACTCACCGACTTATTTGGAGATTTTAGAGCCCGGAGTTTGTGAGTTCCGATGCGAGACAACACGGCTGACAAAAACACGGAATTCAACAGGACTGAACATAGTAAGAAAAGATTGCAGCTAGAAGTTTGTGATTTCGCCTACACCAATCAATACCGAATCCATGTAATTTCACATTGGGCTCCGGGACGACCGCTGCAGATCTAGAAGATCGCCATTCACAGCGTGGTGAAAAAGGTTCATGGCTATCCTTGGGTACAGTAAATTGACATAGCTGTGGACAATTTACCTGTAAAAGATGTTGAATTTCCATAGTTGTGTTGAATTACCAGAGGCTATCTCACGGATTGTTCATGATCAAGTGCATCATCTTTAAGAAATTATCATCATGCTCATTTTGCATCTGCAACTGCCATGTTTTTGAGCTCAAAGAACCTCAAAGGAGTTCATTTGTGGAAAGTACGTACTTCAAGGTATGGGTTTGTCAGCATCTTCCCTAATGTTGGTAAAGCAATAACAAGTCACCATATGGATTGATGGTTGGAATCTCACCCATTTCTGGTAAATATATGTAAATTTGGGGATGGTCTATTGTTGCTTTACTAACATTATTAAACTTGCCATTTTGAGGCTATACCCGTATACAGCATTCTCAGACATAAGCATATGTTGTACTTTGCTGCTTGCAATGCGCGTTTAGGGTCCACCAGTGCCGCACCTGACCAGTGAACACAGCGAGGTGGCAGCTTTCTCCTGCATCTTTTCTCTACGGTGAGACATGGTGGGTCCATCCTCAACATGGGCTACCCGCTACGGCTACGCTTTGGATGGATCCCGGTACGGTAATTTAACATACAGCTATGGCATCTTGGCAAAATCACCATGTTTCATAGATTCGTAGCCATTTTCCATAGCCATGTTAAATTACCGGAGGGGAGGTGGCACTCACAGTGACTTCTTCGCTTCACGTCAACGAGTACGCTGGGGCGCAACCAAGAAGCTCTGGGACCTGTGAGCCTCGCAAGTGTCACAGATGAGTTGGGACAGCATCATGTTTCCACACATTTGTTGAAGTGCCACTGCAGCTGCTTATCCAGTTCTATGCGTTTCCATGTGTCACATCGCGTTTGAAGTGACAAATGGAAATGCATACAACTGTACCATTCGGCAGCAAAGTGAGGTGGCAAGCCATATCATTATCCTTCAATGTTTTACCTACTATTAGGATCTATTAGGTTTGTGGTTTGTAGCTTCACAGAGCCATGGTCATGCCAGCAAAAGATTCATCGCTGTGATGCTGCTATGGTGGAAAAAATGCCCAAACAGTTGGAGGTTTTGTAGGAATCCTAAGATACATAGCACAGTTTTTTTAAGATGCCGCAGATGATCATCTGATCTATATCACATGACATGTTTGTTTTCCTGATCTTTGGGCATATCGAACAAGATGATGGTCAAGAATGGGAAATATATGACCTGCATTTAAAAAAAAAAATATTAGAATTGATGATTTCCAATTTCACGAAGGACTCTATCACATGTATGCTTACTACTTTCGCGTTGCCAAATTCCTCAGACAGATTCCGTCCCCAAGCAATCTTGACCTGTTTGGCGCTATTTTATGGTGTAAGAGATGGATGTCATGGTGCTGTAGCAGATATGTTCATTGGTTGGAGGGACGTGGAGTTCTCACGACTGTAAAAGCAGCCAGAATGCTGCGGGACCTTCATGATTTTACCAAGAACTGATCGGGAAGCTTAGAAGGAAGTTGCACTATCAAACGCATCGAACGTCACGCACATTCACCATGAATGTTGGAGTCTCTGGTGTAGGTCTGGGTTTCACAATTTTGGATGAAGTTGAGATTCAACCACTCAAAGACGGCAAATTTGCAGCATGGATAATTTTACCACCCCAAATCTGAATATTCACAAAAAGAAACAATACATTGATTCAATGTTGTTTGCGATATAGATACATAATGATACATACAACGTGCGTATATTTTTTATAGCACCGCTCCCCAAAAAAAAAGTATATTGAAATGCAACATCACCGAATGGTCATAAATTCATATGTTTCTGTCCTTTCTGGCGGTTAGTATATAATCATAACGTATCATATCATAAGACATATTATATAATTAATTGTAATTATATAATTAATATATATATATATATTATATCTATATATATGATTACATACAGTAATATGTGTTGGAAGATTCACCAACTCAGGT